AAGAGAGAGAGAGAGACATTTTTGCTTAATAGTCTTGAGATAGACTGGAGCTGAAGTCTAGAACCGGGAGATATGAGGAGGCAAATTAGAAATCCTGCATAAAGCCAAGGGCCTTCAAATGCTACTCACTTTGTTAATGGGTGAACTAGAACTCAAACCTGCTACACAGAGATGCAAACATGTCTGCCTTAGGCTCTGACTAAATATGGAAAAAAGAGTGTCTGCATAGAATTTATAATAACAGATTAGGCCTTTTATATCTTTAAAGTGTGACATACTTCAGATGTGACTTATTTAAAAAGACAAAAACTAGGTTTTAAAATAGGTAAGCTCATGTTCCAGGCTGGCAAACTTCCAGTGTTACCATTATCATCTACAGAATGTAAAATCAAGTAAGTTCAATATGCCTTTTTTTTTTTTTTTTTAAAGATTGTATTCATTTATTTGAGAGAGAGAGTGTGAGAGAGAGAAAACACGGGAAGGGGGTAGGGTCAGAGGGAGAAGCAGACTCCCCGCTGAGCAAAAGCCTGATGCAGGACTCGATCCTGGGACTCCAGGATCATGACCTGAGCCAAAGGCAGACGCTTAACTGACTGAGCCACCCAGGCACCCAGGTAAGTTCAAAGTGTTTACGAAAAATAAATTAGGGGGGTGCCTGGCTGGCTCAGTCAGAAGAGCATTTGACTCTTGATCTTGGAATCATGAGTTCAAGCCCCACACTGGGTGTAGAGATTACTTGAAAAGAAAATATTTTTAAAAATTAATTAGTAATATGATTGGATAGATACAACTATGAAGAGAGAATTGTGTGTTGGGGAATAGATATGAATGAAATAGATGTAGAGAAATAAGAATTGGAAAATGTGAAAAGAGATTAATTAATAAATATAGAGGTTAAAGGAGAAGATCTAATATATATATGTCTTCAGAGAAGGAAACACCCAGGAGAGCTGGCTCTGCAACCACTTTTACCCTAGAGCTTTGGCAGGAATTTTCAAATTTGGTGCACATGCTAGTAGATGATAGCTATTGGGGATGCTCTTGGTGGCATTTTGGGAGACCTGAATCACATGGCTAGTTTTCACTTCAGAACATTTTGACCATTGTTCTTCTCAACATTTGCTGAATACTGGGACTGCACAGAGCAGGAGACTTAAAAACATAAATGAAAAAGCCCCTTAAAAGCAGGGTGATATTCAGTATACCCTTAAGACTTTTTATCTTAAGGTCTGGATAATCAGGAGGAATTTTATAAAATACATCAAACACTTGAAAACCTTGAAGGGCCAAGAGCAAATCAGATACATTAACCATACCAGGGCTGCAACCTGGACTTAATTGAGGAACACTCACGTTAGATTAAAAGGGAGAAATCTGCACTGTATCTACTTAGCAATAGGAAGAGAGAACTCTCTCTAAAGGAAGATTACATCATATGGAGAATTTTGATTTAAAAAAAACATTTGTCATTCAGTTAAGGATTACTAGACATTGCGGAGAGCCTGGGTGGTGTAGTTGGTTGGGCGTCCGGCTCTTGGTTTTGGTCAGGTTGTGATCTCAGGGTTGTGAGATCGAGCCCTGCGTTGGACACTGCACCCCACGTGGAGTCTGCTAGAGATTCTCTCTCCCTCTACCCTTCCTACTCTTGCTCTCTCTCTTCCTCCCTCTCTCTCAAATAAATAAATAAATCTTTAAAAAAATTACTAGGCATTGCAAAAGATGGGGACCACATGGCTAGTCTTCAAGAGGAAAAACAGACAATAGCATCATACTGTCAAGTGATTCTCATATTGGATTTAGCTGCTAAGAACTTTAAAATGACTGTGATTAATATGTTTTAAAAAATAGAGAACAAGTAGGAAAAATAAACAAATAGACTGTTTCACCAGATAATTGGAGTCTACTTTTTAAAAAGACACTCCTATGAACATTTCAAACTGAAAAATACAACATGTGAAATTAATACCTTACCAGATGAATTTAACTACAAATTAGATTACAAATAAGAGCAGAAGTCAGGATTAATAAATTAAAAGACTTATTAATATAAAATACCAAGTGGAAGCATAGGGATTAGAAAGAATTTTAAAAATACAAAAACCACAACAGAAGTGTGCGACAGTGAAAAAAATCTAACCATATATGTCCTTGGAGTCTAGGAGAGAGAAGAGAGAGAATAAGGCGGAAGTACCATTTGAACAAACAATAATAGAGTGTTTCTCAAACTAAAAAGAGACATTAACCCGTAGATTCCAGAAGTTCTGTGAACCTCAAAAAGAACAAATATTTAGAAATTACATAAAGGCATATTATGGCAAGCCTGCTAAAATGAAAAACATAGAGAAAATTTTAAAAGAAGTCAGGGTAAAAAAGACATATTACTTTTAAATCAGGGCAACAATAAAACTTAACTACTAACCAGAAACAGTGGAAGCCAGGTGAAAATGAAGGTATCCTTAAAATGCTGAAAGAAAAAATGGAAAAAAAAAAAACAACCTAGAATTCTGTAGTCACAAAAAAATCCTTTAAAAATGATAATATACATAAGTTTCAGATAAATAAAAGTGGAGAGAATTTGACAGCAAATCTATAGTATAATAATAGCAAAGGAAGAAGAAACATGATCTCAGCTGGAAACAGAATTATAGAAAGGAGCTAAAAAAAAAAAAGGATAAGTATATGGGTAATATAAATTTTGACAGTAATACTAATAGTAGAGGCGCCTGGGTGGCTCAGTTGGTTAAGCGACTGCCTTCGGCTCAGGTCATGATCCTGGAGTCCCTGGATCGAGTCCCGTGTCTCCCTCTGACCCTCCCCCCTCTCATGTGCTCTCTGTCTCTCTCATTCTCTCTGTCTCAAATAAATAAATAAAATCTTAAAAAAAAAAAAGTAATATATATTGTAGTGTTTTGAATATATGTAGAATTAAAGTGGCAACAACAATAACACAGAAAGTGGAGAGTAAATGGAGTTAAAGTGTTCTAATGTCTCACTGTTTTCAGGAAATGGTAAAAGGAATAATTTGTATTCTCTAAAAGCAAACAAGTTAAAAATGTACATTATAATCTCTAGGGAAACCACTAAAAAGTAAAAGAATGTATAAATCTGATTAATCCCAAAGAAATCAAGATAGGAATCAATGAAATACGAACATACATATACAATTAAATTTTATATACAGTGTAGAAAGTAAACAAATCCAATTGCTGGTTCTTTGAAAAGAAATTGATAAATCCCAGCAAGATTCTTCAAGAAGAATCCAAGGTTGGTTTGACATTTAAAACTTTGTTAATATAATTAATTCACCGGGCGCCTAGGTGGCTCAGTTGGTTAAGCGACTGCCTTTGGTGCAGGTCATAATCCTGGAGTCCTGGGATTGAGTCCCGCATCGGGCTCCCTGCTAAGCAGGGAGTCTGCTTCTCCCTCTGATCCTCCCCCCTCTCATGCTCTCTCTCTCTGTCTCATTCTCTCTCTCAAATAAATAAAATCTTTAATATATATATATAATTAATTCACCACATTATTAAACTTAAAAAGGGAAAATCGTGTAATCATTTCAGTGGGTTCACAAAAAGTATATGATTAAATTCTACATTAATATATTTAAAAAATACTTTTGGCGGCCTATGAATATATTCTGATAAAGAGTATGATCCCCTCCTAAAAAAATCTACAATTATTCTTAATCCATATCATTCTTAATTCTTAGAAATTAAAAGCATTTCCTTTATAATATGGACCAAAACAATATCTTCTTTGGTCATTTCTAATCATTACTAAACTGGTGAGCCCATCTAGCATGGTTGGAACCCCATAAATAATGATAAAATAAAATAAAATTTTAGGATTGAGTGAAAGAAGCTAAACTGTCACTATTTGTAGATAATATGTTTGGGTAATAGAAAACTAAAAGAAACTACAAATATATTATTAGAGTAAGAAAGTTTAGTAAAGTTGTGGGGTATGTTCAAAATATAAAAGTCGATTTTATTTTTAAATTCATTTTACAATTGAAAAAAATAAATATTAAAGTACCAAAAAAATACAACTAACAAAATATGTGAAGACTTTTAGAGAAGAAAATTACAAAGTTTTGTTGAAAGAAATTAAAGGATCTAAATAAATGAAGAGAGATGTTATATTCATGGATTGGGTGACCTTTAGTTATGATATCAAAATCAAAAATCTCCCAGTTGATTTACAAACTTCAGTGTAGAAAAGCTCTACAGGTTTTTGATGGAAATTAAGCTGTTTCTAAAATTTATGCAGAAGAGTAAAAGCCAGTAATAGCCAAGACACCCCCGAGGAACAAGGTAGAGAAACTTGGAATATCATATATCGAGTTGTAAATAATGTAGTAATTAAGACATTGGTTATTAGCATAGACACAAATGGTACATTAGAGGTTCCTGGAATAGTCCCATACATATATGGAATGTGGTAGCATTGTAGATCAACTGGAAGAGGATGTTCAATGAAAGGTGTTTGGTGAGTTGATGATCCATGTAAGAAAAAAAATTAGATTGAGATTGGATTCACGTCATGCACCAAAAAAATCAATTTCGGGTAAAGACCTAAGTACAAAAGGCAAAACCTTAAAACTTTAGGGAAAAAAAAAAAAGTGGAAGAACATCTTTTGACTTCAGGATAGGGAAAGACTTTCTCATAAAGATACAAAATGCAAACTATATGTAAAGAAAACATTTAAGTTAACATCTGTTGATCAAAAGACATTGCAAAGAAAGTGAAAAGAGCTCAGAGGATTTGTAATTTTCTAGAGTGTGTAAAGAAAACTTTAAAAATCAGTAAGAAAAAGACATTCCAAGAGAAAAATCATCAGAATATGTATTTCCCAAAAGAAGGAAAAGTGAATGGCCAATTTTAAGTATGAAGAGGTGGTCAACTTAAAGAGTAAGCAGAACAATGCAAGTTTCAACCATGAGCTAATATTTGTATGCTCTGAGATTTGCAAAAATAAAATCTGACAATATGCATGTTGGCATGAATCTAAAGCAGTGAGAGCCAAGGTCGGCTTTATTGGAGTATAAATTTAGTTACAAGTACTTTGTAATACAATATATCATCTAGTGAAGTTGAATGTGTGCAATCATGCGTTTCTTTAACCTAGCAATTCCATTTCTAGCAGTATACTCCAGAGAAATTCTTACACCCATGTACCAGGAGACAAGATATTCATACTAGCATTGTTCGTAATATTAAAAAGCGAGAAACATTCCAGATATTTATAAACAGGAGGATGATGAATTGCATGTACATAATGTTGGGTAATACAGCAGGCAAATACATTTAACAGTATTCTGTCTATATACATTTTAAAGCATACAGATTTAAAACGTTACATAGAATTACATGTATTCATGTGGAAAAACTATAAAGGAAATCAAGGAAATGATAAAATTAAAATTCAGGATAGCAGTTACTCCTGGAGGTATGAGAGAAAATATGTGATTAAGGAGGCACATTGTGTTAGTTAAGATACAGGTTCAGCTGCATTTGACAGAAAACCCACATAGTGACATAAACAAGATACAAGTTTATTTGTCTTATAACAGGTTGAAAATATCCTAGGCATGACAGTTATGTTCTACATGGTTATCTAGGAGCCAGGCTCCTCTTTTTTGGAGCTCCTCATCCACATGGTTATGATGGCTCATCACCACAGCTACATATCAAGTGTAATGTGGAAGAATGGAGGAGTAAGTGACCTTAAAAAGGAAGTTGCACATGAAAACTTCCCTTCATGGTCTTTTGGCTAGACCGTATCCATTGTATAGTAATTTTTAGATCCAAGGAGGCTTGAGAAAGGTGCCTAGCTGAAAATCAGGAGTTCTAGAACAGAGAGAAAGAGAAAGAGAGCACAGGTATTGGGAGGAAAGTAGCAATTTCTGCCACAGGCTCATGCGGCCAGGGTAGGAGGGGAAAGCATAAAGGTATTGGTATTGTTCTGTTTCTTGAAATAGGATGGTGAGTATAGTTGTCTTTTTAAAATTTTATGCCTTCCCTATAAATTATATGCTTTTGTATATATGGAATGTTTCATTATTAGAGCTAAAAAGTTTAGTGGATACTTTTTAGCTTTATTTTGCTTGAATCTTATGCAGCATATGGTACTGTTGATCACACCCTCTAGACATACGGATTTTTATTGGCAAGAATCTCCTGGTCTTTCTCTTATTTTTCCATCCATTCCTTTTCAGCCTCCTGGGCTTCACTTTCTCTGCAGGGAACAAAAAGGCCTTTCCTAGATGCCCCTCACTTGTCTCCATAATTATTTAGGATAGTTTCAAATTGGCTAATGGGTTTCCTGGATTTGGAAAAATTGCAAGAGAAAACTAATTATATGGTAAATATTCAGATTTTATCACCTTTTATTCATAATGCTCTATCCATATATGGAAAAGGGAGGTTAGCACATTTTTTTCTTTGTAATTTTAAATATTTTTTATACCTTTCTGAAGTATATCATAAAAGGGCAAATAATTCTAGAGTGAGTCCAGAGAACCAGTGTATCTTGTAAAGGTAAGAAACAGCAACTGTTCTCATAAGTATATACATAAAACATCATTAGAATAAATCTTGGAAATGACTCACACTATTATAATCATGTATAAACATGTGATATCTTTTTATAAAAACTCAGCAGTTTACTTGACCTCTCAGAATGACTGCATTTCCTAACCCTCCTTGCAGCTAGGTATAACTGTCTGACCTAGGGCTTGGCTAATGGAATGTAAACAAAAGTCACTACATGATAAATTTTAGCATATGTTAACAGGAACTATTTTTTCCCCAATGAAATAGTCTCAGGCATACATGCATTTGAGAATTTGTATTCACTTAAATTTTTATTAAAGCAAGTAAGATAAAATTCAGTTAGCATTCAAGTTTCAACCATATGTCAGAGACTGTGTCTGGTTCTGGGAATACAGGATTGAGCAAATTCTAGTCCCAACCTTCAGGGAACTAATAGTAGTCCAGAGGAAATCTAGGTGAATGCTATTGTTATAGATAGATAATGCCTAAGGTGCTGTGGAAACACAGAAAATGCCAAGGTTAGCTGGGAAACTCAAACTCAAGACAGTTGACAAAACCTAATGTGAGTTTATAAAATAAAAGCATTTAAAAATAGCATCTAAAGATCTCAGTTGTTATAAGCATTTTAAATATCAGTTACATTAAAAAAGAAAATGAGTCCAAATGTTGTTATAGGAGGTAGAGGTTAGGGGGGAGGGAAGGAGTACAAATGAGCTCTCTTAATTTTTGAAGTATTTTATCTATTGTATAGATCTTTTCTTTGTATACTAATTTTATAACCAGAAAAAATAATTTAAAATCCAGTTTTTAAACAGAATATGTATTTCTTAATGTAGTAACATAACTTTTTTTTGATTTAGCAACATGGTTTTCTTAAAATTCCTGGACTCAAGTCTTTTAACTTTATTTTCAGAAACACAAACTCATGTAACATATATAGTGTGTGTTTTATACATATCTTTTTTAATGTATTAAGTTAAATCTTACTTACTGTAAACATGTACAATGCTCATAGTACTTCACAGTAATTCCAGTGTAGATATTGTCTGACATTGGAATTTAAGGCAGAGATTCAAATTTCATTCACTGACTGTAACAGATTGCAAGGAGGAAAACAGTATGCACAATTCTTAATCTTCACATAGCACCTGCTCTTACAGTTCTCACCAATATGGGATGTAGCTATTCTCTTTTAACCCAACATTCCTCAAACTCATTTCTCTTTATTGTGATTTCATAAGGTGAGGGAAAGACCCATTTTCACAGACGTTGCTCTTCCTTTTGAAAAACTGAAAAGGGATTAGTAAAATCTCATCACATTTATGGCCTTTAATAACTTCTCTCATAAACCCTCTGTCATTTTCAAGCTTTTTCTCCAAGGTGATTTATTAAGCCAGGACTTTCTAGTACCATTCAGATACTGTACTCTATAACTGTTACATCCTCTCTGATTCAGTTTTTAAGCAAAAATGAAGTCTTTTTTTTTCTTCCTTGCAGACTTTGCCTTCAAAAGAAACAACATTTTTAAATACTACACAAATGCCTTGCTTGCAATCAGCTTCAACTTGGAGTAGCTGTGAACACAATTCAAAATCTCAGATATTAAGAGAACATGTATCAGAATTGGACTCTTCTTTCCATTCTGTCCTATCATTGCCATCAGGTAAGCCTACTTATAAAAAAATTTCTAAGTAAACTGTGAATATATTCTGTGGTGAAGTCTAATCCTATAGATAAAAGGAATCTAATAAAAATTTTATCAATTATTTTGCCACTGGATATTAGAACTAAACAGTTTTCATAGAGGAATTAATCCTGTGAGTTAATATTCTACTTTTGCAAGTTGATTCTTAAATTCCTTGGAAACCATTTTGAGTTATATTGGGAAATAACTAGCTTTTGATCTTTTCAGTGTTAAAATTTAGAATTTTATTGATAAAGTGACTATGCCATTGAAATGTTTCTCAGTAAGTCTTTCCTATTCCTTTTCTTTCCTAATATGTTGTTTTGCATGGAGTTTTCTCTGCTATATAATATTCCTCTGCTTATAATCAGCATTGAGTTCCTTTGGGATAAGAAATTGCCCATCTTTAGGTATAGTCATCTTTTGAACTTCAAGAAAATCTGTAATCTGTAACTGAGTGAATGAGGCATGTATAGGCCCACATCCCTTTAACTTTCTAGTTCTTGGTTTTTGTTGGAACCGTTCCTGTTCTTTTTTTTTTTTTTAAGTTTTGGGGGTTTTTGTTTGTTTGTTTTTAGTAATCTCTATGCCCAATGGGGGGCTCAAACTCAAAACCCCAAGATCAAGAGTTGCATGCTCTCTGAGCCAGCCAGGCACCCCTCCAGTTGTTTCTGTATTGAACTGAAGTAAATATTAGGGTAAAAAAGGAAACAGTCTTCACACTGGTTATCTCAGGTTCTTCTCTTTAAGGGAAGACATCTCAAATGGGCTTTTGTTTCCTTTTCAGCTTTTGGTTTTTATCATCCAGGGACTGCTCCTCTTTGTAAAGCACTATTTTCTGTACCTATTCCTGCCCTGAATCCTGAATCTTTGTTTTCTTACCAATTTTTGAGTAGTTTCTTAGCTACACCATACTTAGAATTAAGTTCCTGGGGGCGCCTGGGTGGCTCAGTCGTTAAGCATCTGCCTTCGGCTCAGGTCATGGTCCCAGGGTCCTGGGATCGAGCCCCGCATCGGGCTCCCTGCTCAGTGGGAGACCTGCTTCTCCCTCTCCCACTCTCCCTGCTTGTGTTCCCTCTCTCGCTGTGTCTCTCTCTGTCACATAAATAAATAAAATCTTAAAAAAAAAAAAAAAGAATTAAGTTCCTGGCAGGAACTATGTTCCCATCTTTGAGGAAAGCTTAATAATAGAAAGAAACAATAATAAATATAACAATGGTAATGCAGCTAACATTTGGGCTTAGCATACCTGTAAGCACATTACATTTTCTTGTTTAATTCTTCCAGTTTTCCTCTTTATCTTACATACAAGAAAACTGAAGCTTACTATTCTAAGATCATACAGCTAGTAAATGATGGAGGCAGGATTTGATGTGAGGTAGTCATACTCCAGAGCCACACTCCTAACCTTTACTCTTCACTGCCTTTCTGTTTTCTCCTGCTACATTTGTTTCTCTGATATAACCCTGAGAGCTGGCATTAATTATCCTTCATTCAATCCTCTTATGTCCCTTCCAATAAGTTAAGATTAACTTCCCCACCTATTAATTAGGTTATTCATTTCTTCTTGCATTCATTTAATAAAAATCTGAATACCTACTATTTACTAGGTACTAAAAGTATAAATACAAATAAATCCCTCAAAGTACTTGCATTCTAGTTTAAGACAACTGAAATGTAAACTAATAAGTGTATTAAAGTGTTGTGAAATATTCTTATAAAAGCCCAAAGGTGTGGGTACTAAGGAAGGTATATGGGTGGAACAAGGGCCTTCCCTAGTTATGTCATGTTTTCTCACAACTCATGAGGAACAGTGGTAGAATAGGTGATATTTTCTTTATAAAAGTAAGTGGTATTTCTTTGGAGAAATAAACTTATAAAAGTTTTGGCAACTGGAAAATACTGGATTCCTGAAATGCTTAAATAACATATTTAATTTGTAATCTTAGTTTCATTTTATAGTTTTTGTATGATCATAGTATATAGTGTTAGGACTAATCTTTCCTACCTCTGTTCTGTCCCTTTGGGATAGACTCCATGTTGAAACTCATGAACTTTTTTTTTTTTTAAGTGTATTTTTCCACACTTGAGTATGGATCTGTTATTAAAATATATCATTTGAGGGAGAGATACTTTTTTGGTTAAAATCCAGACCCGTTATGGGTCTGTTCTGATTTATGTGTTCATAATTAGTTTTTTTTCAGTAGCAAAACTTTCAATACATCAACTACTTTATAAAATATTTCTTTGTTTCTTAGGAAGAAGTTTAGGTGTCTCTATTAAATACTTCTGAAGATGGTTTTGTTTTTGCATTCTTGATTGAGGAAAAAACTTTAATAAATGTGAAGCACATCTACTTTATTATTTAGCTCCTCTTTTGGTTGTGAGAATATAGAATATAAATATAGTGAATTGACATCTCAGTCTATTTAAAGGAAGAGAGCTAGTCTGTAAATGTGTTTTAATCTTTGTAAAAGTATATTCTGTGATTCATAATACTAGTAAACTAAGGGAATGTGAAACTTGGTGTTTTCATCAAAGGTAGCATCTGAATTATAATGGTTTTCCCTCAGGTAATTAAAACATATCTTTCAGAAACCTCATTATTTCAAATGTAAAGTTTGTGGGGGTGGGGTGGAATGAATAAGTCAGCTAGGTTTGGCTGTATGTTTTATTCAAGACCTTTGGATACATTTGTTTTATCTGGGAATAGTACTTACTAATACTTACAATTTTGATCATCTTATCTATTATTTTGGTTTATGAACTTATTCATCATTAGAGTTTTTGTTTATTTAGTGCATATAATCACTGCTGTCTGTATGCTTGGAGAGAGTACTTTGCCACTTCTGATAGTTGTAACATTTCAAGTTTTTGCTTATTTTTCTAAGCTTATGTGCTACTTAGAGAAAGAAAGCAATCTTAGTATTAGAATCTATAAAAAATGATATTCACTAAAAGTACTTTTTTTTACTTTATTTTTCCAGATGTGCCTCTTCATTTTCACTTTGAAACACTGTTTAAAAAGACTGAAATAAAAGGAGATCTTGCTGAAAATAAATTTATAGGAGACTGTGTCATATCTCCATCACCTGGTATGTCATTTACAAATCTTATACTTTATATGCCTTTTTCATCTTTCAGATACTGTTTTTGCTTTCTAAGGAAATAAAATTTAACAAAGGAACAAGATGTAAATCCTTAATTTTTAATACTCACTTTTTATAAATCACACATATACACACACATGTAGAAAATACACAGGAGTGATCCTAACAAGAAAGGTGATACTTATAGAATGAAAATTATGAAATATCATTGATAAATATAAAAGGAAATCTAAATACACATGGAGAATACAGCATTCCTAGATGATAGGATTAATAAGGATATCAATTCTTCCTATTGGTTTATATGTTTAATGCAATGTAACTTGAAGTTCTAAAAGAATTTGGTTAACTTAACAAAATAATTGTAAAGCCCATTGGGAAGAATAAATGGGAAAATACAAAACTAACTGCTGGAAAAAGTATTAAGACAATCTGTCCTAGCCGCACATGGAAACATAACAAAAATCTGTAATAGTTATTAGCATAGATTTTGTATACATTTAGGAAAGTAAATCCATGAAGCAGACTATATAGCTTATACTTTATTATATAAGGGAAGAATTGTAAATCAATGAGAACATGGAGAACTATTCAATAAATAGTATTGTTAGTACTGTTAGTCTTTTGGGGGAAATTTTGTTTACATACTTGTTTCATACCATGTATTAGAATAAATTGTAGTTGGTTCCAAGAATTTGAAGAATTAAAACACTAAAATTACAAAATAAAACTAGAAGAATTATAATGAAATAGTTATGAGTATTATGAATGGGGGCGGGGACATTGTGTTTGGAAACAATCAGAAGAAAAACATCAACATGTTTTGACTGTCTATAAAGCGAAAATCTTCTTAATATCAAAAAAGTCATACAAACTAAGAAAAATTACTTCCAGATGAAATAATCATCTACCTCAAAAACTCAAGAATCAACTCAATGCCTGTTAGAATTGGAGTTCTAAAAAGTAGATTTTAAAATAAATTTATAAAAATCAGCCTTTATAAATACCAGTAATAACCAGTTAGAATATGTAAAAGAATTATACTAGACACACTGACTGAAAATATAAAATATCTAGGATTAATTAAACTTAGTAAGGACCTACATGAAGAAAACTTAAAAAGTTTACTAAGGAACACAAGAATATGTGCCTATAGAGAGAAATAACCCTGTTCCTATCAGAAGACAGTATTGTCTGAGGTGCCTGGGTAGCTCAGTCAAGTGTCCAGCTCTTGATCTCAGCTCAAGTCTTGATCTCAGGGTCATGAGTTCAAGCCCCACATTGGGCTCCACACCCAGCAGGGAGCCCACTTTAAAAAAAAAAAAAAAAAAAGACAGTATTGGAACTTAAGATGTTATTTTTCCCCAGCTTAATTTATAATGTAACTCTTTTTTTTTTTTAAGACTTTATTTATTTGACTAGAGAGACACAGCGAGAGAGGGAACACAAGCAGAGGGAGAGGGAGAGAGAGAAGCAGGCCTCCCGCTGAGCAGGGAGCCTGATGTGGGGCTCGATCCCAGGACCCTGGGATCATGACCTGAGCCAAAGGCAGACGCTTAACCGACTGAGCCACCCAGGCATTCTGGTATTCTTTTCTTTTGGAACAAAGTTATTCTGAAGTTTATCTGAGAGAATAAATGTTGAATAGCTAATAAAATTTTTAAACGATCAGTAAGAAGGAGGTGCCAGGTAGCAAAATTGTAAAGCTATAATCATTATTTTATTGTGGTATTGATGGAAGTCAGATCTAGGAAACTAAATATCCTAGAGACAGTCCCAACTGTCCATTATATGATAAAAAGGTGGTTTTTCCTATCAGTGTGGGAAGGATGGCCTCATCAATAAGTAATAACAATAATTCTTATGAAGCATTCCTTACATGCCACTACTGGTTGAAGGGCTTTATATTTGTTGATTGCTTTAATCTGTACAGCCCTATAAAGTGAGTATAATGATTTTCTTCCTTGACTGATTTTCCCAAAGTCACATATGAGTAGTGATAGGGTCAGGATTCAAGTCCAAGCAGTCTGGCTCAGAGTCCATGTTTTAAACAACTAAGTTTCTTCTAAAATCAGTGGATTAAACAATGACTTTTTGGGGAAAAAAAGAGATCTCTACCTCATACAGCACATTAATGTTCATCCATCTTAAATTTATTTTAAATACATTCCAGATGGATTAAAGAGTTAAATGTTAAAAGTGCTGTCTTAAAAGAATTAGAAGAAAAAAACTGATGTATTTAATGATGATGATAATGAAAATGATAATCTTAAGTAACATTTACTGAGTGCTTATGTGTAGACACTCTGCTAAATATTTACTATTTTTTCTGATTACATTAGGACATTTAAATGTTATAATCATCAATTCTGGCAAGATGTGTATAGTAAAAAGAGGACCCTCAAATATTTTAGATAGCATTAAGAATACAGACCTTTTGGGAAGTACTGTGAAATTAATTACAATGCCTTTAAACTATGTATTCTTTAAATAAGCTCATTGAGGAAAAATAACTATTTACTTGTGCAAATGTTTACTAAAGTGTTAACTGTATTTTGACCCAGTAAATCCATTTCTGGTAACCTAGCCTAATGCTTAATATAAAACCACCTTTATTTACAAATCTATTCATTTTACCATTATTTGTGTTAATGAAAAATTAGAAACAACTTAAAGAGCATAATTGAGATATGGTTAACACAGTGGAACATGCAACTTTTAAAAATATCTTTAAAGTTCATGTAAGGATGGAAACATCAAAGAATGTCAAGTAATAGAAAAGGACAAACATGTTTTACTTCTGTGTATGGTATGATTATAACCATGTAAAAATGTTCATTCTTCTACCAACCAAATGCAATGTGTGGGTCTTTTGGGGATCCTGATTTGAACAACTCAGCTGTACACATACACACAATTTTTGAGATAATGAAATTTGAACACACATGGCTGTTGAATATTAATGAACTTTGTTAGATGTAATAATGCATGTGGTTATATAAACACACACACACACACACACTTTATGTTTCTTAGAAATTCAAGCTCACATATCTGTAGATGGGATTTGCTTTAAAATAGGTAAGCAAAAGGGCGCCTGGGTGGCTCAGTTGGTTAAGCGACTGCCTTCGGCTCAGGTCATGATCCTGGAGTCCCGGGATCGAGTCCCGCATCGGGCTCCCTGCTCAGCGGGGGGTCTACTTCTCCCTCTGACCCTCTCCCCTCTCGTGCTCTGTCTCTCATTCTCTCTCTCAAATAAATAAATAAAATCTTTAAAAAAAAAATTTAAAAAAAATAGGTAAGCAAAAAAAAAAAAATGTTGGGGAGATGAAACAAGATTGGTCACTAGTTTGTAATCGTTGATAATGAATGATAGGTATAGGGGAGATTATTCTTCTCTTCTTCATTTGTGTTTGTTGAAATTTTTCCACAGTAAAAAGTTTTTAAAGAATTGAAAGCACTAAGGACAAGGAGCTGTTGTCTATGCTTAGGGAAAAAAGACTGAAGAAATACAGGAAAATATAGGGTTATGTTCAAATACTTTTTCATGATACAATTCGTCTACTTGTAATTTATACTGAGACTAATTTTAAAAAAAGAAAAAATGCATGCATGAAGGTGATTGTTTTAAGAATAACCATAATAGGAATATCATGATGATAACAACTAGCTCTAACAGCTAGGGGATAGTTAAATGATATTATCTCTAACCAGAAGAATGTTAGGTAACCATTTGAAAAAATAACAATGAGTGAATTAATCAAATATGAAAAATACAGTTGTACATATATTTAAATGAAATTACATTTGAAATGTGAATATGAAATGTATGCATTTGTTTCACTAAAAGGAATATACAAAAATGAAATTATATGCTGTTAGGTAAGTGAGATTAGGTGATTATATTATTTCTAATGTTGTTATTTATCTGAAATTTAAAAAAGGGCAGTGTAAATGTGTTAGGCACAGAAGTAATAGTAACGTATCAATAATGTAATGACATGCTAGTAATGGAGGAATTAAGAGCTCGGAACAGAATATATTTGAGATGAATGCTGCAATATTATTAGGCAAATCAATGAAGTACATTCTATTGTATCCCAATCTCTCTGCCCTTATTTACTTTCCCTACCACTCCCAACCCAAATAATTAAGCATTAATTAGATTTCATCCTATGTAACCATGTCTGAAATACTGGTCATTATTATTTGTTGTTAGTGATTTCTGTAGAATTAAATAAAACTAGAGTTCAACATTTATTGACCACTTACTCTGTACTAGGCAGACTAAAGACTCAAAAGTGAATCACAGGGAATCAAAGAAATTATAATGTAATAAGAGGAAGCAGACACACAAACTATTAAAATGATGTGGCCACAGATATGATAAAAAGAGTCTAAAAAGAAGAGGGAGTATGTAACTCTGCCTAGGGGAAGGCAAGAGGAAGGGAGGGGTAAGAGTAATGGGGAGAGGGCAAGAGGAACTCCAGAAAGATGGTGATGCCAAGTATGGCTTTAAATACTTGACTGGAATTTAGAGGAAGAAGAGTAAAGTGTTCCAAATCATTGTTTCTCAAACTTTTACGTGCAAACAAGCTACTTGAGGGATGTTGTTAGAACGCAGTTTCTGATTCAGTAAGTCTGGAATGGGGTCTGATTCTGCATTTCTAACAAGTCCTAGGTGGTTCAAATGCTGTTGGCCCATATTGATTTTAAAATGAAAACAAACGTGATTTGTCATGGAGACATAAAACTGTGATGTATTCAAGTATATACAAAATGCCTGGTATTATAGGGTAAATTGTGTGAAGGTAAGTAGATGGATGTTTGTGTGCTTTGTCACAGAGCTTTTATTTATCCTCTGTTGTCCAGAAGAATTTTAAGAATGCACAGCTGACTCAGGTAACAAGTAGGGCAAAGACAAATTGTAGTGGTTTGAAGAGTAAATGATTAGTTGCCAATTCTGAGGAAATACCAGGCAAAGCCAACTAAGGGCCTGTACTCATCAAAATATGCAGTCATGAAAGACAAGACAGTGGAACTATTTCAGATACAAGAAAACTTTAGACACATGACAACTAAATGCAGAATGAACAGAATTTTCTATAAAGAACATTATGGGGCGCCTGGTGGCTTAGTCGGTTAAAATGAACAAATTTACAACTATGGACTCTTAACCGCTTAACCGACTGTTAAGCGGTTAAGCGTCTGCCTTCAGCTCAGATCATGATCCCAGGGTCCTGGGATCGAGCCCCGCATCAGGCTCCCTGCTCAGTGGGGAGCCTGCTTCTCCCTCTCCCTGCCGCTCTGCCTACTTGTGCTCTTTCTGTATCAAATAAATAAAAACCTTAAAAAAAAAAAGATTATAGGAATAATTGGTCCATAGTTAATAGTATTAAATTTGATTTTGATAGTTGTGTGGCTATGTAAGACAATACATGTTGACAAATTTACAGGGACATTGTGTCAGCAACTTAATCTCACTGGAGTTCAGAAAAACAAAACAAATAAGATAAACTTAACATTTGTGGAATCTGAATAAAGGGTATATGGGACTTCTTTTTACTATTGCAAGCTTTCGGTTAGTCTGAAATTATGTCAAAATGAAGTTTATTTTTTAGAGTGGACAGATGAGAGAGGAACAGTGGCACCACAACCCACACAAGCAAGCCAAAACCTAGGGCTCAGGCTTCTCCACCTACACTTCTTCGTATCTAAACCCATTATCAGTATGATCTTAACTCATTTGTTTCAAACATGCTCCTGTCTTCATTTCTACCACTTTCAGAGGCCAATCTAATGATCCCTTATCGATACTGAAATAGCCTAATCAATTATTTCCCTCCAATCCCTGTAGCTAGTGATCTTTGGAAAATGTAAACCTGCCTACGTCACACCTGTTCCCCACCCCCATTCCTTAAAATGTGTGACAGAGGGAATATTATAGGAGACCGCTAAAGCCCTACGTACCTAGGATGACTCCTACCTGTTCGTGGTTCTTTTTCACTATACTTCCTTACTCTATACTAACTGCTGTTCCATTGTCAAATTTATCTGGCTCCCTGTTGCTTTGGGCCTTTGTACGTACCATTCTCTCTTCCTTCCCCTTGCCATCAGCGATTTCTGTTCATCTTTGAAATCTATCACTTTGCCTGGGTACTTTTCCTAGAGCTGTTATATACTCCCACTAACTTCTCTAAATAGTACTTCTCTTTTCTGTTACGCGTTGGTAGCAGTTGAGATAATGTCTATCAACTCCATTAGCGGCAAGGATCATGACTGTGCTCACCAGTGTTCCCAGGGCCTAACACGGTGCCTGGTGTGTAATTAGCTCTCTCTGAAGTTAATGAATAAATGAAAGGGAAGAAAGGGAAGGCAGGAGATAGGAGAGATACCGTGTCAAGGTGTGTTTTAGGATAGAATCTGGGAGAGGATTTTGGAGAGCAAGAACTGAAAGGCTCAGAGGGTTATGAGGAGGTAGAGAATGTGTAGTTTGATCTTGAGTTGTCATGTATTTCCTACGGTTTCAAGAGTCCGTTGCAACCTTACAAGATACTATGGAAAAATAAGCATAAAGAAAACTCAAGTAAAATTCAGTAAAAAGTACCACCTTAGGGAAGGTTGAAGTTTCTTCAAAAAAGTATTTGCTTTTAGAAAACAAGAAAGGTGGTGACTTGCTTTTAGAAGAGAAGAGCGAATTGACTGGAATGTTTTAAAATACTCCAGAAATGTTTCCACTAAAACAAAAGAGAGGACATTATTGGAACCCCTGCATGTATGAGGCTTATTATACACTTTAAAACCTCTCACAATTCTAGTTACCCCTTTCTTGGGGTTTGGAATTATGACTGCCAGTTCATTTTGTTTTCTATTTATATTTAACATCTTTCTCTGCATTCTTCTGGGAGGTAAGAAATCTTAGGGACCATCTTAGAATTCTATTTTCCCTGAGCTCTTTTTTCTTTTTTTAAGATTTGAGAGAAAGAGAGGCAAAGGGAAAGGGAGAGTCCCAAGCAGACTCTGTGCTGATCTCACAACCTGAGATCACGACCAGAGCTGAAACAGAGTTGGGCACTCAATACCTCCCTGAGTTCCTTAAAGTCACTGTTCTGTTTTCCAGCAGCTAGTTTTGCTTTGTCAATTTGATCTTCATTACTTTGCAGCAATCCTTTTATCCCCTTTTCTGGTAACTTTTAGGATATCTTTGTTGTGATGTATGATTCAGATTTCTTTTCCCCACTTGACACTCAAATGAGTTATTGAAATCTTATGGAAAAATTTTTGTCTATCATTTCAACATTGCCTTGCATTCTGTTCTGTTGCCCCATTTTGGTTTGCCCTTCTCTCCCCCCATATTTTCGACCACTGTTTGAGTTGTACAATTCCTCTGCCAACCCACTGATTGTCATGTTCAGCCATGTCCATTCTGTTACTTAGCCCAATTATTGATGGTTGTTTTTAAATATGAACAATTTTTTTTTTTTTTTAGATTTTATTTATTTGACAGAGACAGACACAGCGAGATAGGGAACACAAGCAGGGGGAGTGGGAGAGGGAGAAGCAGGCTTCCCATGGAGCAGGGAGCCTGATGCGGGGCTCGATCCCAGGACCCTGAGATCATGACCTGAGCCGAAGGCAGACGCTTAACGACTGAGCCACCCAGGCGCCCCTAAATATGAACAATTTTATTTTCCATTTCTGAGGTCTCTCTAAAGGAACCTTTTGCCTGTTTCTTTCGGCACTGTTTTTAAGACTTACTTGTATTCTGTGAATCCAGTTTTTTGAGATGGTTCATTTGTACTTCATTTTTTATGGTGTTGATACTCAGATTTTTGGAGCTTTGAGTTCTCACCTTTAAAGTTGATATTCACTATTAAGACTGTTCTGCCACTGTTATTTAGGAGATCCTTTTCTCATGGATAGGGTAGAAATTTGCACTCAGTACTATTTTCAGAAGCAGTTAGGGATGGGCAGGACATATTTCAAAATGAGGCACTTGGGCATTGCTTTGTCTACCCATCCATTGCTCTGTCCCAAGACTCAGATTGTTACCTATTAAGGCAGATAATCTCAAAGACTGGCTGAGAAGCTGGCATGTGTAATCATCCTATCAGAATCTAGGTAATTGTCCTGCACCATTTCCCTTCCCTCCGGGTCTAGAGCACCTTTGATGATCCTATTTTTGTGGCAGCACTTTCCCATGTGCTTTTGCACTGTTTGCTCTTCCAATTCCCTATGGTATCAGTCTTTCAGAGATTCCTCACAAATTCTGCTTTACTTACAAGTTCCCTTTTATTGCTTGCTAATGTGGATGTATATGTGCAGATCTTTGCATATGTCTGTGTATAAGCCTTTTGTCTATTATTTTTCGGGTGTTTTGTCATCTTGAAATCAGAATCCCAGTTACTGTTAGTAGACCATCCTTTTTTTCCCCCTCAGTGTTGGTGAGAAATTGGCACTTCAGCCTACATTTCTTTTTCATCTCCAAACCCTTCAAAAAAGAAGCCAATTTGGTTACTAAGCCAGTACTGGAAATACGGGGTTCAGATAGTCAATAATAATCATGATGAAACTAATTTATTGAATACTTATGTCAGATATCCTTCTAATGACTATTACAGGGATGAACTCATTTAATCCTCATAAGCCCATGATAGCTGCTCTTATCCGTTTTACAGATGAGGCAACTGAGGCAGAGATACTAAGTGACCTAAAAGTTTGAGAGAATTCAGTGCTTTTAAAGTGTAAGAATGGTGCTGGGTACTGTCAGTTTGATGAAATCTGGTTCTTGCTCTCAAGAAGTCCCTATTGTGATTTTATAGACTCTTACTTGATCCTGAATTACTTTCAGATTTAAGGGCGAGTGGGGAGCTAACTTAGGGATTCAGATCATATTCAGCCAAGATTTACAAACCTGAAACAACTTCCTAAGATTTTGTAATTTAGAAGACTTTGAGAACAGGTAACCTTTTCTTTTCATCCCCTTCAAGTAATGGAGCAACTATAGGAAAATGGGCACTTCTTGAAGATGTTTTTAAGGAATCTTATTGGGGTATTTTCAGTTTAGGAGCATTCCATTTTGATATGTAAGTATTTCTCTCATTGTATGTAATTTTGAACTGGTGAATTAATGTTCTGCAATGTTGTAAGTAAAAACAAATTAACATGTTCATTATGTGTTAAGGAAAACTTCACATTTCCTTTCTATTTGTTTTAGTACATAATACTTCTCTGAATCAGTGGAGAAATGGATATTCTCCTACATGCAAGCCTCAAATAAGGTCAGAATCTTCTGCACAGCTGTTCCAGGGAAGAAAGAAAAGACACTTGAGTGAAACAGCATTAGGTAGGTTAAATGAGCATATGAGCACTAGTACTAAAAAGTGAAAATAAACTGATCTTCAAAGAACCTCTGCTTCATGGAAATTTATAATCCAGAATAGTCCCTATTATACAAAATATCCATGGTCCTATGAATGTTAAACAGCATATTCACGTAGTCAATTCAGGACTGTTTGTGGACTGGGCATCCATCTGCTTGATGGCAATTAAAGATTTCCTTCTTATATTCCCTAACTTCAGTTATCTTCTATGGACTGTCCTCCTGGACAGAACTTAAGCCAATGCTGTGTTCTGGACTCAAAATATGCCCATATAGAGGTGCCTTACAACCATTTCTGGTACTTACGTGGAGGTGTCAGTTCAGTGAAGCTTCCTTAGAATTTTGAGAAATTGGATGAGATTCACCTAACGTAACTCAACCAACTAGTTCAATTTCCCTTAGGAACTTAAAGTTCCAAGATGATCAACAGACATCTTTGAAACTAGAACTCTTCTAGTAATACAAAGTGGGGTTTGTTGTGGGGATTTGGGACTATCGGTTTCCAGAGTTATTGCAAATAACGATTAAAAAACTTACCAGAAAATATGCATTTTAAATGGCAAATTGTTTATGTTTTGGTTCTTGTTCATTGTTCCAGTGGACAGAACACTATTTACATTAGTCAATTATTCCCCAGATGTATTATGTCAATATACCCAATAATTTAAAACATTCAAGATGTATTGGACTGTAATTATACTTAATGGATTTAACACGTTTATCACTACTCTCTCTAGAAATGCCACCATATCAGCCCAACTCACTACCTGATCATCACTACCTGATGAGCTAGTGTGGCACAAAATTAAACTCCTAGCCACCACCAGAGATATAATTGTGCTTTTTAGTACCTCAATCTTAAAGATAACCAAGAGTCACCTTAGCTTTTGAAGAACTTACATACACACACAGATCTTCCTCTCTTAACTTACGACAGGGTGACATCCCAATAAACCCATGATAATCTTGAGTCAAAAAAGTATTTAATACGCTAACCTACCAAACCCCACAGCTTAGCCTCAAATGTGCTAGGAACACTTATATTAACCTAAGCTGGGCAAAATCATCTAACACAAAGCCTATTTTAAAATAAAGTGTTGAATGTCTCATGTAATTTATTGAATACTGTACTGAAACAGTATAGAATGGTTGTATGGGTAGAAAATGGTTGTTAAGTGTATCGATTGTTTATCTTTGCGATCACATGGTTGACTGGGAGCTGTGGCTTGTTGCTGCTGCCCAACACGAGTATCCTACTGCATACTGCTAGCCCAGAAAAAGGCCAAAACTCAAGGTACGATTTCTACTAAATGCCTGTCACTTTTGGGCCATCATAAAGTTGAAAAATCCCAAGTTGAACCATTGTAAGTTGAGGATTGTCTATCAACACACAGGAAAACTTGTATCTCTTAATAAGATCCATTATGAAATTCACATTACCTAAGATACAAAATGTTTCACTTGAATTGATCGAACTTCAAGTTTGACAGAAATACAGAAAGAGAACAAGATCCTATACTACAGAGAAGTAACTAGATAGCTCCCTAGAGTGCAGAACACCTTAACATATGTCATGAAAAACAAACTTCCAGACTGCAAGAAACCTAAAAGACAATAACCAGTTTCAGTATATGGATCCTGATTTGAAGAAACTACTAACCATAAAGGACATTTTTTAACAACTAGAAAAATGTAAATATGGACTGGGTATTAGATTTTACACTACACAGGAAAATACTTTCTAAGATCAGAAGTAAAATAAGAGTGGTAAATAAGTGAATAAATATATATTCACAAATAGGGAATCAAAACAAATGGAAAAAGGAAACATGGAAGAAACACAGAAAATACCAAGAATAGTAGCAAAGTTCTAATCAAGATCTTGAGAGAAAAAGAGAAATTCCATCCATGAAATAAGAATAGGATAGTATAAATGAGTGACAGACCAATGACTTAGTAGAAAAAGTCTTAAGTAGAATGGGTCAGAAGATCAAGTTAAGGAAATCTCCCAGAAATTAGAACAAAAAGTCAAAGATATAAGAAAATGAGAAAATAGAGAAAATTAAGGGGATTAAGTCTTTGGAGGTTAACATCCAAATAAAACATGAACAGAGTAAAGAGAGGGGATGAGATGTACTGTATAAAAACTTGCCAGGACCCCTGAAAATGGAAATAATTGTGACAGAACTATGGGTAAGATTTTCTTTTAATTTCCTTAATTTTTTGATACATAAATTTTAAAAAGAAAAAAATTAAACAGATAGGGAATCATGTTACCTAAGTAGGAAAGTAACTTTAATACCTATCAGTCCTGTTTGATGTATGACATTCTCAACGGTTCTTTCCATGGCAGGAGAAAGAACTAGATTTGAAGAATTTGCTTTTCAACGCACAGAACCAGGATCCCATAGCAATTTTACTGCTGTTACTAATGTCAATGTTGTATCAAGAACCCAGAATTCATCATCACAAGTAGGTTTTTTTGCATACTGAACTCTAAAATTGCTTTATAGACTTAAAACTGGCTGATAAAAAAACTTGCAAAATCTATAAACAGCCTTACTTTACCAGCACATACTGGCTTATTTAGTAGTATCTTATTAGGTATCAATAAATCTGACTAAACTTTTTTTACTAGTGAGCTAATAACTCAGTAATCCTTTGATTATGGCTTTTTTTTTCTCTGTGTGAAAAACTATCATAACCATTCCTACTCCTTACCAGGAAGCTTAATAAGAATCCAGCACTCGTGTTGTTCTTACTATTTTGTCATCTGGCCAGAGAAGAGAGGTTAAAAGGTAAAAGGGTTTAGAAAAAACTGTAAAGCTCAGGGACCAGGAACACATAAATGAAGAGTATAAAAATGATCTTTACTAAATGTCACACCAAATATTTTCATAGTCTTTCCTAATAAGGAAGTGTGTTTGTTAAATGATCATTTTCTTGACATTTAGGGTGCTTTATGGTAACCTTTGGTAAGAGTTTTGCAACTTAAGGCATTCATGTTTTTTATGGTCTTAAAAATAGGCTTATAGGTATGCACACAGAAATGTATACTGCATACCTGCTAGAAGGGGTTGTGTTGTTTTACAGGAGATAGGCAGCTTTCCTGTTATTTCCTAACATTTTATGGTCAGGCCTATCACAACATAGTTATAAAACATGTAGAGTAGGCCTCAGGAGAGGAGGGCAGCATCGCAGGTAACTAGATATTGTGGTAAAACTGCTATGATCCTCCTTTGCAGAATACTGCACGACGGAGACTGAGAAGTGAGAGCTCTTATGACATAGATAATATTGTGATTCCCATGTCATTAGTTGCCCCAGCTAAGTTAGAGAAACTCCAATATAAGGAAATACTTACTCCAAGGTATGTATACTTACATCTTTTTATTTGCTCTTCCTTCTTTTTCTTGAAGAAACTTAAATTTTCAGAGTGAAGTTAAAATTTTAATTAATTAAAGGAAGATGCTCCTCTCTCCCTTCTTCCACTCCATGGAGGAAAAATGGTGAAAGAAACCTTACTCATGCTGAAAAAAAGTGCCATATATTATCACTTTAGTTGTCAACTTTTACTACGAACTGAGAATTCCTAAAACTGACTTACTCTGCAATCTTAGTCTTTTATACAGTGATATTTAGTTATCTCTTATGTGTGTATGGATATATATATAGAGAGAGAGAGAGAGAGAGAGAGCACAAAAAGGTACTTAGGGATGTAAATCAGTAACAAATAATCCTTGCTCTTTAAAATGGAGTTTTGCACAAGGCTGCAAAGTGTTCAAAGAAAGCAACTACCTTTGCAAGGAATAGTCACATTATAAGACCGTAACACTTGTAACAACAAAAATAAGAATTTGATGTGTTGTTGCCAAGTCAGCAATAAATAGATTAGTAGGGAGATGTGGGAAGACCTCATGAAGGAGGGAGAAAGAACAGTTTATTCACACAGGGGAAACCACAACAAAGGCACACGCTACGCCTGAGAGAGATTTTTGTGTAGGGTGATAAAGTTATGGCTAGAAAAGGAATTAGAACCAGATTCTAGAGGTCCCAGAATGCCATACAGAGATCTGCTTCCTACTGGCAGTGAAGTTATTCAAAGTTTTTGTTTTTTTAAGCAACGATGAAAAACATTTTTTTAAGAACGTGAATCTGGTACCAGGAAGTAGGTAGAAGAGGTTGGAAACAGATAAAAGCTCAGTGACAACTACAGTAATTCCTACCCATCTCTATTCTGATTTCAAATCTTATTTCTAATTACTTTGAGGTATTAAGAACTCTTAATACTGTAGGAGGTATTATGAGAAATCCTACAGAGAATCTATTGAGATCTTCTACATAAAAGTAAGGAGTAACATTTGTGCTTACGATGTTCTGCAGCAATGATGTTTTTCAATCTACTTTGGAAGGCTGGAGCTGGCTGGTTGGGTTGGTTGTTTAAATACAGAGGAATTCTGTGATCCAGTAGTTAAACCTGAGAGGCCATGCTCTCCCCCCTCCCTCCCTGCCAAGCCATTTTATCAGCATCTACTGACTTAATTCAAAATTGGTACATTCTTAGGTACAGAATGCAGCTATGCAGAGGAGACCGTTTACTCTAAGGCCAAAAGTAAAGTCTCACCTTCTCGTCTTTTTTTCATAACACAAATTGTTCTGTTTTAAAAAGAAGTATGAAAATACAACCATTTGAATTAATGGAAGCCCCAAGGAAAGAAAACATTACTGCATTAGCTGTGTGTGCTTAGAGAATAAAATTGCTACACTTAGTTAAAAGCTGAAATTGGTTTGTATCTTCAACAGCTGGAGGATGGCTGTTCTTCAGCCTTTGGATGAATATCATGTAGGTGAAGAGGAGGTAAGTTGCCTTTCACTTATGGACAATTGCACTTTATATATTATGAAGCCCGCTTAATTTGGTGTTTGAGGAACTAAAGGGAAACATAAGCCCCTTAACATGCACTGATTTTTTTCTTTTCACTTATGAAAACAAAATTCTTCATTAAGGATATTAGTTTCATTAGAAAAATGTTTTTGTGCAAATTTGCAAAGACAGTAATCTATAAAGAAATGTAATAAAGAAAATACAAATCTTTTGCTTACATGAATTGTTGAAATACTGAATTTACATGAGTATCTATATTCATTCCCAGTATTAGTCATGTTTTTCTGCATGAAGAGATTTAGTTTTAATATTCAAGTCTACAGTGCCACATTCAAAACGTTGGGAACAAACGGCTTTTGAATTGGGAAACCTTTGGACTTGAGAAAGTAATGTGAATGTGATGGGTCCATCACATAAGACATAGAGGGAGTCTAGGATAGTTCTCATAATCAAATATTAATGTTTCTATAGAAAACAGTTCTAGAATTTGGCCATCAGGCTATGTCACTGAATGAATTAAGAACACTTGTTGTTTCAGAGTTTTAGAATGCAGGAAAGGGACTATGAGCCTGTATGGGTAAAACTTACATTAAGACAAGAACAATTTCAGGGAAAAATACTATATAACCAAACTAATTTGAAAGTGATGTTCTGTAGAAGCACTATTATGTAAGACATTTTGTGTCATAATCTTTCTAGGCCCACTGTTTTTCAACTATCAAAATTAACTTTTTAATGCCCTCCCCTCTTTTAATGTGCTTTTCCCTAGTTTAGAATGATCCTAGCCAGGAAACCCAAATTCTTAAACCAGTACCACCAAAGTCTTAGAACTCCAGATTAAGTCATTAGTTAATTTTCATTTTTCTCAGTTTCACTTTGCTTTGATATTAACATTCCTAGAACAGTAAAGGGCAATCAATATAAATCTTTGAATGAATTAAGCATTAAGAGAATTTTTTATGCAAAGCACTGTGAACCTATCTGTAATATAGGTAAGTCTTCAAATATGACCCAATAGGAAAAAAGTTGTAAAAGAGGGAAGAAAAAAAAAAGTTAATCCCTCTATTTTGGAATTTGAAGCTCATCTCATAATACTTGTTCTCTCAATTTAGATTTATTTTAGAATTTTCTTCCTATATTCTCTTGATGAGGAATTGTTTGACACCTGTTCTCATATTTCAAAATGTTTCTGATAAAAGAAAAACTTTATTTCTAATTCCAGGTAGAAGATCTTTCTGATGAAGTCTTCTCCCTAAGACACAAAAAATATGAAGAGAGAGAGCAAGCCAGATGGTCACTATGGGAGCAAAGCAAGTGGCACAGAAGAAACAGCAGGCAGGTGTTAACAATTTAAAAGCCCAAACCATGAAATCCATGAAGAATCAACAAAAATTCTGCATGAGTAATGAGAGAGACCCCTAAAAAGGAAGAAAATGTACTACAGAACATCAGTTATTTGTGCACTAGAAGTGAAACATGGCATTTATTGAGTACATTCCAAATAGATTTTGTCTATGACTGATGAAATGCATTTCTCTATTTTTCTCCACTACTTCCTATTGCTTACTGTCAATCTGAGGAATAGATTTAACTCAGCAAATGATGTGAAAATGTAGGCCATTTCAGTACACTTTAACAGCAGCCCTAATGCTAGGAATTAGAATCCGGGTGATCTATTTTAACAGAACCACTTAAAAAACATGTTGTTCTTAAAAAAATTTTGCTCAAGAAACCTGTCTAGTCTAAAAAGCAGATGGTCTAAAATACTTCAAAAATATGACTTTGGGGGAAAGGAAATTAAATCCTAAAAACATAATTAGTAATTATATATTTGAGAAAGTCCATGGTATTTTATATTTACAATGGATTGTGTTTTAATATAGCCAGAACTCACAAAGCAAGATCGTGTTCAAGTCTGGTAGTCCGCTAGATTTAATGTGGGGGCATCTCTCATTTGCTTAGTAAGCTGACCTTGAACACAGATTTGAACTATATGGGTCCACTTATACAGAGAATTTTTACAGGACAGTCCTATAAATGTATTTTCTCTTACGGTTTTAATAACATTTCCTTTTTCCTAGCTTACTTTATTCTAAGAATACAGTATATAATACATATACAAAATGTGTGAATCGATTGTTTATATTATCGGTAAGGCTTCCTGGTGAACAGTAGGCTATTAGTAGTTAAGTAAGTTTTTGGGGGAGTCTAAAGTTACATGCGAATTTTTGACTGCATAGGGGATTTGGTGCTAACCCCTGTGTTATTTTAAGGGTCAGCTGTATTTTTTTTGCATTTTTTTTTTTTTTTTTTTAAGATTTTACTTTTAAGTATTCACCCCACATCCAACGTGGGGCTAGAACTCACAACCCAGAGATCAAGAGTTGCAGGCAATACCCATTAAGCCAGCCAGACACCCCTTCAGCTGTATTTTTAAAACTCATTTCTCTGTTTAGGTCTCAAAATACCCAGATTTGTTCTAGATCCTTATTCCAAGAGCTGTCTTAACACACATGAGACTCATTTCTCATCTTTCTCCACATTCCAGAGATAGAACTTTCCAGAAGTAAAGAGGAAAATGTGAATTGAGTCCTACTTGGATGACATCATAATATAGAATACTCTGGGAACTCAGAAAGACTGTAGAGATCAAGTAACTGTCCTTTCTCATTTAAAAACAAAATAACAGTAATAACAAACCCCACCAAAACTCAAATCCACTATTATAATTTGGCAAATTCAAAAAATATTATTTCTAAAATACTGTTTAAATCTTTGAGATAACAGGAAGATCAGCAGATGAATTTTTTAAAATCTGGGCAGGACTGTTTCAAGCTACCAAGTTAAATAGACTTAGTGATAACTTGGGGTTGTTCATAAAATGTTAAGAACTGAAGAAGCAACAATTAACTATTTTCTTGATTTTCTTGCTAGAGCCTACAGTAAAAATGTTGAAGGACAGGACTTGCTTTTGAAAGAATACCCTAATGACTTCGGTGGTGGTCAGCACTGTGCTGCTGAAAGTCCTGCTGAGCTTCCTTCAGAAAGCCAGGATCTGAGTGCACAGAGCTCACCTTCACTAAATGAAAGTCAAGAAACCAAGGTAAGTGGAATATATACAACTAGTTAAACCTCCTTTTAAATGCCTTTTTAACCTTTTAAAAGCCTATGTGTAGAAAGTGCTTGTTAAAAAAGAAGTTAAGAAAGGGCAAATTAAGGATTCATCATTACTTAACAAATCAGTGTAAAATGCTGGGTACAAATCAGAGAGGGTATGTATTCCAGCATTCCTAGTTTCTATCACTAATAAACACTTTATCTTTTCATGTAACATCTCAGTATCTAGTTTCACCTACTCACTCCTCTGTTAGGAAATGGGGATTCTATCCAAGTTTCATTACAAAACCAATCTGATTAGAGAGAACAGCACCTGGCACACAGTAAATGTTAGCTGCTATTTCTTTTTCCAAGAGATTTTTACCTGTCTCCCCATAGATCCAGTTGTTACCTCAAGGGGAGTGTTTTCTAACAGCATCTATACATTTTTGCACTGTTCTTCATAAGCAGGTGGCGGAAAAGAACGAGATCTAGAGTGGAGAGCAGAAACTATAGAAATTAATCGCCAAGTCGTAGAAAGCGTGGGGAAGGAAAAGTCAGTAGATGTCTGTAGTAATTATGGGCTGAAATGAAGACACTGAAGTAGGAGGAGATCAAAACACTTTGAAAGGGACTTTCCGAGCGTGCTCCGATGCCCAAAATGAAGGCTGATGCCCAACAGCAGCGTCTCCTCTTTGTTGAAGGGCAAGGGAAATGGCTCTCAACAATTCCCAGTAACGTCCCATTTGAGTTGCTAGATACTCAGGTCGAAATGAAAGTTTGTACATTTATGCACTAGAGAACAAACAGTAATTACAAAACTGACATTAAAGGATTATCTGATACATGAATTTAAACAAATTAGTTGAAACTTAACTGAAGATGTTCTCTCTTCCAGTCTTTGTGGTGGGAACGACGGGCTTTTCCGCTGAAGAATGAAGACACAGAAGCCTTACTATGCCAGGATGAAAAAAAGGATCACAGTGAAAGTTCGAGCCCAGCCTCCTGTGGTGAAATCTTCTGTACCAGTGCACCAGAGAACGGTCACCATCCGAAAAGGCAGGCAGACGAAATGGAAGAGTACAAACCTTTTGGTCTAGGACTTACTCATGTTAAAAAAAATAGGTGACAGGGAACAGGTTAAGAAAAGTATGTAAGTGAATGGAAGACAGGAGAAAAAAAATAAGCCCTGTTCTCCATCCCCCACCCCCTTCAGTCACAATTCCAGAGTAAGAGCATGTACTGCATGTATTAATCTTTTATGCTGTTATAAAACAGGCAAGGTAGGTCTCTTTTTCCTTCCTGAACCACAGGAATAACTAGCTTTTCACCTACAGACAAGTGCTAGTCTTTTGTGTTTATGATGCAAATCACAAGCACCAAAAAATTAACTGCTGCAATCTGATGTTAAATCACATTACTGGGTAAATGGTTTTTGAAAGATGTTATACCCACACATACATATATATATATACAAATATACCTGTGCATCAAATGACAGCTCTTTTTCCTATACATTTCTATGTAATTTCTATGGTAATTCATTAAAATTGCCTCAGAAGTATATTTGAATATACAAGTATGTGTGTACAAAGTATACATACGTATACACACACATCGTTTTAAAAAACACTGGCAGTGGCCACTCCACTTGAAAATGCATGTATGAACTACCCCATGAAGTTTAAGCTGCACTCTAAAACAAAGCACAGGTTCCAGTGATAATGGATATCTAAAAGTCTTGATGATGGGGAGGGGATTTTTTAAAAAACATGTTTAACCAATAGAAGTTATTTATGGAAATTTCTATACCAGATAACACAATACGCCTTTATTTAAAATCACCATTATCTGTTAGACTAAACACAGGTTACTTTCCATTCACTCCTAACAGATTACGACAAGCTTAGTAGAGTTAAATATTGGTCTCTTTTAAAATTGAACTTTATTTTATGTATCTCGTGAAGAGAAGACACCAACTTAAAATAAGCAACAGGAAAGTACTATCAGTATAAAAAATGTTGTATTTCTAATGAATTTGGTCATTCCTTACTATAGCTCACTCTATTCAAATAAGCATCTATTCTTACTTGTATTCTAGAGTGAGAATTAAAATTTTTCAAAGGGTAATGCTTGAATACTGAATACAGGAGTGTACATTAAGGAAAATTCCTTTTGAAGCTATTATCACGTAACTTTTTCAATGTAAAAGTTGAGGACAACTCTCATGTTAAAAAAAAAAAAAAAAAGGTTATTCAAGTTATAGTACCCATATAACTGACAATCCTGGCCATCTGGCCTAGTCTGGGGGGATTTGACACTAAGTTTTTTGTTAGGGATTGGAAATTATACTAATCCCTTTTAAGGAAGGAAAAAATTCAAATTCAATACTGACAAATTTTTGCTTGTAGTTTTACTGTACATTTATTTTTAAAAAAGAAAAAAGCCGGACAAACCCAAGTTGTCTAGGCAAATAAGCTCAAATCTTTCTGTCATGTCTGACATTATAATCTTCTATGTAAGTTTTTTAATTAAAGTTATTTCTATATGCCTTGTGTTGTCTGATCTGATTAAACACCACCTATTGATGGCACAAACGTTTCCTAAGTCAAAATAAAAACCGACAGATTTTTACATTATAGGATAGAAAAAAACCAAGCAAGCTCTAGTCTATGCGGAAGTGTTAATGTTCTTATTTTTCAAACCTATTTCTCAAAACTCATAGTAGCCTAAAGAAGCTTAATGACACTGGTCTCCTGTTTATTTCTTGCCATATGTATTATGTAGCAAGAGTACTGGCAAGAATGAAACAGCGGATATGTATTGTCAAAGTATAATTTGGGACACAGTTTTAAATATTTAGTTTACAGATTAACTCTGTACCTTGTCATCTTTTTGGCCTACCTGGTCTTTGCTGGATTAATATAATATATATCCTTGGGGTCAAATCCATAGTATCCAGAATATCCTCAGCCATCTGGTTCTGCTACATGGTAAAATTAGATTGCAAATAAGACAGTGTTATATACAAGAGGCTTCCTTTGCCTAATCTACCTTCCAAGGGCTCCATTTGTAAAAAGAGTACAAATCAGAACTCCTGTGCCCTACTGGGTTCTTTCCACGGTACCAGCCTGTTGCTGAGCTTTAGTATCTTCATTTTTTAAATGGGGACAAAAGTACCTGTCCTACCACTCGTTAAGAGTGATTTGTGGATTTAATGAGCTTATATTGAAGTACTTTATAGGCTACAAAACATAAATGACAGCACCTTTGTATTGAGCATCCTCAATTCTCTACTATCCTATAAATCTGGGAATAGTAGTGAAAGCTTTACATATAATGTATGATCTCTCTTAATGCTCAACATAACCCTGCATGGTTATTATAATTATATTCAATGTATAAATCAGTTAACAGATATGCAAAGACACTGGTTGATTTGATTTGCTAAAGTCAAATAGATGGAAAGGAGAAGAGTCCAGATTCAACTCAATTGAGTTTGTTTCCTTTCCTCTCTGCTCAGAGCTAGCACAGTATTATTTCATGTTCTTAAGAATGGTGAGTAAGAAAAGGGACAGGTGGGGATCACTGTATAACCTGCCCCTCCAGCAGAGCTGACAAAGAAAACACCTCGATAAAAATCTATACTTGTACTTTAGAACAGACCACCTGAAATCCCTGGGCTTCATCCACTGTTTTTACAGTTTTTATGTATCAAATATAAGGTGCAAAGTAAAAAATAGATGTTTAAGAAGCAAGAATACAGTGTGCCATCCTAGCCCTATTCAAACTTCGATTTTTCACAAGTTCATTCTTCTCATATTGTCATGTGCACACACAAATCAAAAATGACATACGGAACAGGAATAAGGACTTCCTTTGCTTTGGAAAACCAAGAAACGAGAAGATTTAAATTGCAGAAAAAATTTTTTCATAGTAACTAGTACACCTTCATTAGGCTTTAAGACACATTTTTGTTTATAACCTTAATACAGCCATATTTTTACTTTATAAAAATCAAGTCTCCCAGTAAAAATGGTATTTTACCACACTAATCTTTAAATTCCATCACTAAAACTGTACTTATACACACCAATTTCTAACCTCTTGGAACATTCTGCAGAATAGATTTTAGTCCCTGGAATGAATAGCTGCTCAGAAAAACAGCACTGCTTTTTTTATCCAACTGTGATAGGATTTGATAGTCAATATTCTTGTCATCCAGTAAAAAGATTTCATGAGCATCAACTCCTTGTGGTTTCATCGATCAAGAGAACGTTTCTGAGCAGCTTCTGAGCAAACATTTCTTAACAGGTTGATCACAGATCTGGGGTCATCACTCCTCATAATGGCACTGCCAGACACAATCATGTTAGCTCCTGCCTGGAAGAAGTAAACATTTAAGTTATGCTTCAAAGGAAGGGGCACAGAAGCTTACAACAATTTCTGGACTAGAGTTTCTACCCTTGCATCTGTCAACACTTTAACTGTACGAGAGCTACCTAGAGATGAACAGACTTAAGCAATCTAGTTCAATGAAGACATAAGTTGAAATGCTTAACAAATGAAGATATCAAATTGTTTTTAAATGTGTTTAAGAAATCACAGACATTTTTGTAACCACCTTTAAAATAAGCTACATTGTTGCAGCTTTGCTAATATTTAGAAAAAGCTGTAAAAACCTTTAATCTTCTATTATATAGATATTATATAACATAAAATATAGATATAACAAATATAAAATATGACACTATATAATATATATTATATAGATATTATATATTCTATAGATACTCTATAGATATTATATATATATTCGCATATTTTGGAACATATATAATATTCCAAAATATGCAAATATTGACAAGGCTACTAAAAAAACAAATTATCTTTTAATCTTTCAACTATGTAGTTGACCCTTGAACAGGGTCAGGGGTACCAACCCTCTGTGCAGTCAAAAATCTGTGTGTAACTTTTGACTCCCCCAAATCTACTAATAGCCTCCTATTGGCTGGAAGCCTTACCAATAACATAAACAGTTGAGTCATACATGTTTTGTATGTTATTATGTATTACATACTGTATTTATAATAAAGTAAGCTAGAGAAAAAATGTTAAGAAAACCATTAGGAAAATAAAATTACAGTACTGTAAAAAAGGACTCATGCAGTTCAGACCCATGTTATTCAAGGGTCAACAGTGTATGAATTGGCAGACAATTACTGCTAAAATGTGAAACTAAAATATGGCAACATTAAATAATTTCTCATTTTGATGTCAGAAAGAATGAAACGCTTTTTAATATATGCTTCACTGCATTCCAGAAAGGCTTTGAGGGGCTTAAAAAAAGATGATTTCAAGATACTTCTAAATGTGGAAGCAAAGAAATCAAAGAGAAAAGCAAGAAAGGTAAATCCAAATTTAGCTCTGAACTCCCAGGATTTGACTCGAGGAGGGAAACCCAATCTGTTCTGTGATGATCTACCAGAACAAAGTCGCAGGAGGCTACTGGGAGGGGCCCCAGGGGGGAGGAAAGTTCCTCCCAGGAGACACTCACTCTGTGATACAAAACACAGCATCTCCAATGACATTCCTCATAAAAGTGAAAAAAAAAAAAATTAGTTTTGTAGGGTTACAGCTTGACATGTGTTTTAATGTAAGCAGGAAAAGCCCAATGGCACAGCGCAGTTCAGTAGAAAGAATTCCCCAAGTAGCCAAAGGATATATGCTCACTAACTGTTTGGTCAGCTCCTCTTCCATCTCACAACCAAGCTTTTGAGAAGCTATCAAGCAAAAAAGTATGGCATTTATACAATAAACAACTGAAAGTGCAGATCAGACTGTGTCGCTTAACAAAAACGGGCCACAGAAACGGTCATGGCCTGCAATGTTAAAGGAAGGGCTGGCACCCCCCCCCGCCCCCTTTTTTTTTTAAGATTTATTTTTCAGAAAGCGAGAACGAGCAGGAGGGGCAGAGGGAGAGAGAGAATCTCAAGACGACTCCACACTGAGCATGGAGCCCAATGCGGGGCTTGTTCTCACGACCGTGAGATCACGGGGCTGGCACCCTCTTAGGAAGGAAGCTCAGGGCCCAACCCGGCTCGGCTAGTTACTTGGGAAAACGCATCCCACCCACAGGTATCCAGAAATCAGACCGAGATATCCATCAGAAATGGCTCTAGTCAGTTCTTGCAAGGGACAAACTAGTAACTAATACACCTCAGTTACACAAAACCACCACCTTTTCACTTTATAAGCAGGTATGTTTTCTTTCCCTATTTTGGAAAAACGTCTTACTCCAAGGCCTAGAACTTAATAATCTCCAAAAGGCTGGCATTCAGCATATTCTTTAAAAAAAAATAATTTCCTTCAGCGTTACTCAGATAACTGGGACTTACTTTTTAATGATGATGTGATTGCTCTTCATTTTCATAGTTCTACATTTGAATAAGAAAAATACTCTTCCCAAAAAGAAAGGCAATTTAGGAAATGGAGGGGAAATCTCTTTGGCGCACAGACAATGTCCTAGACACATGTGAAAGGAAACTGGTCTGGGTCACAGCTGAGGAGCAGTCTCACCTCTGCACATTTATGGATGGTATCCGGACCTACTCCACCATCGACTTCTATGTCCAAGGATGGGAACTGAGTCCTCAACCAATGAACCTAGATATACATGAAGAAATAAATGACTCCTATGGTGGATATGCTGGGGGCGGGGGGAATAAAACCAAATAAATAAAAAATCAAATAGCCAATATCAGCCACTACAATAGAACTCCAAATATCTCACACAATATTTATTTGTTTACTTAAGTTTATTTATTTAAGTAATCTCTATACCCAACGTGGGCCTTGAGCTCAGGACCCAGAGATCAAGAGTTGCGTGCTCTATCAACTGAGCCAGCCAGGCACCCCATCACACAGATAACTTTTTATTAATACAAACTATGACTGGGGATACCTTCCTTTTTAATATACTGAGACAAATTCAGTTTCATAAAAGCAAGGCTTGTTCTGTTTGGGAAATAGCATTCAATTTGTCATGGCTTGGCAGAGACTCTACCTCATGCAAATAAGACAAAGACAAAACCCTCAATATTCAATGAAAAGAGATCTCCCAAGAGATCTAAAGGCTACAGAGATTATAGCTTTGAAAGGAAGTTTCAAGATTAAGATGTAGTATTTTTTCTGATTTCCGAACCTAAATCTCTTACAGCATCTGTCACACCGTATTACAGTGTTGTGCGGGCATCCCTCCCACGCCACCTTCAGAATGAAGACAGGTCTCAACAGGCAAGCAAACAAGTATGCTTACTCAATGAGCACAAATAATAAAAGCCTCACCCCCAAATGAAATATTTCTTTACCTTTGGCATCATATCTTCCATGAATTTCTGCCCTCCAAACCCAGGTTCCACTGTCATAACCAAGGCCATATCTATCTGATTAGCCCATGGTGCCAAATACTCAACTGTAGTTCCCGGTTTGATGGCAAGGCCAACCTGTAACAGAGACAAATTTGCTACAGCACATTAGCAATTATTTCTGTATTATACTATTGTGGCAGATCAGACCCAGTAGAAACACCTTTCTTAAAGAGTAGAACAGACACAAGAAACGGAATGCATAAATTATTCAGACTATAACTACTTTTTAAAAAAGTCAACAAGGCTACCCAAATGTAAATGTTTCTAAAAGGCAGTCATTTTCAGGAAACATGGGTGGAATCTAGAAATCCTGTCTAACAAACAAGTTATACTTAAACTCGGGCTTCTGGGCTGAAGAACAACTGTCCCAGTCTGGTCTTGTGTGCCTATCACTTCCTGTCTTCCACCCAAACTTCCACACTGACAGTGAATAGTAGAAAACATTACTGTCACTGCTGACCTCTCACCTTCATCCCATTCTCCCGAATGTCTTTAATCAAAGCCCCTGGGTTCTCGGTAGCCTCAAGATGAAAGGTGTATTGATTGGCTCCTGCTACAGCCATTGGTTTTACCCACTGTTCCGGCCTGGACACCATCATGTGCATATCTAGAAAGAAAAGACACATCTCCTAAATATTACTGAAAGGAAAATACCTGGCTCAGATTACTGAAGCCAGCCTACCGTTTTTGCTGTTTTGGATAATAAACTATTTGGCATTAAGATAATTCTTAAATAATTACCCTTCTGTATAACTAGAGCTAGCCTCGTTTGATCTTAAAGATAGGGTTTCGGTTAAATTCACAAAAAAACTACAGTTTTCCACACAAGGCATATGGTGCTGTATATGACGACTAAGGACTAGAATTCAGGAAACCTAGGCCCAGGAAATGCCACTCTAAAAAACTTTAAAAAGTCCTATTATCTATGCAGACTTAATTCCTCATTTATAAAATAAGAAAACTAAATTAAATGATTCTACCAATATCTTATGGAGCACTTACTGCACCATTAACTATTCAAGGCCCCAGGGACAGAGCGAAAAACAGACAAAAGCCTCTGCTGACGGGATTACATTCTTAGTGGGGGAGACAAACCATAAAGAAAAGCAGTAAATACAGTACACACTAGGTTGGTAGTTAATACAGCCAGTGTGGCCGGGCAGAGGGGGTCAGGGGGAGAATAGATAAGAGGGCACAGGGTGAGGAGACTTGGGACAGAGCTCTGGAGGCCACTGGGCTTTATTCTGAATGAGATTGGGGGGGGGAGGGACACAATGGGCTCTTGAGTGAAGTGACCAGATCTCACCGAGCGGGCCATGGCAGTCACCCAGGGGAGCAAGGCCAATAGCAGTCACTGAGTCTGGTGAGAAGCGGTGGGCTCCTGGCTCTGCAGCTCGGGCCAGTGGGAGTGGCCAGAGGGGGTGGGGGTGGGTGGGGGCGACAGGAGCCAGGAAAGCGCAGGAGGAAACTGCAAATCTGACCACATCCTAACTGGACAGCTCAAGTCACAGACATGGGCTGGGGAAACAGGGGTGGCCTTCTGTAGGATCCTGACTTACAAGACCAATTAACGAGAAGGTGGCTTAAAAGAGGCTGAATCGAGAAATGATGCTGTCAAGAAGGCAACTGTAAATATTCCTGTGCCGGATGGATGTGCTAAGAAGAGCTGTGAGTTTGTTTTTTTGCCAGAGGAAGCATATTTCTGATAGAGCTGAGCTATAGTGAAAAAATTTCTAGTATTCTAGAACTCAACTGAGACCACAGAATGCAATAAGGCTTTGAAAACTATCAGGAAAAAGAGAATACCGCTTGACAAATGAAGCCAAGGTTAATAACAAAAGTAACAAAAATAAAACCTAGGTGAATAGGTAAAACACTGATAGACTATTTGGTGTTTATTTCTTTGTGTTCTAAACAAAGAAAAATCAATCTGCTTTAAAATATCTGTTTACTCATTCCTGAAATTACCAGACTGCTATGCTGTTCAGTCTCCAGCACGTGGTCCCCACGAGCAGCCCTCACTAGACGATCTCGTGTTCAGGGAGCCACCGGTCAGTGAAGCTGCCTGTAGTTATGTACTGAGGTCAGCAGTTCTCAAACATTCGATCAGCAGCCTCCCTTTACACTCTTAAAAATTACTGACCACCCCCCCCACAAAGGGCTGTTGATGTGGGCTGTATTTATCGATATTTAAAATGTATTAGAATTTCAAACTAAGGAATTTTTAAGTGTCTACTTATTAATTCATTTAAAAATAATAAGCACTAATAAATCTGTCACATGTTAATAAAAGTGACATTATTTTACACTTTTGCAAGTTCCTACTGTCTGGCTTGACAGAAGACCTCTGTATTCTCACATGTGCTCTGCATTCAGTCTGTTGCAGTATGTTGTTTTATATGAAAAAAAGGGGGGGAAAGTACAGGGAAAAGGGAGGGGTACATTAATAGCCTTTTCAGACCAGTGCGGATATTCTTCTATTTCTACCCCAAAACCCAACAACTAGGACTTTTATAAAGGTTAGCTGCAGTGTGGGATCTGTAAACTCTCCCAGGGACCTGCCTGCGCTTTGTCACACTGAAAACCGCAGGCCTTTCCTAAAACACTTTGAACAGATCTAAGTACCAGTTCACTGAATTACACAGCTTTTCCAAACAGTGATACATTTCATTATATCCTATCAGAAAAATCACACTTATTAAGATCACTACAGATTTTATCGGAAAAGCTGTAAATAGAAAGCTCACGACCTCACAGAGGCAGACACAAGTTTTTCAAAATTCAAATTTTCCCTTGCAAGCTCTAACTTTATCAGTGGAAACAAAAATGAGGTATCTTCCTTGAAGTGACAGGCTAACTTAGTTATTTTAAAGAAAATGTCCGTAAGATCCCTGAGTGGGATAACCATAGTTCGTCTGCCAGTTGTTCATTCAAGTGAAAATAGTGGTAGTGAGAAAGGCCGCCAGTCAGTTCACAACTCAGGGTGGTGCAAGTGGTTTTCCCCAAGAAAACCATCACCATATGTAGTTCCCACTCTGCACACCCAGTAGTGAAAGACACGCACCCGAGGATCAAGATTTACTGTAATGAATCATCTGCACTGATTCTTCAAGGGTATTTACTATGAACAACAGGGTGACGAAGAATAACGTAATAACTCCTTGGATAGTTCAATACCATTGCTCTGATTCGGGCCATGCACCAACAGACAAACTCACCACTGCACCCGTACAAATAATGGCAAATAACCCTGTCTTACGAAAACAGTGTTCACCTCCTGTTCCATCTGCAAGGGATTCCTGTGGGTCCTTAGACCACACCTGAAGACCGCTGATTTAGGGGATCACAAAACAAAAAAAAAACACAAAAACAACAGATTTTCCCTCTCACTTGATTGCTTAACGGTTACTACCACTCAATACTGAGACTGAATAGTTCAGAACTTAAGCAGTTATACATGCAACTTGTGAATTACTTCTTAGAATGTACACATGAATCAATTATCCAGCCACCACCAAGATCCAAGAATTAAACAAAAAACACACTTCTTAGGTCACAAAACCCAGACATTAAGGGATTGGAGTCCATTCATCTTTATTGTAGACCCACTTCTAGACAGACTGATTAGCGAGCTAATGGCAAATAAATGAAAAACAGAAAGAAAAAGCAGACTCTGTGTCGTTGCGGTCAAAAGGGTTGGTAAGACAGGAGACACAGACAGCAATGAGAAGTGATGCTAGGAGTCCAAATAAGAGAGGAAAAGGAAAAAAAAATTCTTTTAAATCCATACAAAGCCAGATGCGGAGGACTCTGTGGCCATTGAACAGTAGGGGCAAACAAGGTTACTTATTTCATTCACCTCTGATATTCCTAAGACAAATTTATCTTGGAAAATTCATTTTCTAAAATGTAATAAAAAAGTTTAGATCATAAGAGGCTTACATTCCATTATCTGACAATTTCAAAATGGTGAACATGCCAGTTGAACACGGTTTCCCTCCTGCTACATAAATTGGTAAGGTACAGGGGCGCCTAGGTGGCTCAGTTGGTTAAGCAACTGCTTTCAGCTCAGGTCATGATCCTGGAGTCCCGGGATCAAGTCCCGCATTGGGCTCCCTGCTCAGCGGGGAGTCTGCTTCTCCCTCTGACCCTCCCCCTGCTCGTGCTCGCTCTCTCTATCTCATTCTCTCTCTCAAATAAATAAATAAAAAATCTTAAAAAAAAAAAATTGGTAAGGTACATTTTCTTTCGTGCAAAGTCCATGGATCCTAGAAAGAGGCTCTGCCCGAAAGACATTTCTACGAAGACAGCAATGATCCATAGCGGCATTATACAGAACAGTAGTCACTAGACTCACATGGCCATCAAGAGCCTGCGATATGGTTAATGCCACTGAGAAGCTTCATCTTTCATTTCATTTAATCTGAACTAACTTAAATTTAAATAGCCACATATGGCTAGTGACGACCATATGGGACTGCACAGCTAGAATCCTTCATAAAATTGGTCCACAATCTGCTGGAAAAAAAAAAAAAATCTGTTTTATAATTCCAAAAGTTACATAGGAACATATTTATAAAAATTTGTTAAATTTCTTATGTACAAGAGATTTGTCAGGTTAAGCCATTGCTAACTTAGTTTAAAAGAGCAATAACAACATGTGGACTGAATCCATGTTCACGAGAAATAACTTCCAGGTCACTGAGTCTTCTTAAAAAGCTTACCTCACCTTATTCTACAATACCACAGTGGAGCGTACATAGGCCCCACTTGTAGAAACTCCAATTTGCATGAAATAATTGGTTTCGCTTCTAGACCATAAATCGGCTGATTTATAAATTCATTTAACAATTACACTAAGCGCCAATCTTGTGTGTATGCTTACCTTTAGGAAAACCACAGTAAACAAAGTGGATTAAATTCCTGCTCTAAAGGAGTTTACAGTTAGATAAAAGTAATCTGATTGAAGGAATTTCTAGAAAGAAAATTCAGAAGGTGATAGGATAACTGGACAAAGGTTAATTTAGGATGGGGTGCTTAGAAAGGCCTCTCTGAGGAAATGCCAAAAATTCAGGGCCAAAAGATAAGGCAGAGCTGGCCAAGTGAACAGTGTTCCAGGCAAGGAGATCAGCGAAAGTGCCAAGGCCCTGAAGCAAGAAAGAGTTTGGCTTATTAAAAGCAGCCAATGAAGCCTCGGCACAGAGAGCAGGGGAAAGGGTTCAAGATGAGATTGGAAGTTGAGAAATCAACCATCTACTTTTCCTTTACTTGAGCAACACATCCGGCTTCCGACAGCATAACACCCACTTACCAAAGAAAGGGTCCTGGCCTAGCTGCTTTCGGAGGCTTTCTACCACAGGGTGCCCAAAGGTGATGTTGGGAACAAAATGCCTATAAGACAAACAAAATCTTACTCTGAAAATGTTTTCAATTCAGTTTCTGTATTTTTCTCAAATGTATTCTCATGGGGGTAAAGGGGATCCTCTGTGATTGCAGTATTTTTCAATGCAGTATTTAACATCAACAGTATTAACAATACCAAAACATCTTGGTAATTTCAGTTTTACAAAGCAGGATTTCCTTGATATTTCAACAAATCATAACAACGTCACAAGACTTAACTCTATAATTCATCATCCAACAGGTAAAAATGGAAAGAAGACACAATCAAAACCCAAGTTATGACTTGCCCAAGTCACACACTAGTTAGGAAGTTCTGGACTCCGACACGGGTCTCAAGCCCTCACCTGTCAGAGGCTGCCTGTGGCTACTACTAAACCACCTCGATCACAGGGCACTAAATGACAATTTATTTAACATTTCTTAAAGATTATCAATAAAGAAGCTTGATGTGTATATTAATAACCACCATTTCCAGAGGGCTTACAACATGCCAGGTGTTGTACCTTCTTTCATTTCATCTTCACAACAGCCTTATGAGGGAGATGCTGTTCTATCCCCCAGCTGAAGAGCACAGGATACAGAACTTCCTGAAGTCACCCACTTCATAATCTGTGGAGGCAGGATGCAAATGAGGTCTTCCTGACATCCGACCCAAAGTACTACACACCATAACGTACTCCAGGTAGTCCTTCTATCGCTAGCTCACTTCAATATGGAACAAAACCCTCTATACAAGGACCAGGCTGGGTTTTACACAGAAATATGGGAGTTCCTGCCTACCCAGAAAAGTTTACCATCTCATTGGCAAGAGACAGCTAAGGCAAGAGACAGAATCCATGACCTACTGGTACAGCTGCTGGTGAGAGCCATCTCCCTCTCCCTCCACATCCAGGTGGCCCGTGCGACTCGTTCTCACCAAAGACTGTGAATTTAAGTGATGGGTATCACTGCAGAACCCAGGAGGTTAAGAAGTGTTCCTCTTTTGCTCTCACTTTACTTTCCTATCAGTAGAGAAACCCTTAAGGAATGACAGTCACAGGATGGAAGCAAACGATGTCCCTGAATTTCTTCACGGGAGGACATTCACACTCAACTGTGACATGACCAAGAACTACACTTTATAATATTAATCCACTGAACTCTGGGCTTTATTGGTTAAAAGTAGTAGGTATTACCCTATGTGAGGATCGCAAGAAAAGCTAAACAATAACAAGTGGGCAACCTGAGGTAAGTAATATGGCACATTAAAAGAGGAGAAGATCACAAGATTTACAGAACAAATAGAATTTGTAAAGATGGGAAAAGAAATGAAGCAAAGGCAGAAATAGGCACGTTACATTCAAAGAAGGGGAGAGGTGGTGGTGTTCAGCTTGGCGAGCGTGAAAAGAACAGGAGGTGGACTGCGTCACATTAAGGGTATCGAAAGCCAGGCTCAGTGGCTGGACTCCATCCTGTGGTAAATGTGAAGTGAGGTTTTAAAGCCAGAAGCAGCTGGCTCAGTCCGTAGAGCATGTGACTCTCGCCCTTCTCAGAGCTGGGAGTTTGAGCTTCACAGTGTGTGTAGGGATTACTTAAAAAAAAAAAAAAAAAAAGTATTAAAGCAAGAAGCAAATAAAAAATAAAGTGCAAATAATAAAACAGGAAGATGGACTGGGCAGTACATTGGAAGAAAGGAAGTAGGTGTTGGCAAATGGCAGGGAACTGTAAGAATGGAAATAAGGACCGATACACGCGACAGGATTGTTAACTGATTAGATTTGCAGAGCTGAAAAGAGAATAAACCATGATTAAGATCTTAAGCTTAGAGGACAGAATGAGTGCTAATAAAAAATTAAAACTTACATGGGCCAGCCACCATTCTAAACACGTTCCATACGTTAACTCATTAATACCTCACAACTCTCTGGGGTAGGTACTCCTATCATCTGTATTTTACAGCCGAGGAAAAGAGGCTCAAGGTCACACAGCCACTAAGTGCTGGAGGCAGGCATTAAACACAGGCCATCTGGCTCCAGAGTCCAGGCTCTTAACTAATATGCTCACCTGCCCATCTATGATAACAACAAAACAAGAGAGTTCAGGGGAGGAGGAGGAGAGGTCAGGATTCAGGGCAACTCCGAGAAGGACCGGCTAAGGTGAATGGACGGGTGTGGACACTTGCACTTGCAAACACTGTGGTCCTTGGAGGTTGGGTTTCCAGTATTTAGAAAAGCATTCTACCGTTTACCTCAGAGCAGTGACTGCCTGCGCTACGGATAAGATGCTTATTGTGTTTACTCAGAACTTGGCGGTGAGGATCGGAGAAGCAGACAGTGAGGTTTACTGGATACTATACAACTCTGGAATGAAAGGTTTGGATTTTGCTCATTGTTCTTGTAACCTGCTGCATGGCCTTGGGAGGACTTTTGTTGCCTCAACCTTAGGTTGCCTTTATAATGAAAAGAGACTGTGTCTATTTTCACATCCATCTAAACACACACATCTTGAGAAAATAGGAGAAAAAAACAAATATACCTTTACCTTATTGGGAAACAAGAATACAATATCACTTAAAACTACTCATCCCCAAATTGTAGGACTAAATGCACTGATGATCACTGCAATGCACTGGGTTCACCACAGCCGCTGGAAGAATATAAACCTACCGACGCCCTCAGAAGAAACCAAAGGCTTATGGTTAAGCCGGAACAAAAAAGGGCAACAAAGCCAAGCATGAAGTCAAGGGGTTCTAAATTTGCCTGATAAGAGTAACCTTGGGAGCACTTGTCACAAAAGGATTTACAGGCCCTACTCCAACCCTAGGACACCAAAGAGGACCTGAGAATCTGAATTCTTGACAGATGCCCTGGGAGTTCTTATCAGACCAGCTTGGAAAATACCAAATTATTTCACTCTAATGAAGAGAAATCTCATCAAGGAAGTCTGTTTCATCATTATATTATTCTTTTTTTTCCCCCTTAAAGGTACTTTCTGAAGTCTGCAAAAAAGAAAACACAATAAAAAAGTATCTTTTTTCCCCCAGAGACTTCCTGAGATTAAGCTGTAATTGTTTCCAACACAGGTATACAATTATTTTCTCTCTCATCATGTATCATCATCAACCCTAAATTTTGTTTACAGTTGTCATACAATCGATTTCAGACAGATAAAACCTTTACCAGATCTCCCAACAAGGCTAAGATGGTAAGAAGATGATTAAGGTTGATCGAAAACGTAGCAAGACTGTAACCAGAAAACATTTCCCGAGAATCAGGCAACACAATTTCATATGCCTACAGGGGCTGGCAGAAAACATGGAGGAGCAGAACAGGGCAGATGGGGACAGGAGACAAATGAAGAACATCCATTAGCCTAGCTAATGGAGGTTGTGGACCCAGTACAGGCAAATCTTCGGATGTTTGTCAAAGGTCAGCAATCTAGTACTAATGTGACATCTCCCCAGTTTTAAATCCCAGTAACCAATTTAGAAACTGCTTATTTCCTCTCTTCCTACACTTAGGACCAACACACTTCTGGTCCCTGTCATGACAGATGTATATGTTTTCCAATTTTCTAGAGAACTCACTTGTTCTTTTTTTCAAGTATCCAACGATACTAGTGCACGGCCCTCCCCCCGCCCCCAAAATAATCCCAAAACTCGTTCCTGACTTTCAAGATAAAGACATTCAGTTTTAATCAGGAGAGAAACTGGGGGCTTCAGGGAGAAAGGGGAAACAACAGGTGCATCCAAATTGTAATACTGGGGTTTTTTTTTTTAAAGGGACCAGGAAACAGAAAAGCACGAAGGCAGTACCTGGAGGGAAGGTAAGTCGTGGTTGGCCACCTTGGAAAAGGGAGTCCAGGCCCCCACTTGCATACACCTGGCCCAGGAAACAAGGCAGCTCAGCCAGCTTTGCCTTTTCTGGCGGGACATCAGGAAGAGGTTGGACCTCCCTGAACTAGTTTCCTCCTTTGCAAAAGGGGAATAAAAAACACCTCTTAGCTCAAAAAGTTGTGAAGGTTAAATGGGAAAGGTTTAAAATGGTGTTTGGAGAATTTAATTTTGTCAAACCAAGAGGTTACTTGGCAAAGGGGGAAAGGAGTCAATAAAAAACAAATACTTTTATCTTAATAAGCTCCGGGCCTGCCATAGGGCTGGGAGGGGACAAAAGTTATTCATTAGAGATCTATTATGACAGATCCAATCATTCATTCAGCCAATTATAACTAAGCCTGTCACAGTGCTTTACCTGAGGAGGACTGAGGTGAGCCAGAGACTCTGCTTTCAGGGAGTTTACACCGTAGGAGAGACGTGAAATAACAAAAATAAGTGTATAGTTACTCTTCAAGGAAAAAGAATGTGTTAATCATTCTCTGTAAGCCCAGGTCCCACAGGAGACATTAGTTTCTGAGACAACACAGCTGTTGCCTGCTTCTAATCCTTGCTCCTCCATTTCCTAACTAGGAGACCTCAGACAGGCGACTTAACCTCTCTATGTCCAATTCCCCACTGTCAAATGCTGGTGCCAATAACAGCCTCCTAAGGTTGTGTGAATTAAACCACAAAGAGCATCAGAACCGAACTAGTTAAGTGTTCAAAAGTATTAGCTATTACTGTTATCATTAATATTCCTGACCTGTGAACAGAAACATTTTTTTTTTTCCATTCAGTTACTCAAACAGGGTACAAAACTTATTTAAAAAACCAAATGGCTTTCCCTATTAAAAAAGACTACATACATATACATGTAGCCTGCTCTATCCTGAGGTAGGTGTCTCAGACAAAAAATTTGTGTCCCAGACATGAAAATGTAGCCATCTCTGAAGATACACTCCATTCAGCTACGTGTGAAAGTTCAGAACTTTCCAGAAAAGCAGAATTATGTACATGATAGCACAATAAAAATCAGGTTTTTGTGAGAGATAATATTTACTAATCTTACACACTTAGCCTAGAATTCTTAGTATTCTAAGGTCAAGATTTTGCCATCATCAGTTGGGATACTGATAACGGAATGAGACGCAAAAGGAAAACAAGCTTTAATCAGAGAGAACAAAGGAAGACAAAACTCTTGTTAACAGGAGTGACATAAAAAAAGGAAGTAACTGACCATCTTTTGTAAATAACACAATTTGCAAATTTGCATGAAGTCACACAGGAATTTTACCTATTTGAAATATATTTTATTTTTCTACCCCAACCCAAAGTAATGGCTGTTATTACTTTAAGGCCAGTTATCAGCAGGGCTCAAAAAACTACTTGGCCAATCCAAGAAAATACAACTTGCAACTCTGTCACAATGTTGTGTAATCCTGAGAGTCCTACTGTTTTCTCTAGGTTCGTTTCCACGTCTTATAGCCAACTTCAAAAAACTAGCATCATCCTGGTTCTGAACAATATTGATTATGTGCTGTAACTACAGTGCTTAAAAATTACTTACAAAAAAACTGACCTCCCTGAAGAGCAGGGTGCCTGAAGAGAAAATAAACAGGAAAATCAAAATTCGAACAATGATACAACAACTAACAATTACAGAGAATTTACTGTAGGTCAGGCACTGTATACTTATCGTGTTAGCTCCTTTCATCTTCCAAAGTTGCCTAAGCGGTAGGTTCTATTATTACTCCCATTTTTCACATAATGAAACTGAAGCTCAATGAGGTTAAGTAGCTTGTCCCGGGTGACCCATCAAATGGCAGAACTCGGGCAATCGCACTACAGGGGCCAAGCTCTTCATCGTTATAGAAACCTTTCTCCCCAGCTTTGCCACTAACTAGCTATATGAGCTTGGGCAAGTCATGCCTATCCCCTCGGGCCTCAGTTTCTCTTAACTGAAAATGAGAGACGTATCCTAGAGGCTTACGATTGCGACCGGGTCCCAGGTGCTAGGAGACCACACGTTACGTGGGGGGAGGGGAGGTGGAGGTTTGGGACGCAGTCGCAGCCCAGCATTCGGCCTCGGGTTCGCTCCAGGAAGGGCCTTCAGGACCCTCACCCCAGTCCCTTTGTCAGTACCGCGTTTAGAGTGAGGCGCTCTGCCGTACAGGGACGCCGTGCACCCAACAGGCACTCAATAAAGGTGCGCCGAGCCCGCCCCGCGCGGCAACCCTGACCCGAGCCCCGAGGAGTTACCCGTCCATTACATCCAGGTGCAAATAATCGGCCCCAGAGTCCAGCATCCGGAGGCACTCAGCCCCTAAATTGGCCAAATCGCTGTTAAGGATGGACGGGCCAATCTTGCAGCCAGACGCCATGGTGCCGGTTCCCAAGAGCAAGTTACCCACGAGTCCCCCGGTAAGACGAAAGTGTCGCCCCGATTGGCTGCGCAGTTTGAGCCCCTTCCCGGTAGAGTCTTCCGGACTCTACCGGAAGCAGCTGCCCGGGGGGAGGAAGTTCCGCCTCCCCGGGGGCGGGCTGTCTGCCCAGGGGCTTTGGGGCGGGGCCTCGCCTGCAGGCCCATTCTTCTTTCCCTTGACCTTCCTTCTGGAAATGAGCCTTTTAGGTTTCCCAGTCCTAGCAGGATTCGAGGAGTTTTTTAATTTTTTGCTTTACATCCCCTGCAGTTCCCTTTCCTCGGCTCTTGTCCTCACTCCACTTTTTGCTTCCCAGTTGTTTGCATCTGTGCTGCTTTCCTCTCCTCTTGGGCTCCTGTGCTTGCCTTTAAAAAACAAAACGAAGGGGCGCCTGGGTGGCTCAGTAGGTTAAGCGTCTGCCTTCTGCTGAGGGCATGATCCCACGATCAAGCCCCGAGTTGGGCTCCCTGCTCAGTGAGGAGTTGGCTTCTCCCTCTGCGCCACCCCCACCCCGCCCCACGGGTTGTGCTCTCTGGCTCACAATCTCTAATAAATAAAATCCTTTCTTCTCATCTCTGTCTCCTTGAACTCCTCTGAAGAGGTGAAGGAGTCAGATTTAGGGCAGAGTCCTCTCTCTTCCAGATACGAACTGGGTAACGTGGCAGTCACTTCCCCCTGCCTCCTAATTCTCATCTCTAAGGATCTTCCCAGTCTTTAGGATTGTTGTAAGGATTAGATAAGTGAATCCAGGTAAGGAAACCAGCACATGATATCTGGTGCTCAGTACAGAATGTGGTGGTTATTATTATTACTATTCTCCTTCTGGGCTTCCGGCCCTCATCCTTACCTTCTGTTTTTCCCTCTCAGTAATGTTCGGTGACAAGTTGTAATACATTTATTTACTATTCAGACAGTCTGAAAGAGGGTAAGAGTGTTCCTCTGCTAAATGTGCCTAGGGTCATTGAGTCAGGACCAGATGAAATAAAATCACGTGAGGGAAAAAAAAAAAGAGGATTTAGCAAGAGCATAGCTTAGATGGTAGGGAATGGACACTTTGTACTCTACACCAAAGACAACTGGTGGTAACTTGGACTGCATCGTGGTTCCAGCCACATTCAGAGGGCAACCAGCTCCTTCACATTCCTCCTGGGAAATCTACCAGTTATTCCAGTGGGTCACAATCCAGGCAGAGAAATCAAGCTGGGTTACCCAGTTTCCCAAGTTGCCCCCTCTGCTTTATTTTGAAGGATACTGGTGGAAAGTTTGAGTAAAATGGTGCTCAGCTAGAGCTGGAGGGAAGAATTGGAGGTGTCTAACTGAAGGGTGACGGCAAGCCAGACTGTGGGAGTTGAGAAGAGACCTCAAGGCACACCCCAGGGATGCAAAATGAACATTTTTCTGAATGAGTTAACGTATTTCCTATGTCCAGAAATGAGAAATGAAACTTAATCAGGCATCTTAAATATTTTTAGCTTTATTATTATATGTGCATATTCAAACACAGAGGTCTTAATATCTTTCATAAATATCTTTCATAAACATTTCAGTATTTATTCATATGCATTTTTTTCCATGCTCTTTGGTCATTCATAACAGACTTCAAAGTCATCTGAGGGAAGTTGGCTGTGTAATCAATCTTTTGTTTTTACCTATAAAATGGCTAATAAAGGATTTTCATCCTGCAGTCACAGTGACTATTGAAAAATATTATGGAGGTACATTGATCTGTAATGCTAAATGATCCTGAAATAATATAAGTAAATTTGTCTTAAGCTTTTCCAAATACATTCTGCCCTTGTTTTTATTGTCCTGAGTGTCAAACCAAACTTTGTTTCTGAAATGCCGCAGTTGAGACCCACTAAAGCAAATGAGGAAGTGGGACTTTCTACTCACTGCCAAGACAAGGCCATGGAATTGGGAGGGTGAGGTCATAGGGCAACAGCATAACTTGGTGTGATAGCAGCAGATTCCAGAGACTTCATAAAGTATCCTGTATAACTTGAGGAAGGGTATTTAGTTTGCATTTTGGACTGTAATTCCATCTCACCCTTTTTTCCTTGTTGGTCCCTATAAACACCCTAGTCTCATCATAGATGGTCTTAGAGCTAGACAGCAGAGTGAAGAATGTTCTTCATTGACTAAAAGGACAGATACTAAAGAAGGGAGGAAGGGCGCCTGGGTGGCTCAGTCAGTTAAGCACCTGCCTTCGGCTCAGATCATGATCCCAGGGCCCTGGGATCAAGTCCCATGTCTGGCTCCCTGCTCTGCAGGGAGTCGGCTTCTCCCTCTGCCTCTCCCCCGACTCGTTCTCTCAATCTTTCTCTCTCAAATAAAGAAGGGGGGAGATGTCACCCTGCCTACCGTGCTCTTGCAGGCTTGAAAGAGAAAACAGTTATTCCCAGCCTGTGCAACAGGCCCTAACCAGACACCCAAACAGCACATATATATATATATATATTTTTTTTTTTTTCCTTCACCATTGTCATGCCCAGTTATGCCTTTTGATACTGTGGTTCTCAGTGACTTGTCCTGATGCACTTATTAACTCAGTTTCCTTTTCGGAAAAATCAAATAACTTATCTAGTAGAATTATAAAACCAGCAAATACTGAAAAATGAAAGTAAAATATTTTGCTATAGAAAATGCCGTATCCGGGATTTGAACTGCTTTAATTGAATCCAAGTGGTCTAAATCTACACCCACTATAACGGATGATACATGTTTATTCTGAGGTCTCTCAAAAGATAATTTCAGAAGAAGCAACCTCTTGGTTGAGTCCAATTTTTTATACATGGGAAGTAGGTGCCTGTTTTGATTTTCCTTTAAACAAGATAAATATCATTAAGCATCATAGCTTAAGAAATAATCTAGTATGACTAATCTGTATTTATCATATATAATAATTTTTAGTCATATACTCAATAATATTTTGATTACAAAAACTGTTAATTATCCTGAACTTTTTCTGATCTTCCCCAACTGTTTTTTTTAAAATAATTATTCTTTCAAACTCCAGGTAACAGTACTCCTGAGAATACATCTTGAGACAATCTTATGCACATACATATAAATACTTTATCAATTACACATAAACATTCAACACATTACATTCAACACATTTAAGGGCACCTTAAATGCAACAGATGCACACATCTGCAAAACCTCAGTAGTCCTAGTATGAAAACATTCCCACTCTGTAAGGCCCTGTTTCTCAGAGTGGAGGCTTTTTTGCAAGGTACAACGATACTTAGCTTATTAAAAAAGTTTCTAACAGACTTCCATAACACTAGAGTGAAGGAGTCAGGCTGAAAGACGGACATGCCAGTATCATCATGTTCAAAACAGCCCAAGACTTTTTAAGTACATATAAAGGTATTTAGAATCCTCAGATACGCAACAATCTTCTTTGACCCCTTTACTTTTTAAACATTGGATACAATTATACGTGGAGAATTTGGATCAAGAATCAAAAAACTGGACCAAAGTGCACACATATATAGAGACTCATATAGCCCAGACACCTGTAATTACCAAACATAAGGCCTCTAACACTAATTGAGCAGCATAATTTTTAACAGGCAAAATACATCAGCTTAGAAAGAATCATCAAACCACTTTATATGTGTATTTCTACACTTGAGAATTAATTCAACATTAAGTAAATGTCCTGAAAATTTTGTAAAACATTGAAAGAGGCCATATACCCCCTCTATTTTCTCAAGTTTTAGATTTGAAATTTTTCATTTTGTCCATTATCTTTAACTCGCAGATGTCTTTAATTCTCTTAGTAAATGGGACCCAAACCCCAAATTCTATTTGAAAGTATAAATCACAACCTAAGCAATGCCTATTTAATAAGCAAATCTAACAGAAAAAAATAATTTCCCTTTGTGATTTGGGTGACTTTAGCAGGTCTCCTCTCTCTATTAACATACTTTTCATAGCCAATGTAGTTGAAGTTAAAGCATACAGAATGTGTTTTCAATTCATTGCAGTGTAATCAAAATCTGTAACTTCAACTGGAGGACTAGAAAAATGCACACACACGCGCACACACACACACCCCACACCAATTTAGGTACATATATGAGTTTTTATATGTTTAGTAGTTATGTAACAGTTTTCTAATGTAAACTGTTAAAATTTTGAAATTCAGTTTTGAACTATATGATGCCAAGCCCTGTTACAGGATCAGTAACACACTAGATATGGCCTCATGAGCCTTCTAAGTTTTATGCTTTTCTTGAAGTAAGTGAACTTCAAGTTAAAGTAAAATACACAAGCTCACTGTGTCTATGAAGAGATTGCTCACTTTATAATTTTTCCTCATAAACGTAGATGTCTAAAGGATCATAGGAAAATTGTTAATGTTGAGAAAAAGTTATTTTATTGAACCAATTCTAACAATAACCTTAATATCTGAAAATATGCCCTCAAGGGCAGGCACAGGATACTGTAATCACATCTTCCAATATCTCTTAATCTTGGCATTGATGTGGTCATGGCTAGAAGTAGGAATACGATCTCTTTCTAGCTATTATATTTACATTTAGTTTATATCATAGTATAGGCTGTTTAGGTTCTTAATTCAAAATTATGTCTGATAATTTTTTGAATATTTTCCCTCTAATGTGGTTGTGAAATGGAATGATCTTAGGGCTTTAGCATTTTGATTTACAACATGCAAGGTAAATGACGGTTGAAAAATAAATATTGAAAAATCCAGAGCTTTAAAAATAGTACTTTTTTTCTTCTTCTTGTAAATGGCTGTATTGTTGATCAAAGCAAAAATGGCTGCAGCCTTATTTATTAGTCTTCTCAAACTAATATTTTCCTTATTGATTATTTTTATGTAAATTGCTACTCATACAGCCACCTGATTTAATATTTTTGAAACTATAAAAATAAACATTTGCATGAGATGTATAACGTGAGTAATCTCAAAAATTGCATTCTCTTTTTAGAACATATTATTTGTTAATATTCCTAGGTAAGCAGCTCCATAATAGTATATATTTTTAACTGCTCGAGGCTTCTTGAATCATAAATAATGTGCAGTGAAATGGCTCTTTCCTCTTATTCTTCCCTGGTTTTTATGGTCTTCACACAACCAAATTATCTTAGCCATTGACTTTTTGTAAAGATGTTTATGAAACAACGTGCGCATTAGCAGCAAAATCTACTGAGATTTGTGTCACCCGTTGGATGTAAAGTGCTGTGTTTTCATCTTTTCCAAGCAAAAGTATTCACCTTTTAGGAAAGCGATCCCTCCCACATCTTGTCTACACCTGCCACTTTTAACAAGATACGGAATTAAACATGAGACTCATCTAGGTCTCCGTCAGTCTCCCCCAGCTCAGTGGGCATCAGAGTGAACTGGCTGGACAGCAGGGGGTTCTCCATGCCATGTTCCTCACTGATGTGAAGGATGGTGTCTCCGTGCTGTAGGAGGATGGATGTCTCAAGGCCTGTGAATTCATCAGGGTCTGAGAGCTGCGTAGAGAGGGGGCCGTGTGCTGGAGCACCTTGCACTTCTGCGTCCTCTCTCTTTTCTCCTTCTTCAGCGGGGAGGGGCTCACTCTGTCATCAAAAGGATCAGAACATCATGGAAATCAGGAGAGGTGTGAGGAAAGAGGATAAAAATGTCACTGTCTACCTGAAGCTGGACAAGGACACTGGCCAGTCCCAGCTCTAGCTTTTGCCATATGTGAGCTCTTATATGGACCCTTTCACCCTCGCAAGCCTGTTTCCTAACCTGCAGCATGGGTGTATTTTTTTGCCCTGCTTACCCTGTAGACTGTGAGGATAACGAGATGGTGGTGTTACGAGGCTTGTTAACCATTCAACACTCTACAAACGTATGCAGTATTATTGCCCCTTAGCTTTCTCTAAATGACACTGGGAAGGACACGGGGCCTAAGGGGATTCATTTATAAAAATTCAAAGAAGAAAAAAAAATCAAAACAACAAGAAAAAGTCAAAACGATGAGGAAAAAGTTCAGAATATTGAGTTCCTCTCATCTCATAGGACACAGACAGCTATTTACAGGCTTCTAGACCAGTAACTTTATTTTCCTTTCAAATTGAACTATCTTTCAACCAGGTATCATATCATGGTTTTCAATGGTTATTTTAGTTGTGAAATATTTTCTCTTGGGTTTTTCATAACAAAGAATCCCAAGATTTCTCTTATTCCTTCTTAAATAGATGTATTACTGCCCACATACTTTATATGGATGTTCTTGTCCATGACGACAGGATTGTTGTCTGTCTGGGTAACAAAATGTTACAGACTCAGACTTCCATTATACGAAATAAATGTGCATATCCATGTTGTTCCTAGACACAAGTGTGCAGGGGGCAAGCCTCTCCTGTTTCTTTAGAGCCCTCACCTGCCTTGGAGACAGGCTGTGAAGATCAGCAACTACAATGGCAGGGGAAGATGTGAGGACTGGTTTGCCCATTCCTTCCGGCTTCTTAGATGGGGCTGGACTGCAGCCTTGTGTCTGGCCTGTGGTGGGAAGTGTTTCTGGTGGGGCAGCGGCTGGCTCCGGCTGAGCCTCGATGAAGGTCACAGAACGTTTCTGATCCGCTGTGGGTCAGAAGTACAGCAGTAAATAGGGAAAAAATATATTGTCAAAGTGCTTAATAATTAGCTTTAACCAGTGTTTCCTAGCTTTTCTTTGTAAAGACACTGCTGGCTTATTAATAAATAAGAGCATATTTGACTATTATGTACATGTTTTGATTTCACCTCCTTATAAAGAGAACTTGGGTAGAAAAAATCATTTTTACATAAATGGCTTAAAACAAGATTTCCATAGAGCATTAGGTAAACTTGGTCACCGCTCATAACAGCTACCAACAAGACTTAAAAGTCCCTATCATTCATCATTTCTTTGTCTTCAGTAAGACATAACAAACTCAGTTTCTAGCTTGGGTAAAGAAAACACAACCTTCGAGAATCAAATCTCATAGCATTTGTGGTTTACCTTGGACTCTTCCATTTCCCTAGACTTATGGGGAAAGGATAGGGGAGGAAAGGTGAAAAGAAGGAAAGGCACTAAAGTGCTCTGGGAAACTTCTTCCTTTATCCTGAGCAGGACTGCTCGGGGTCTGCAGACCTTCCTGACCGAGTTGCATGACACTGAGTCAACGGTATAGTCAGAAGGGACAAGGAGGCCTCACCAGATGGCTTCGTTTTAGGTTGAATACTCCTGCGAGTGGTTGACAGCCGAGCCCCGTGGCGGTTTTTGGGTTCAGTCTGCGTCTTCTGACGTGACAGTAGAGGACGTCTTAGCTAAAGAGAATAGGCAGAATAAAGCTGGCAAGAGGGTTCTAACTGCCTGGGAGGAAACTCTGTGCTCAGAGGATTCTATGATGTATTCTTTCCTTTATGGGTTTCTGTGGATGCTTGTACTTGTAGCCGATAAATTAAACTTCTTTCTGCATACGGAACGACTGAGTATTTCAATCTGGCATCCCCTTTAACCAATTCTATCTCCCAATTATTAGTTCTTTACCTATCCCAAGGACATTAATTAATATAATTTAAAATAGTCAATGTGACAATTTCAGGATACATAACTAATAAGTATTGCTTGTTGATCAGCCTTTGCTCATCTAGAAGTTGTAGTTAAACACATGCTAATTCTCAATGGGAGGCTGGTGAAAAAATTTCAGTTGCTGAGAAAGTGTCTGGTATGCAAATGCTGGGAAGCTCCAATCAAAGCGACTGTACAAAGGCTCATTTAAATTTGTATGTAGAGAGTAAAGGGACCCCACCTGAGGAAATCTGTAAAGATGGTCTTTACTTTGATTTCGGTTTTAACCTGAATCATTAATTGTGAAATGAGGAAGAAAGGACAACTGGGTCTGTGCCTCTATATAGAAACAGGCCTTACATCAACTTCATAACAAATATTCCTTGCTCGGTAAGTTTGGTTGGGAAAGAAGGTTTCTGAACAGGGGACGAAGAGAAGTATAGACCTACTTATGAGCCTAGGAATCAGCTTTACCAATAAGAAGATTCAAAGCTAAAATAGAAGCTAAAAACTCTCTGCTTGCTTTTAAAGTTGCTCTTGTACTGCTTATTTCGGGCGGGGAGAAGGCCAAAGAGGATCTCCATATACTTGGGCATTACAGATTAACTAGAGCTTCCATTTCATAGGATGACTCTCCTGCCCTTTCCGGGTCTGCTTACCTGCCTCAGGCCCCTCTTCCTCCCCAGCGGCTGCTGAATGAGGAGGTTCTGTTGGCCAGGTTCACTCTGGACACTTGGCACCCTGTCAAGCATCAACAGTGTTAGCGGACCTGGGAGAGAGTACAGATGACCATCCTCTGCTGGGTGTTAACCAAAGCCACTTCTATGAAACAGTCACTTCAAAGATACCATTATCTTTGAAGGAAGGTTGGGAAAGTATCCCTGGGATGGGAGATTTCAAGGGTTTGGGAGGGAGGACAAGGCCTCGTAGCCCCAAGCTGCCAAAATTGAGATTTTGATTTTAGTCACTGATGCCATATCTATCATTCAGCAAAACATTGGTTCGATCACACCCCTGGTTTGGAAGCCACCAAAAGGTTAAAGATGTCACATTCTAATCTCAATTTTTTTTTTTTTCCAAGGGGAAGGGAAAAGGTGGTGACAAACAAACACAAACGACTCTATCACATGGATGGGAACACCTTTGTTAAAATTTCAGTTTAAATGAGAATAAGATGGACAGATATCAAACACATCAGACACAGAATCCATTTGGGTGAAGGGTCACATTCAACACATGTTTGCAGCCTGAAGTCTCTGTGACTACTGGGTAAATGCATAGTCACATGGGTAGACAATTAAATGTTTTTTAAGAAAAGATTTTAGATTTAAAAGGCCGGCAAAATAATCAAGCTATCAAAAGAACTCAGAAACTTAATTGAATAGCTGCACTCAAACATATTGTGCAATTTATAAAAACAACAACCTGCTCCCCCCAAATTTACTGTGTATGTGTGTATTTTATATGCAAAAATGACTCCTGACAGTGCTTGCTACTTCAATGTAGGGTGAGGCTGAAAATACTGTCATGGGCCCATGATCCATTTTCATTCTGCATGCATGTATAATAGGTATTTATAATGGGAATGGCGGTGAAAAAAAAAGAAATGTTTTGTGCCCCAGAGAACACTGTAATCCTGTGTATGATGCCAATGTGCTTATTTGGTTAATGGACAATTGGTTTCTGCTTTGCCTTTGCAAAAGGAGAGCCATCTACAAATGGTTTTTAGAGTAAAATATTCCACAGAGGAATCCAGAGTCAGCAACTGTCCAGGAAAAAGAAAGACTATATTCATTCATTTCCATTAAAAAAAGAGAGAGAGAGCTATTTAAAATATCTAGCTGCAGTTGTAGAGAAAGAAATTGGTGGCAAGATAGACGATCAGATGTTTCCCCTGTTATGTTAACAATTGGTTAACCCTCACTTGGGTGATAGTCATGTCTGTCATTTTTTAAAAGTCTTACTCGTATTTCCACTAGAAGAAAATCAACGATTCCCAAATGGAGTTTCTCAACGTTTTTATGAAATAAGGATGTCATTTTATCATAATTATACCATTTGGGGTACACAGTACAAAATTCCATAAAGAGTCCCCCAAACAGATGCTTTTTAAACTTTCTTGTTCTCCTTAATGTCAAGTTCAAAAGATCAATATACATTATTTTTATACATATGTGACCTTTCTAGGAAGATGGAAAAATATTCAAAGGAACAATGCAATAAATTCTGATAAGCAATCCAGACTATGTTGCTGGCATGTTTGAAGTGACATCTCCTTATTAATTATACATTTTAACATGTGCCTTAAATTGGAAAGAATATTTGATCACCATATGCACAGAAGTAGAAACAAGTTTCTCCCAAATACCAAGCAAAGCTTTCTTTGGGATGGTTTCTTCACTGACATCTAAATGTTACCTCAGTTCCCTTGGCCGTAAAGGGAGGTTAATACTTACCACCTACCTCCCATTAAGGTCGAGAAAAGAAGTTAGTTGATGTAAAATGGTTTGGACATGAAAAGGGATGTATATAGCATGCTTCTTTGTTTTACATTTGATATTTGTAATGAGTTTATTGCTTCTAGAACACTAAAAGGAAGTGGGTTATAAAATGTTTTGAAAATAATTGGGCAGAGAAAATGAAATTGAGGCAGTCCACTTGTCTCGTTTTTATTCAATAACCGGAGATTGTGAGAAAAAAATGGTGCAAGAAAAGAAATACACGTTACTCAGGGACTGTTAAATGTCAAAGCATAATGGTAGTTTCATGATGATTATTCCAAGAGAGGATCATAAGCACCAAAATTTTCTCTATGGATAGAGAGGCTTATATCTAAGAAATGAATCAAGTTTACAGCTTCAGTAATTAGCTGTTCTATGTAAATGATACAGTATTTCATCAGTGGAATGCACATATCAAAGATGAAATTATAGAACATGTCCCTGGAAATAGTATATCCCAGCTAAGACATTATATTCTCCCTAAAAGAGGTGTACTGGGGACATCAAAGTCTGGCTTAACTGGGTGCAGCTGGGACACATTCATCGACAGCCAGAGAAGTTAATAATGGAAGTAATTTATGCAGAACACATTACTTTCTCTCGGGTCTATATCAAATTGCATAGAAAAAGTAGTTTCAAATTCTCTCCGAGTCATGCACTATTTTAGTCACCTGTAGGATTTATGATCTGTGACCATAAGAATGTACAGTACTAAAACCGACCGGGAGAAGACCAAGGTGTTTGCCCTAAGCGCCTCTCTCAAGAAAACTGGTTTCTTGAAAATGTTAATCTTGAGAATGAGAAATGGCCGATTTTCCATGCTTTCACAAAATAATAGGTTAAAACAATAAAGATAAAAGGAAATAAAACATTCTCAATTGAAACTAAAATTATCCTTTGTATTTTGGAGTCACTGAAGAACATCACTATGGCAGACCATATAATGATCTAGATTTTAGGGAAGTACATGCACTCAGGGCCTGGCAGAATTTTGACTCAACTGTCTACGAAAAACAAAAACACCTTACTCAAAATGCAAAGAAGTAATTTATAAGCTAGCGAAGTTCAGACAATGTTAGGAGAACAATTCTGGCACAAATTACCTCTTTTCTCCTGTTTCAGCCTGAGGACCCGGAGTGTAGTGTACAAATACGTATGCAACTCCTAAATGAGATACATACCTAACGGAACTTCTTAAAATATAGGATAGGTGAATGAGGGGACATTCAGTAATGTAATAAAAACATAATACGTAAAAATGTAATAATAATTCATATTATTCATTTAAATTACCAAAAAATGTGTAGACTGAGACATAGATATATTTCATAAATAAAAAATTTAAGTGGAAGCACTAGGTAAGACTAGTGCATGGAAAGTGAATTAGTATTTTCATTGCCTCTACCTGTGCTTTTAGTTTCAATTATAGTATCGTTAGAGAAATCTAAAGGTGGAATACAAGACACAAAGCATAGCCATTGACCCTGAGTGACTGTCTTGTGATAGGAATGCATAAAGCCAGCACCAAAGGAGCCATAAAGCATTCATAGAGAACAGGGAAATAAACAAGAGACAAAATTCTACTTTTCCCTTTCCCAATAAAAGATCATTGTTTAAAATTTACTTAGCCTCCACAATGTCAGGGAGCAACATTTCCTGTCCCTTTAGAAGTCCTTCTAGCTGGACTAAGAATCAAATTAACATGAGACAGACTAACAGGAGAAAATCAAATTTTATAGGTTTAAGTATGGAGAATCCACATAGACATGGAAATTCCAAAGACGGTCAGGCAAAATGAGGTCTCTATGTCATTCTGAACTAAGAAGAAGGGGTTTGGGGCAGGGATTTCAGAAGAAAGGAAGGCACTTTGCAGGGTGATAGGAAGACCCGGTTTTTGGTAATTAGATGTTTGCCCTACCATACAGATGGGTCACTCAGATAAAATTGATCTCTGCTAATAACCCTTATTCTGGGAAAGACACCCAATGTAGAGTCTGCTGTGTGGTTAAGAGAAGGACAAAAGTTTCTCTCAATGCCACAGGGTCTCAAGGGCCTTCAGCTCAAAATAATGCACATGCCAAAATGGCGCAATCTGGGGAGTCTGTCCTGACCCCCTTCAACAACATCCAGAAAATGTAAGCTAAATGCCACAGAATTTAGAGATGAGTGGCTGGAATCAGAGTAAAAAGGGAGGATAATCTGGATCTCAGATAGCCAGTAAGAACTGAGGCAGCACGGGCAAAGGTCATATCTGTGTATCACAACACACATTTTCTTAGCCGTTCACTCTCAGTTACACGAGAAAGGTTTAAATATTTTTCTAAGTACTTGGAGAGTACTTGCCAAATTTTCATACTTTGGAAGAATGGATGATCATGATATGGGCTCTGCTAAATAGGTTATATTTATTTTGTCTCACCCAGGCTACATAGTCCTGTTCAAGCTTGAGCCACATTCTTTTTTTTCACTGGGATTAAAATTACCCTTCAGAATCAAATAGCATTTTAATCTCTTTTTAAAAAATTAGAATTGATTGTCAGTTCATGCCTTCCAAAGTATTCTAGCGTGTCCAAACAAAATCTGATCTTCAAGTATAAACATCCAGGCTAAGTGCTTGAAAAACTTCTGTATGTCTAACTCTTCTGGAGAAAACATGATGGACAGTGTGTGTATTTGGGGGCAGGTACAGGGAGAGAATATCTACAGTGAGTTTCTATGCCTCTAAGAGTAATATTCTCAACAGAAGGGAATGGGATACTATTTTAATGTATTAGTTTCCAAAAGAAAGAATTTTTGCTCCATAGCATAGTGCTTCTAACAGGCTGATACCTCTTATGATGAATATTTAAAAGAAACCAGATAGCACAGTTTTAAAAGAAGAATCCTGGAAGAAATTTTCAAAAGGTCTGCATAATTTTTATTGGTTTCTATCTATTCATCAGGTCACCCTAGTTATTCTGGTCTCTTCCTCATTTATCCCTCAGGCCAACTTGTCCCACTGACCTAAAATAAATGCTCTTTCAAAAGCAAATCTCCAGAAAATTTGCCAAAATGTGGGGGTTAAGTGAGAAGCAGGGTGTATTACTTTCCTTTGGGCATGCTTCCTGGTATTCTTTTTTTTTTTTTTTTTTTTGTAAGTAGGCTCCACACCCAGCATGGAGCCCAACGCTGGGCTTGAACTCACGACCCTGAGATGAAGACCTGAGCTGAGATCAAGAGTCGGACTCTTAACCAACTGAGCCACCCAGGCACCTGCTTCCTGGTTTTCTTTAAGGTTTGGAGCCAGATTTTCCTTAGGACTACTTTGGATGTATTTTAGGTCCTGAGTATTTGGGTGTGTGCTAAATATAATTGCCATGGTTAATCTCTACTGCTTCTTTAGGACCTGAAACATATGTCTGCAACATAAAGAAGTTTCATGCCAAAAATAAGAATGACTGGAAACCAAATATAAATAAGTGCATATCCTATTTTATAAACCCACCTCTTAGTAAATATCAAAAGTTCCTCTCCTCCAAAGAGAACTTGGTGACATGATGGAGTTCAAGAAATATGGCTTGCAGGGTCTGGCAAAGATGGATGTGCTACTGGCTGGTGGGATTCCTCTGCATTAATAGGATTATTTAGAATCCAAGTGAACACCTCATCCTCTGTTTCCTTAATGACCACCATGGAGTGTGGGTGGCTAACACCCAGAACTAAAACATGCCAGTTATAGGAACAACAGATCAACAACAGTTGGTCTAAAACAGTATCCAAAGTCCTGACATGACTGACTAATTCAGTTGTAGATAAAAGCTACAGTTTTGGCTCTGAAACAGTCTCACATAGCAAGAACTTTGGGTTTATTCCCACTGGTGCTGGACCCAGGGCAGACTGGTTCCAATAACTCCAAGTTCAGCAGTTTGAACCCTGAACCTGCCAGAGATGGCCAAATCCTTTAGAAAGTTTAAAAAAATCAACTCAAATTCCTGCCTTCCCTCACCAAACCTGGACTAGTATTTACTCAGCAAGAGTAGAATTTGGCCTAATTAGAAGAGCGCTGGGACAAAGTCGGCCGAATGGAAATCTGGTTTAATCCTTTCCACTCTCCAAGGGCCACTGAAGTTCTCTTCTACGCGAGGTGCACCTGTCTCCCATGTAATTTTAAGCATCAAACAAATGCATTCTTTGAAAGTAGTGGTCAAGGTGCTAGACTTGGTTCTGATCTCTTCAAACTCTGTGAACAATGAAGGGAAACCATCTCATTCGACCTCGCCCCCACAGCTCTTGATAACGGACTTGAGTCTGCACTCTGCAGCACTGCACTTCCACATTTACCATCAATAAGAGACTGATCTGTCAAGGCAAGGGCTCGCAAACACAAATGAATGCCATGATTTATGGGTGTAGTAAAAAAAAAAAAATGATACACCCAATGATGGACTAAATTTCCCATTTTCAATTGCTGAAGAAAATGTGAAATCTGGACAAGATGCAAAGAAAACAAAAAGAAAACAAAGAATATCCTATCATTGGAACGGCCTCTCAACATTTCCTCATCTTTGTGTTAAAGCAATAAACACGTTGTATTGTCCTCACTATATAACGCAAACCTGGAAGGGGATGTTTTCTCTTGAGATGGAACTAAGGCACTGCTCGAATGAACAAGAAGCATCACCCCTAATGAGGATTAGTTGAGAGGTGTGAATCAACAGCACAAGACTATTAGGAATGTTTGATGTGGTTTATCTGAGTGTTAAAGGTGCAGTCCCCCTTTCTGATGCTTTAAACCAATAGCCAAGGTATCTTATTGTCTGCATCATAAGACTTCTCTTACTTACCAAGAAATGTTTGTGTCTGACATTTCATGGCAAGTTTGGGAGTCCTCTTTGTGCTAGGACAGACGTTCTTTTTATCTGCGTTGTTTGAACAAGCTACTCTAATAGCCTGCCGCAAAGCATGCATCAAAGAGAGGGAATTATAGAAATTTTATCGACATCGCTACTCTTATTATAGCAGCATTGTTTGTTTTCTTACCATCCATGCTATGAACTAAAAGACCTGTCTGGATTTAATAAGGGGCTTCTTGATGATGGGGAGTTGTATTAAAAGGCTTCTGAAAAACAATTCTTAAGGGCTATCAGTGTGGGAGGGAATGACTGGATGGGGTAAAATTAACATTTAGCATATCAAACGTTTTAGATGCCCATGGGACAAGCCCTTAAAAGAACTCCACAGGTTTGTTTGTTTTTTAAGAAAGCTTTTTAGGCCATTTGTGATTGAGCTCTGAAGCTGCAAATGAAGGAGGCTACACCTTTGACTTCCAGGCTCGTGTGTTCATGAGCAACAAAGGGCAAGAAATGGAAAGAGATATCAAGACGGGGGGGGGGGGGGGAGCAAGAGGAGACAGAGAGACAGAGAGACAGAGAGACAGAGGAGACAGGGAACAGCTAGTTTCCCAGCACAGACACCAATAGACAGGTAGCGTTGACACTGTACCTAGAGAGGCTGCCCTCGGCGGCCAGGACCTGGGAGTCATCGAGGACATTAGGTTCACTGCAGGAGGGGTAGGGAGATGAAGCATTTAGGGAAAGAAAATGCAAACAAATAAAAGAAAAAGAAAAAAAGGCATGCAATTTTCTGCTTCCAAGAGCCAAAAATAAATAAATTTAACAGAACAAGAAGGAGAAGGAGACAGGTAACCATTTCACCTTGTGCTGGGTTTGTCAAGACATAGGACTCGAGGCAATGGGGGAGGAGGGACTTTGGGTGGGTATGACTCTCAGAGGAGTGATCTATTTACTGGTCAAGAGTTGGGACTTAAAATGAGCTCCAAACGGACACATGAGTTCTGAAGTGCATTGCCGAATGAATCTGTAGAAGATGAGACTATCATTCCTTTGGTGACCATTTGGCTGGGTGGTTATTACTTTCATTTGTCTTAGTATGTATGTGATTCTTCATTGACCAGGAGCCTGCTTCTTTCTCATGTGTTGTGACATTATCACACAAAAAACCACTTACCATGGATTGGCACAACCAAACTCTTGGAACTGATGCCATTAAGAGAAGCAAAGAAAGAACTCAACTTCCCTTGCTAATTTTGCAATGGAAATGCAAGTCAACAACAAATGGGAGGAAGATAACCCTGGAATATTCACCTGGAACTCTCATTTACCTCCTTACTCCATCCTCTAGTGACTGAATTGTAAATGCCAAAAGAAGAAACCTGTCAGGTTGGTAAGAGAATAATTAAATAGTTTATTGATTTATTTGGATGCAGCTGATTTTGGGATTCGTGAACAGAAATTGTGTCATACTTTCTCTCTCCTTCACTACCTGGCATCGGGCTAAGCAAGCACCCATGAGGCATTCAATGAATAGTTATTAAATTGAATGGAATTAAACTATTTAAAAAGCTGGAGTGGCTGCCCCCCCCAATTGTTTACCTAATCGTACACTGTTAGAAATAGCCTCTGTGTCCAGAAAGAGCTCCCTTTCCCTAATATACATAGATATTCCTACCTTCACTAGCCTTCCGAAACATGACTCAAGCCAAAAGGCTTAACTATATGATTTTTCTGGATTTCCAGTATATCCATAAAAGAACAAATTTTCTCCCTTGAAACAAGTTAACCTCTTAATGAATATGTACAAAGGGAATGGATGGTCTGGTTAGTTTAGGTAAATCACCAAAAAAGCCTCTATGTTAAATTCCTACAATTCCCTAATTTAAATACAACTTTTACATGAATTGCTAGATGGTTTTCTCTTATCCTTGATAGAAGCTTGCATATGCTAGCAATTAAAAGTGAACTGATAGTTACCAATATTAACTGCTTGTATGACTTTGTATCTTATTTTTTTTTTTTTGGACATTTTATAGTTTAGCTCTAGTTTTGTTCATGCATTTTATTTAAAAGACCTCCTTTTTAAAGGTAAGTTACCAAAAGGTAGGTAAAACAATCTCTTACAAGGATAGTAACCCTTATATATTATTAATTTTTGTATTAACCAAATAGTACATAAAATACTGCTTTCTTTATAAGTGTGCAATTTACTTATTACTCATCTTTTATCATTTTCCCCTAGTTTTTGATATTCTCCAAAGTTAGGCTTTATTTCACAAATTCTATTTCATCTGTAAAGTTCATGAACTATTTGCTAAAGGATTTGGGCATAGGGTAATTATTTCTGCATAAAATTGATTTTATCTGAACATTAGAATGTGCTACGATTTTTATTATTTTCCACGTATGAAGTATAACCACACTAAATCTGTAGATATTAAAAATAAAGAACAAGCTAGCCAAAAACACATAAGGCCAACTCTTTGAAAGAATTCAGTTCCTGAAGTGATAATATCATTGGCTCTGAAATAGACAATGTTTTGACTCTTACATCAGATCATTTTCTATATTTGATATATGTATCTTGGAACTTTTATTTATGTTCTTATAGGGCAGAGAACACATAAAATGTCTTAAAGTGTTTAGTCATGGAATCATATAACTATAGAGAAGGTACTGTAAAGGTCACTTTAGCCAACCTCCTTTTTCACAGAGAAGAGCACTGTTGGCCCTTGTTAAATGACCTGCCCAAGGTCGCACATAGTGGCATAGGTCTTTTTCTGCCTGGTTAAGCATCACTACCTCCCACTAAATACTAATGACATACCAAAAGTCTAAACTTTACCACATATATCAAGCTAGTCCTATACACTCGCCAGGTACTCATGATTAGCTTAGTTAATGATTTATGTGAAATATGAGAATGTCATTTGACAACCAGAAAAAAGACCATGTATCTACTTCTAGAGAGTTTTTAAGTTGAAACAATGCTTGGATCAGAAATTGGGATCCCTTCTACTGGTCTGGCTTAGAAATCTCTTTGCAAACTGTTGCCTGCATGACTTTGGTTGAAAAGTCCTTTGTTGAATGGTCTACATAAAAACACAATCCTCTGCTACTCTTTTGGCCTTTTTAGAACAACAAAAGTGAATTTTCAGAATTCTATCTTTGCCCCCAAATGCAGAGTATAGGATATCCATGGCTCTTTACCTTTGGCTGGGTAACATGCCCACCTCAGCCTGAGGTGCAGACATGCTAGAGACGTGGCTGGAGAACCGCCTCCTTCCAATGGTGCTCAGGAGGTAAGCTTCTTGTTCACTTACCACACTGGGCATGCTTACAGAGTCATCTGATAGGGGACAAAAGAATGGAGTGTTATAACATGGTCACGTTGATCCGAAGACCCAAACTGAGTTTGTACTTGGGTTCCGTCCTTGGCTTGGGTTCCCATCTTAGGGTAATCTTTAAAGCTAAGTTATCATTCATCCCTTTGTACAGATTATAATGTAAGACTCCCAAAGGCCTTAGTTTTTAATCTGTACAAAGGGACAAACAATTCTTCACATCCACACATCTCCCACCCTCAAACAGCCTGCATGAAATAAATGTAAACATCTTGTCCATTTTTACAAGTAAGTTATTTGTGAAAGTCAAGAGGTATCTGATTTCAGAAAAGCTGGACTAAAAATTTTTAAACATTCTGAGAATAGTGCAAAAAGGAATATTGTTACTAAATGAGTCAAGTATACTTCTTTGACACTGAAAAACTACATTCAGTACATTTAATGATTTTTAGACTGCTGAGGGCAAGACTATTTCAGATAGCTTTAGGGTAAATATTTGAAAACCTCCAAAATTTAAAAAACAAATGCTTATTTTGACCTAAAGTTTTAAAACCTCCAAAATTTAAAAAACAAATGCTTATTTTGACCTAAAGTTTTAAACTTGATGCATATCGTCTTATTTTCTTCACAAAGCAGAAATCAATGTATTCAAATCCATGTGAAAGTTAGCTTTAACACGTATTTGTGACAAGATGGCCTCATTTTAAGTGAGTTAATGTTGTTTGTTGCTGAACAGTAAACATATTTTTATTTATTTTTTAAAGATTTTATTTATTTATTTATTTATTTATTTATTTATTTATTTATTTATTTATTTATTTATTTATTTCTTTATTTATTTACCAGAGAGAGAGGGAGAGAACACACACACACAAGCTGGGGGAGGAATAGAGCAAGAAGGAGAGGGAGGGGGAAAGAATCTCAAGCAGACTCTACTGTAAGCGCGACATAAGCCTCGATCCCATGACCCTGAGATCACGACCTGAGCCAAAACCAAGTCAGACGCTTACCCAACTGAGCCACCCAGGCGCCCCTGAAGAGTAAACATATTTTGATTAATGTAGTGTGTTGAACTTATGCTACCATGTAAGGTCATCTCACATCCTTTATTTAAAATACCCCAAGTGGTCGTATTTCTAATGAAACTTCTTTCAAACCAAAAAGGTGTATATGAAGAGTGCCAGAAATTTTAATTTGTTGCATGATGACTGACTTGAAGTTGATTCATGTTACAGAATGTTATTTCTTTTTTAGGTGTGTTCACAGAGAGGGGAATAAGCAAATGTGCCTTAAAAACATGAAAAACATGGTAACATAAATAGAGCTATTTCTACAAGTCCTTTCCCACATCTCACTGATTTTTCCTCCTATTTAAATTCATATATCACTTCACAGTCTCTCAATATGTGTTTGATGATTAATTACATGCTGCCTTCCATTCACCCTTTTGTTAAATCTTCTTTATTGAAAATGTCTGTCATCTCCTCTATAGGACTAGATCTAAGATCCCAGAGAACATATTTTTTCTCATACTTTCTTATACCTCATCTTGTACCTGTTAGGTCTTAATATGGGTTTGATGATAGAATGGGAAAATAGTTTAAGTCAAAGCAGTCAACCATTTGGCTTTTATGCCCACCCCATATAAATTAGTACACACCCACATCACAACCACACATTTGTTAGCAACTCTGTTTCCACTGGGATGGTTGTGCCATCTAAGAGCAGAGATATTAGCAAAAAATTGCATGTTCATCAGTGGGTTTAAGTGCTGGCTCCCAATCAGTGATATCTCTCTTTATGTCCTTTCTACTTTTCTTCCCTATCTCCTTCCTGCTGGCTAGGAGGTTACCTCCTAAAGATATTTAGCTCTACTAAAGATGGGTGGTATCATTTCCCATAATTAAAAAAAAAAATTGCTGGGAGACATTACTTAAAGCATTAAAGAAAAATAGATACAACTAAAGTTCTGAACTATTACCAGGACTTAATGAATATAAAAACTGCTTATCCTTCTCTCATTTTGTTTTCTTTCTTGGTCAAGATTTTTCAAGATTTCCCATTATAATTTGAAGAGTATTTCTTTGCACAATGAGCAGAGTGATTTAGAAACAAATATATCTGTAGGTCAGGTGAAAGACAATATGATCATCACTTCATTATCTGATTAACCCTAAACCACATCTGGAAATGTTACTGCATTTCTTTCTTTCCCTCTCCTCCACATCCAACTCTAATTAAAATACTTTCATTCATCTCAGTTAATTAAAATTCCAACCTCAACTCCTATTTCTCCTAATTTAGTTTAAAATGGGACTTTTTATTGTTGTTTGATATGGAGAGGCTCTAAGTGAAGATCTAGATTTTGTCTTCTTCATTCTTTTTTTTTTTTTTAAGATTTTATTTATTTAACAGAGAGAGAGAGAGCGAGAGAGGGAACACAAGCAGGGGGAGTGGGAGAGGGAGAAGCAGGCTTCCCGCGGAGCAGGGAGCCCGATGTGGGGCTCCATCCCAGGACCCTGGGATCATGACCTGAGCCGAAGGCAGACGCCTAACGACTGAGCCACCCAGGCGCCCCTATCTTCTTCATTCTTAAGGCACTGACAGTACTCTTTGCTATATAAATGTTATATCAGAGTGTCCTTTTTTTTTTTTTTAAGATTTTATTTATTTATTGGACAGAGAGAGAGAAAGAGAGAGCACAAGCAGGGGGAACAGCAGAGGGAGAGGGAGAAACAAGCTCCCCACTGAGCAAGGAGCCCAATGTGGGGCTTGATCCTGGACCCTGGGATCATGACCTGAGCCAAAGGCAGATGCTTATCTGACTGAGCCACCCAGGTGCCCCTCAGAGTGTCTTTAAAACACAACTAGAAAATAATCAAGGCAATAAAAAGAATTAAATGACTGTGGTATTTAATTGGACCTTTCACTTTTTACTTTTAAAACCTACTCCTATTAAGCATACATATGAAACACGTTCTTGACTGGTCTCATTTCATGACACTAAATCTTATGCACATGTATTAGAAGCTCCTGGACCACCTCAGTCATTAGGAACACTCTTGACTCAGATTTGGGTTGTATTTCCTTTTGGGTTGTAGTCCCTCAAGAAAGCCTATTGGTTTATGTTCTAGATAGTATAGCCAACTGATCTTTTCTGAGTCCTGAGTATATGCATTTAGTTTTCTTTGCTCAATGGGGAGTGCTGGAAAAGGTTGAATTTATAAGCTCAAGGTGTAGGGGTCACTAAAGATTTACTTTTGTCTGAATTCCTTCCAAATGACCAAGGCTGTTGAGGAATTTATAAAAGAGTAGACAGTAGGAATCATGCAATCAATCACAATTCCATTTTATTTTATTATTTATTTTATAGATTTGTTTTAGAGAACGAGAGAGCATGAATGGGAAGGGCAGAGAGAGGGGGAGAGAGAGTCTCCAGCAGACTCCCCACTGAGCATGGAGCCTGATATGGGGTTCGATGCCCCGACTCTGAGATCATGACCTGAGCCGAAACTGAGTCAGACACTTCACTGACGCGCCCCCCCCAGGCGCCCCACAATTCCACTTTAAATCCTTTTTGTAAAAATGACCGGGGAATCAGCATTGAAAAAAGTCAGAGCGGCAGAAATCCTTCCCAAGCCCTCATTTGCATGGCCACGCTGCGTCCCACATGCCACCCCCACATCTACCCCGTTCTGTGGGGTAACCTACTTTCCTCATCTTCCTCATCAGTCCTACTCAGGGTGTCCTGCGAAGCCTGCTGGGAGGGCTCACTGTCCTGCTCCCAGACAGTGCCAGTGCCCGTGTTGGAGCGGGACATGGTGGCCAGGCTCAGGCGGTAAGCGGAGGTAGAGGTGCCCACAGTGCTGATAGATGTCTTCCCTTGGTAGGCTGGGGGTTGAGAGACCAAAGGAGATGCATGGTGAGCGTCTCGAAAGAAAACAAATGCTTGCTTCAAACTCCTCCCTGTATTTTTTAGGAAAGGTCAGTTAAATAGTGTGTCTCAGATAAGCGGTCTTTAGGATAAAGTAGCAAGTGGAAGTGAGATTTAAAAAGAAAAAGAAAAAGAATTGGCTATTGATTTACTCATAATTGAACAGTTTCCTCAGGGGAATATAGTATCCCTAATAATGTAAAATGCTTTGACATTGCTTTTGATTTCAAATGTGAAGGTTGGAAGAATGCAAAATAATTTTGACATGAATTGAAGCTTCCAACTTGGCAGATTTTACTGAGAAATACATCTCTCCTGACACAAGCATGTAGGAGTAATAAATACATTGTCTGATAGGAACTTCTCAATCAAAGTCAGAATACGTAATCAAAACTGTGTTCGCATTCTCCTTTTCTGGAAATGAGAACTTATAAAATATCCCCTTTCATGCGTCAGGTTATTTTATTATAAAGCAGAATATTTGAATGGCACACTGCAGATTTCACTAAGATTGTACTTGTCAAAATCTTTGTCTTTAATACATCGCAAGCAATAATACATTTTAGAAAGAAAAAAAGCCACACATGAGAGTCTACTTATGGGTGATGACTGCCCTCTAATGGCAGATTATGATTTGTTTTCCCTCCTAGTAATTTCCTGTTAATAATTGTAAAAAGTAAACAATGCACCCCCAAAAGAAAATCTTTTAAATAATGTAAAGAAAGGACCTCCAAGCCTGCCAACTCTAACTCAGCCCTACCTCCCCCAATCTGTAAAAGTTCAAGGCTTTGTAAGCAATCATTCTAGTTCGGTGTGTAGATTCTTTATTCTCTACAGAGTCTCGGTTTCCTCATTCCTTAAGTGGACTCTCCCTTATCGACCTTAAGGGCATTTGCGTGGATTAAGTGAAATAACATCTATGAAACCATCTACCATATAACAGATGTTCAAAGAATGTGAATCCCCCTTCTCCTTTCCAAAAAGGAGGTGAAGGCAAGCATTTCAATACTTTCCCCCCTTGTTAAATAGTCAAGAAAGAGCTTCACTACTGAAATGAAGATTGAAAAAAAAAGTTTAGAAAAGAGCAAAATTAAAATCCCATGATACCCCTTGGTTTGCTGCTGGCATTGATCACATGGTCCAATCTACCAGGGAACTGACATGACTACCTCATACATGGTTCCAAAAAGAGTGGTGACCTGGACAGAGGCATTCCTTGTAGGGTGTGAGTTCCACGAGGCAAGCAAATGCAAAATACCCGACGGTTACTCACCTGAGCCACTATGAACTGCCTCTTTTAGAATTTTTAGTTCACTGTTGAACTCGGCCATGAGGGAACTCTTGCACAGAGGGCGTGGGATAAAGCGCCGCTCCAGCTGGTCGGCGATGTGTTGCCGGGCAGAGAGCTCTTCATGATTTTCTGCTGGCTGGGCCAGAAGCTGAAAGGAAGGTATGGATTCTCAGGTCCTCAATTTTCCCATCTGTAAAATGGGCTAATTATTGCACCTATTTCATAGTTGGTTGTGAGGCTGAAATAAGGTAATGCAAATGAAGTTTTTAGGACAGTGCTTTATACAGGAAGCTCTTAATACATTATTTTGAATCACTGCCCCAGGAAATTCGGGCATGAGAAGATTAACACAGTAGATGAATACTGAGGGAGGATTTCGGGGCGGGGGAGGGGGACATGCTTTAACTGTTCTATCTTTTCCATGTTTATTTAAAATCAGATCACTGTCACGTCACGGAAGAAAGGAGAACCTTCCCCAGATCCTACCCTTGGGCCGATCTCTTTTTTTTCTTTTTCCCTAGGGGGCAGTGGTGAGTCAAGAGAGGGCAGAGTTTTACAGAGTTTAATAACGCTCTCCCTGCGAAGGTACTCCTAACGTGACATTTGATCCTCCGGGATCCATTTTTGAGACACGGTATTAAAAGGTCCCTGGGGCTCGGCCCTTCTGGGAGAAGCACACGCCACACCTTGCACTGGAGGAACGGGCGCAAGAGCACGAAGATGGGGATTCGGGTCCGCACGATGAAGTCGAGGAAGTCCCACAGGGCCAGGCCTCCCACCTTGCGCAGCGCCATCTCCTTCACCTGGAGGCTCAGCCAGTACCACTGGCCTCCCAGCTGCCTCTCAAAGCAGACGAGGATCACCTTCAGCGCTTCACACCGGGAAAAGAGAAAAGCAAGCCTGTGTGCGCGCTTGGGCCTCGGAGGAACCCGGCGCGCATCCACAGCCCTTAGGCGTCGGAACATTGTCTGAATTTCCGAACTGTCTCCATGTTCCCAAGAGCCTGCATGCTCTCCTGAGCGAGTGTTCTGACATCGAGACAAAAATCTGGATGTTTTGATCTGTTTGCATCCTGATTAGAACACAGCTACCTTTCTTAAGTACATTTAACTACGATTTGGAAAACACAGAGCCAAGTGGTTCATAGAACGGAGAGGGAAATGCGTCCTAAACATAATGTGGGGCTAATATTTTGCTTTCTGAAAGTGCCGTCTTAGTGGCTTTATGGTAATACCAGCATACTACTCATATCCTAAACTAAAACATGGGTGTTTTAAAAGATTTTTTTTTCTTTTAAGCATAGAAAGAATATATTCTTGCTGTTTAAAGTAAAATCAAGCCATGCAGACATGCACAAAATTAAAAAAAGAAAAGTCCTTCCCCCTTGCCAGCTCCCTTCCTGACCCCACCACTCCCCAGAGGTAACCAGGAAATGTGTTTGAGTAGATCCTTCCAGATGAAAAAAACTCCGCCCTCCTCCCTCCTTCCTTCTTCTCCCCGCCACCCCCCCACCCCAACATTGCACATCTTGTTGATTACTAAACCCTGTTGGATTTCTTTTGCAAGATCTCTTGCTTCCTAGATTCTGGCAGCCCTGTCACAATCTACATTTATTTATTTATTTATTTATTTATTTTGGGGGGGGGGGAAGAAGATTTCCCAGTGTGTCAGGACAAACCAGAATACTGTAAGGATGTCAAACATTCTGGCGGGAGCGTCCTCTGACCCCCTCAGCTCTCGGCCTGGTATCTGCTACTGGGCAGTCAAGGGGAAACTGGGCCTTCTTGATCGTGTCTTAAGGCCCATCTCAGCAACTAAAAGACACACAGAAACCCAACTCCATGCAGCCCTCAAAGTCACACACACCTTTATCGCCTATTTAGGACATTTCCAGGGGACAACCATGCCATATAACATGGAGAGAGATGTGGTAAGAGTCTTCTTTACCCCTCCTCCTCCTCAAAATCCCACTTTTCACAGCCATCATTCATCCGAATTCCTTTCCCTCGACTAAACAAACAAACGAAGGGACAAAACCCAACACTCCTCTTTCCCTACCCTGAGCTTGGTGACATTTCTACTGCTAGGTGCCTGTTAGCCTTTTGTGGGTCTCTGCCATTCTGCTTTCACCTTCACCTCCATCAGCCCAACACATAAGCAGGATAGCAAAGGGCTCAAGAGCAGGGACTCAGGTGCCAGATGGCTTGGATTTGGACTTTGGCTCTGCTGTTTATTAACTGTGTGACTTTAGGTAAGTTACTCAACCTTTCTGGGCCTTTGCCTCTTCAGTCCTAAAAGGAGAAGAACATTTACTTCTTAGAGTTGTTGTGAGGATTCAAAGTATAGAAAACAGTGCTTGGTGCACAGGAAGTGTTCAAAATAAATGCAAAAATCAATTTGAAACAGAGGTCCAGGAGCCTGGCCAAGGAACCAAAGGATTCCCCTTCATTAAAAAGGCAGAAAGGGGAATGACCTGAACATAATCACTCGTCAAGTGTTTTCTCCTAACCCTGCCTCATGTGTCAAGCCCTCTGTTTCCATCATCCTCTGTGCAGTGCCAAGCCTTATGCAAGCCTCGGCCCTAGAATCTAGATTTTATTGGAACCCCACATTCTCATGGCTTTGGCAACTAAGCCCCACACGGGTCAGGTCCTGTGCAAATGCATTCTTATTTCCTTTTTTCCTTTTCATTGTCAATCACATAATTTTCTAATATGCTTATTTATTTCTTTTTTTTTTAAATAATCTCTAGGCCCAATGTGGGGCTCGAACTCACAACCCCGAGATCAAGAGTCATATGCTCTACTGACTGAGCCAGCCAGGTGCCCCAAATATTTCCCCTTATGATACAGTCCAAACACCTCACACACTCCAAACTCCAAGGACCTGTTTTTACCAGTGTGTGTGGTTCATCTTCTACTCCCCACACCAAGATCTGCTTTGATAAATTGAAAAATGTCAGGCGCAGTCTTCTCAGCTTGGTGTTTTTGAGATTTTCTGCTGTCAGTGCTCCTTAATTCTCTGTGCTATAGCAGGAGTGGTGTTTTCCACTGGCTTAGTTCACTGAGGACCAAGTTAAAGGCAAGGATGGGGTGATGGAAACGTAGGAGTGAAGCGAGAAGGAAACTGGCAAGCCTCTGGGGGAGAACAAGTCGACTGGCCTCACCAGAGTGAAAATCACCATGGAGATTTAGAGATGATATCATAAGGGAAGAAAAATAGCTAGGAGGGGGCTGTAGTACAAGGCTGCCATGTCTTGCTGCCCAGGATGTGGACTGCCCCACTCTAGGGGCTCCATTCACATAGATGACAGACCAGTGAGTCCCATGAGTTGTGTCCCTGTATACCAGTCAGAGTCTATGTTTGATAACTAATGTAATGATAATCTCAGTAGTGATCTCATACTTAACCAGCAAGGAGGAATTCTTACTGCCGATGCCTTCCTTACATGTCCAGATGCTGTGAGAAAAACAACCGAGGAATTTAGGCACCACAGAGAGGAAAGTACTTCGTTTTTTGGCATATATTTGTGTACAGACTCTTTTGCAAGGATGATGCTTCTTACTTGCTCAAGTGGCTTCTTCAAATACTTTCTGGATTGAGGTCTTTTAAAATCGTTTTTGAGTCAAGGTGTAACATAACTCAATAAGTCCTTATGTCATCATATACACACACAAACACACATATACAGAGGGGGGTGTGTGGGGAGAGTACCCACCCAAGTATGCGGCTTGGCTGGTGGACTCGGCCAGGCCCTCCCTGCGCAAGTCTTTGCCCGCATCCCCCGGGGTGGAGCAGTGGGCGGGGGAGCTCTCCAACATGAAGTTCTTGCTCCTGGACGTGCTGATGATCCGCGGTGGCAGGAGCACGTTCATGACTGTCTGCAGGAGCAACTGCACCTCGGGCTGTTCGAGCCATGGGCTGTCTACGGGGCCGAGTTCGGAAGAGGGAAGCGGAAAGAGAAGCAAGTCACGAGCTAGACTTTCTGTTAGACCCAGAAAAATTCAGCTGTCTTTCCAGTTCCAAACTAGAACACCCTAGAAATTTGGGTGTTTCCCCACCAAGTACAGCTTCTCCTCTGGACAGAAACCGCATTCCTGATCCTGGGTGTTCTCTCCATAGTCAGCACCCAAGGGCTTGTGTTCTTAGCCAAATCTCTGCTTACCATTTCAATCTCCTTTCTCTTTTCTGCCCAAATACTCATAACGTATTGTCTTTACATTTGAGATAAGCTTTTCCTAAAAGAAAAATCCCCCAAGAAGGAAGAGTAATGAAAACAGATTGAAATGTAACGGCAGTGGTAAGGTTTAGGCTAACCCTAACTGCAGCAAATTATAAAGTCCATTCACTTGTCAATTCACACCACACTGTATTTCAGTTAATACCATTTTCTTAATGGAAACAATGGTCTCCCAATTTTTGCCGTACTGGACATATCTCCTAAGAAGTGGAGCAGAGAAACTCTTGACCCAGGGTAGCTAAACTGAAATGAAAGAAAGCCTCTATTTCCTAAGATAACCCTGTTTAAATCATTCGGATCGACTGCAGTGATGGCCCTCATGGAAAAAAGAATAAGAAATAACAGCCTGACACTTAAGAAAACACAACAATGATAAATTCCCTTTAGTTAAATTAATCAGACCTTTGCTTCCAGATCCTACTGTGAGCACAAATGGGATGAGTAGATTTAAAAGCATCCCCTCCCTTCGCTCTTGATTGGTGAATGGGGAGATCACATGGCTTAAGGGAAAATCTTCTTTTAAAGCCTGTGCAGCAATAATAGAAAAAAAAGATTAATTGACCCCCACACCCATTCGATATGTTTGTTTTTACACAGCACGATGGAAGCGGTGACTCCCTGTTGGCTGCTCCTGGAAACTATGAGTTCAGTTGCGCAGCATACGAGATTCACTCAAAACTGATACTTTACCATTTGCTTGCCATAACTGAGAGTTATATACCTAAAAAAACAGTAACATCTTGAATATTAAATGCAAAATTGTAATACTTTTGGTCTGGTACAAAAACAACCGAATATCCCCATTCATTTGCTCCATGTGTCCACCAATAAATATTTTAGAGGTAAAAGAGAAAGAAGAAAATGAGAACTTGCCACCTATTCCATTTGGGAGTTATTTAAAAGTCCTCTGACCTCTGCATAAGGCCTTCTCCAAACCAGAAAGGAATAGGTAATATAGAAAGAAAGAAATGATCTCTGTTCACAGGTTATAAACATGGATCACTTTAGTGATCATTGTTTCCTTTCTGCACGGTAGCCAAAGCTCTTGCTTAATGTCTTTTCTACCATCACCCATTCTCTGGATGATGGACCATCAAGTTGTCAGATCATGGATGCATCGTTATCTATTTACATCAGTTGTATATTTCCCATCAGTCACAGAGCTTTCTGATGATTTACCACTCTCTAAAATTAGGTGACACACAGAAAGAGGCAGGGGAATTGGCATTTTGCACTTTTTGCATTGGGAATAATTATTTTAATTTTAAGAAATAAAATCACTGGGAAAGCAAAAAAAAAAAAAAAAAAAGCAACCACAATATTCAACCCACAATCATTAAAGTAAATTAAGATACTCAAAGCCTAGTAGTAACATTTGAAAGAATTTTATATTGCAGTTCTTTCTGCAAATAATTTAAAACCAGACTTTGAATATTACTGTGTCTTTAATTAACAATTGTGAGCTGATTATCTGTGAGCCATTATTTTCCTAAGGTTTTGCACACATTTGAAATGACTTCCATGGTTCCTGATGTTGTGGCAGGACTACACGACTCTGCTATTTTTGAGATCTCGAGAAGAATTACAGAAGCACAACTCAGGGCCAAGCTCAGGACTGAAGCTCTAAACCCATAAAAGTTTGGAGCTCTTTACACTTTTGTTTCACAGATTTTGCCCAGCCTTTGCAGAAAAAGAAAAGAGAACACCATGATCTGGTGCCTCAACCAGCAACTTAATGAGCGTGACAAACAGGTAAGGCAGTCACACCTGTATCTGCAATGCTACAAGCCGGACAACAGCTGTGCTGAAGGGCAGAGGTGGTGAGAGATAAGGGCTGAGATGAAGAAGGGGTAATCCATCAGCAACACTGGAAGGTCCTACCACTCCCATCACCTGAAATACAAACAGAGCACATGACCAGCCTTGACTATTGCAATTTCATGCGACCGTAAGTAAGGGAGTCTCATTCAATAATCATAATGATGATAATAAAGTAATAATGATAATAATAATAATAATAATTTGAAGGTTGGACATGTTACTTTCAGTCTGTTCTTGTCACCTTCTGTGGAAGGCATGTAATGTCTGGAGTCCGATCGAATGTGACACTGGATTCAGCCAAGGTTTTGTAGAATGTTGTTTATAGCTAACTATGCAAATAATGGGAGATGAACCAAAGACTATTCTAATCAGGAGATTGGACATACTCACTGGTGGATTCAAAGGAATGTAGTCCACAGTTCTTTGATGGAGCTGGCACTGACAACGGCGGTGATGGCATAGCGCTATGTGTACTAGGCATTCCAGCTATAGAGTTATTGCTCAGCTAGCTAAGCAGCAGATCCTACTCAATGAGATGCTCTCACATGATTTCTACATCGTACAAAACCTTGTGAGGACCAGACTCTAGATATTACATCAGTGATAAAAAAATTTTTTTTTCTTCCCGTAAATCCTAGACTGGCCAACTCATAGTGTCATTTTGCACTAAAAAAGGAAAACAATGTTCTCTTTGCATTTTAAACTCCCCCACCCCGGATGACCTCAGCCTCTAGCCAATTGTGTGGTCTCCGCCACCCCACTCTCCAACTGGCAGCCCTCAACTCTCAGCGCAACTTGAAGAGGCCCGTTGTCAAAGTAGCGCGTGGGAAGGAGCACACCAAAATCCCATCTGTGTAGGGATGGGCCCCTCATCTCCCCACGCACCACCTTGAAATGTACCTCACTATTTTCAGTGTCACCTGAGCCGTCTGGTTTTGTGGGTAGGTAGGGGCACAAAGTGGTTGACCTGTAAATCTTCAAGTCAGAGAAATCAATAGCAGAGTGACATTTTTGCAAAGTTTCATAAGATTGCCACTTGGCTACTCACCAGATTGACACAGACATTGATCAGTGACCTAAGGTGAGGCAGGAAGGATATGATTGGCTGCCTCTGAAGTGTCAAACAAACCCCTTCAATCAAATTGCTGGCAGGCTCCCACTCAACCTGTCGCCTGGAATACAATATAGGAGCTGTTAGCAGCGTGGCTCCCTTCTGGAGTCAGTCTGAAACAAGTGAACGAGACAGTGATTCTGACGCCATCTAAGACAGGACGGGTGTCTGAGACAACAAAGTGCTTCACACGGGATGAAGTTTACCCATGTTGTTCCAAAAGCACAGAGCACACTGGGAAGGGAAGAAGATACTGAAAACGCAGCAGAGGCACTCCTGCCCCACTCGACTAATGACACAAAATCTATTGAAGAAAAAACAGAGATGATGAATGGGTTGCATTTTAAGTTTCCTGGTTTTAGCTTTGAGAGAGGTGTAGAAGACTGCAATTTTAGGAAACCCATCCTGGGGGCCATGACTCCCAACAGAACTAATCTGACCTCAGGCTGCATTTCTGAAATCTATTGATCAGACTACAACTGATCTCTACAAGCTTTTATACCGGGATACAACTTATTAGATTTATATGGTTTAACTGCTGCCAAAAACATGACATTAGAAGAAAATAGTTCATTTAACAAGTGTTCTTTCTTGGCCTCTAAGAAATGATATTTTGGGGGCTACTTTCTAGGGTCATATAAGTGGTATAAATCTAAACCCAATTAGATGACCATGGGATTTTCTGTAATAAAAGTCAGTCCAGTCTCTGTCTCAGTACCAGAAAGAGCCATCTCCGTGGCCCCCAAATAAACAGGTTGGGTTTTAATGATATCAACACTATTTCTTATATTATCGCAGAAATAATTCCTAAGCTTATATTTCCTACCAAAATGGAATTTCTACAATGACAAAATGGAAATGTTCATAAATGAGGATATACTGATATCCTGATTCTCAAGTAACCCACTAGGTCAGTTTCAGTCAACTTTTCCCTTGTTGAACTGAGATCACTGGAAGAAATTAAATCCAAGGCAACCTCAAATTCTCAGGATGCACCCCAAAGAGATTACCCACAATTAACCCATGTACTTTTAGGAAGCATGATGTTCTTTACAACTGGGCTTGATTATATGACAAATGAGTCAACCTATGGAGATGTTTGACATCTTTATGTACAAGGTTATTTAAGAAAAAGAATTTATTTTGACACACCCTTGTAAGAATTTTAAGACTGGCCATTTGCCAATAGGCACAAATGTTCCATTGAGACCATTAAAAGAGGTAGGTGTGCTGTAAAGACAGACATTTCCATGCCACTGAAATAAATAACCAATGCGTAGGCATTCGTCATCACGTTATAAAAGAATACAGGAACAAAATATCAATTACTGAATGAAATCTTTCAATTTCTTTTTTATAATTCCAACAACTCCTGACCGCTGCATAAATGAAGAAAAATACAGGCTAACACCTGGGAAAGTTCTGACAAATGGAATGCTAAGCGCTACAAATTCTTGGGCAAGAGTTGCATTGGTTTTGGGTTAAGTTCAAAGGGACAGAAAATGCTCTCATGAACTCAAACTTGAAACTCCTGAGTTTGTAGGCTTATCAACATTTAGCCAGTTGAACTGTCTGCTCATAGGTCTCCAAACTGGACTCAGATCTCCAGGTGGTCTGGTTCCGAGGCACCCTTGCACAGATAGGGAGGCTATCAGTGGATATTTCAGGTTACTGAACAGAGATCAAGGGGTAATCATGTTAATTTCATACCACCCTCAATTAGATGAAATGGTGAAACTTAGGTCTTTGTTATTAATCGTGGGATTTTTTTCACCTGCTACATGGCTGCTTTCTGTTAAGACTCGTCATTTCTCTAAACTATGTCAAAGCCAGTATTTTTTGAACATGGAATTAATTTTTCTTTTCTCCTCAGTTGTTTTATTTATAAGGCACACCCTGCCTTATTTCAAAAGAAATTGAAGGATACTCACTGAATTTCTTATGTGTGTCAGATGAGGAACATGATAGCTAAGATATGAACAGATTTTTCAAGATGAACACATATAATTTGAAAGAATAGATTATTTCTTCAAAATGTAGACCCTGCTACTTATGCATTCATATACCTGGTTAGCTATGCACATATACCAACAGAAAACTTTCAAGTCATCCGTTCTACTCCAGATTGCGCCACCATCTTAAAGGATGATAAACCCTAACTTTGAAGCTTGTAATATTTACAGCTGACCAGGAGGCCTCCTCACCTCAAAGTAGGCATCTTATGAATTTTGTTGAACATTCTATCCAGTCTCTTTAAAATGAGGATAAGGGCTGGCCTCACTGCCTCGGCTGTCCAGTCGGTAATGGGTAACATCTCCATGATGTAGCGCCGAAGCCCACGGCTCTCCATCGTCTGGGTGTCGTATGGTGCCAACTTCAGAAGGGAGTGTGCAATTTCTGCCAACCTAATTTTTTTTTTTTTTAGAAGAATAGGCTTAGAATGCCACAATGGGAATTTTTCCTCACACAGCATCATGCTAATCACCCTCCTTTCAGCACCTCAGCTCCCTGAACTAAAAACATTCTTCCCTCTACCTTCTACCCCTCAGCTCTTCTTGCGTGTGCCAATACCTTGGATACCTGCACATACATATTAACAGAGAATCACTGACTATTCCGGAGGGTACATGTGAATAGTATCTGAAGAGGAAACTAAAACCCAGAGAGATTAAGGTCAGACCAAACATATCTAGAGAATATGTATACATGCATATGTATATGAGGATATATATATACACACACATACAAGTACATATCCACGTACATATATATAAAAGGTACATATATACACATATATGCATATAAAAGAGAATCTAAACTATAATGTATAACAAAATCACTAATATCAAGTGTCCAAGTAAGCTTCATGTCTTCCTAGCTCCCTCACTGCCCATAGTCAAAGTCAAAGGCATTTCATAAAATGTAGTATTGGTTTTTATTGGAGCCTAAGGAGTTCTTCAAACTCATTTCCCTTTCTTTCCTTCAAAGTCTCTTCTCTTTTTGTCTTATACATGGATCCTCCTGCTCTGCTGTTTTTGTTGTTTGTTCGTTTTTATATAATTGACCTAATAGGATTGTCTGGATGGTTTTGGTTTGGGTTGTCTCCTCCTCTCAAATTTTCCAACTCAGTTCCACACAGGGACTGCAAAAGGGAAAGCACTTCCGCCAAGTGTGGCCCAGGGTCTGTCACCAGACACAGGTCCATGCTCTGTGTTCTAAGTACAGGATTCCCTGAGGGTGAACTGACCAACAGGACTGGTTTCAGGTAAATGCAATAGTTGGTTAACTAAAAAAACTTCAAAACTAGACATGGATTATCAACTTCCAAATAATACAAATATAATGGCATACATGATCTTAAAAAGCCAACTGAATTTAATTTTATGTGAAGGAAAAAGCATTTTATTTATCTTTTAACCAAATTTTTTATTTTACTTAACTTTAATTTTTATTCCAGTATAGTCAACATACAGTGTTATACTGTTTCAGGTGTACAATATAGCGATTCAGCAATTCTATAGATTACTCAGTGCTCATTATGATAAGTTTCCTCTTGATCCCCATTACCTGTTTCACCCATCCCCCCACCCACCTCCCCTCTGGTAACCATCTGTTTGTTCTCTATAGTTAAGAGTCTGTTATTTGGTTTGTCTCTTTTTTCTTTGTTCCTTTGTTTCTTTTTTTCTTTCTTTCTTTCTTTCTTTCTTTCTTTCTTTCTTTCTTTCTTTCTTTCTTTCTTTCTTTCTTTTTTTTTAGAGAGAGAGAGAGAGAAAAAGAGCAAGTGAGCAGGGGCAGGGGATGGAGGGGCAGAGGGAGAGGGAGAGAGAGAATCTTAAGCAGGCTTCACACTCAGCACTGAGCCAACTCGGGACTTGATCTCAAAACCCTGAAATCATGATCTGAGCTGAAATCAAGAGTGGATGCTTAACTGACTGAGCCATCTAGGCGCCCCACTTTGTTTCTTAAATTACACATATGAGTGAAAGCTTATGGAATTTTCCTTTCTCTGACTTATTTCACTTAGCCTTATACCCTTCAGATCCATCCATGTTGTCGCAAATGGCAAGATTTCATTCTTTTTTATGGCTGAGTAATATTTCATTATATATATACCACATCATCTTTATCCATTCATCTATGGATGGATACTTAGGTTGCTTTCATATCGTGGCTATTGTAAATAATGCTGCAATAAACATAGGGGTGCATTTATGTTTTCAAACTAGTGTTTTAATTTTCTTTGGGTAAATACCCAGTAGTGAAATTACTGGCTCACAGGGTAATACTATTTTTAATTTTTTGAGGAAACTTCAAATTGTTTTCTTTTTTTTTTTTTAAAGATTTTATTTATTTGACAGAGAGATATACAGCGAGAGAGGGAACACAAGCAGGGGGAGTGGGAGAGGGAGAAGCAGGGTTCCCGCAGAGCAGGGAGCCCGATGTGGGGCTCGATCCCAGGACCCTGTGATCATGACCTGAGCCAAAGGCAGACGCTTAACGACTGAGCCACCCAGGCGCCCCAAACTGTTTTCCACAGTGACTGCACTAGTTTTCATTCTCACAAATAGTGCATAGGGGGATCCTTTAAGAAGAAAGCATTTTAGGGGTACCTGGCTGGCTTGGTTGGAGGAGTATGTGGCTCTTGATCTCAGGGTTGGGGGTTTGAGCCCCAAAGTGGGTGTAGAAATTACTTAAAATCTTAAAAAAAAAAAAGAAAGCATTTAAAAATTTTACGATTCTTCCCTACCAAATACATTGAGTAGTTGCAGAATGTGTAGAAGATGATAGTAAGAGGCCATGCACACCCACCCATTCATGGTAATATCTTGCATCTACACTCTATGATTTGAGCTTGATCTTTTTTCCAGAAAAAAATCCCATATTCTATTCTTTTATATATATATATTTAAATTTTATTATGTTAGTCACCATACAATACATCATTAGTTTTTGATGTAGTGTTCCATGATTCATTGTTTTCGTGTAACACCCAGTGCTCCATGCAGTACGTGACCTCCTTAATACCCATCACAGGGCTAACCAATCCCCCCTCTCCCCTCCCCTCTAAAACCCCATTTGTCTCTCAGAGTCCATATTCTCTCATAAAAATCCCATATTCTAAAAAATATACCCAAGATTCTTATCACAGTGGCTGAAATGTCGATATTCTTTAAGGTACTGGAAATTCCCTTGAAAACAAATTTAAGAAGGGTAATTAAGCCACTCTCACTAATTATTTGAATCTTTGGCTCGAATCAGCATATGTCTAGTCAGGCATCCAAAGTATCCTACGGAAGTAGAATGCAGGACAGGGAGATTCTGATAAGAAAGGGGAATAGAGAGGCCTGATGTTTCCTAGCAGTACACTTGTGCATGGTGCTCTCAGGAGGCATCCATACATTGAGGGTTTTCAGAACGGTTACTTAAGGAGAAGAGGATATCTCCGATAAAGGGACATCAGAAATAGGCTTTTCTAGGGGCGCCTGGGTGGCTCAGTTGGTTGGGCGACTGCCTTTGGCTCAGGTCATGGTCCTGGAGTCCCTGGATCCAGTCCCGCAGCAGGCTCCCTGCTCAGCAGGGGGTCTGTTTCTCCCTCTGACCCTCCCCCCCTCTCATGCTCTCTCTATCTCATTCTCTCTCTCAAATAAATAAAATCTTTAAAAAAAATTAAGAAATAGCCTTTTCTATTTTTTCTTTTTTTTTGAAGACTTTATTTTAAAGTAATCTCTATACCCAACATGGGGCTTGAACTTACAACCCTGAGATCAAGAGTTGTACGTGCCACTGACTGAGCCAGCCAGGTGCCCCAAGATTTTCTACTTTTTTTTGAAGCAAATTTGCCTTGGAAAAGCCCAGAAGGTATAATCCTCAATCTTAAGGTTGAAAGAGATCTTAATAGCCCTGAGGCAGTGGGGTTCCATATGTTGAACCTCTGACTGGATCCTCTTACTTAAAAAAAATCAGCTTAGGGTAGAAATAAAAGATATCATTTCTCAGGCCCCACCCAAGATTTAATGAATACGAATTTCTAAGGATTGGGCCCAGAAATCTGCATATTTTTTACCTTAATTTTGAAAAATTTGAACTTTCAACTCATAGCCACTCCGGTTTCATTTATACTTGCAATCACTCCCCCCTCCACTACCCTGAACTCCTTTGAAGTAAATCCCAAGCATCAAATCATTTTATCAGTACATCTACTTCAGTATGTGTCTCTAAGATTAAGGACTTAAAAAAATTAACCACAATACAATTATGACAGCTGACAAGTTAAAAATAATTCCTATAAAAAGAAAGACAACCGGTCAGTTTTCAAAATTCCCACCTTATTTCCTAATTCTTAAATAAACTTTTCTTTAAACAAAGCAGAATAATATAAGCCTCATAAATTTCAGTTGGCTGATATTTCTCTTAAGTCTCTTCTAATTTGTAGGCTTTCCCTCTGCTGCTTTTTTTTTTTAAATGTTCTTATAACTTATTTCTTGAGGAAACTGACTGTTTGTCAAGTAGCATTTTCCACACTCTAGATTTTGCTGATTGAATCTCCTTGCTATCATTTCATCTATCCCATTGTTTCCATATTTAATTCAATTGGTAGTTAGACCAGGGGTTAGATTAGGTTAGGTTTTGATTTTTCTGGCAAGCGTATTTCACAGGTGACACATGATTCCTGCTTGTCACTCTTGATGATGTTAGCGGTCACTAGTGATCACTGCACAGATCCATTAATTCATTAGAAGTAGCACACTAGCAATATTGTGTCATTCCTTTTCTCATGTATTATCTATAGCGTTTTAATAAGGAAAAATTTCTCTTTGATTACTCCAGAAGAGACAGGACAGATGCTTGAAAGGACTTATAGTGTAAGAGCTCCTAGGTGATTCTGACGGGCACTCTGGACAGCCAAGCCACTGTCTCTCTAACACGTGGATTGCTCTCCAATAACTTCATGTTACTGGCGCTCTGGATGGAGAATTCACCACTGTGTAAGGCTGCTCTCACCACCCTCACCATCCTTGGAGGTCTACACTCTAAGAAGCTCTCCTCATAGTCGGTTCCCCAACTCCCTCAGTTTCGTCCACCTCGGCTTAGTCTGGAAGCATGAATTCAAGTCATCTTCTCCATAGCAACCCTGCATTACCAAGAAATAGTTATTGTCTTCTCTCCAGAGTGAGCATTTACAGTGTCCTTCTGGAAACTGTGTGCGAATGTGCATGTCTTAAATCATTTTAAACAGCCTGTGCATTCTTCTGTTTATCTCTTTCTTGCAAAAGTGCCATGCAGAAAATTCTTTACTTTTTAGGTTGTTTGTATGACAGATAGGAGCATATCTATATGCACATATTTCTTTTCCCTTATTATTTTACAGACAACATTGAGAAATGCTTGAGAAAGGATCAATCTGTCTATTTTAAGCATAAGAAACAATATTTAGAACTGAATTTGAGTCATTTTATGCATTACTGCCTGAATTTCTCTTATCCCTGCTGGTGCTAAAAATGAATTTGCATTGAGTGTAACACAAACATTTCCTTTAATATAGTCTTTGTTGTACTAGCACGTGGATAATCTCTTGGTAAAAACATATTCCTATGGTTGTTTCCCAGTGAGAACACAAGAGATTTTCCCATTGAGAGGGAGACTTGACGAGAGGGAGGCAGGGACGGGAGGGGAGAGAGGGGGAGAGATGGAGAGAGAGGGACAAAGGGACAGTGGGAGGGAGAAGAGAGAGAGAGAGTTGGACTTGCAGATCTCATTATCCTGCTATATATATATATATATATATATATATATATATATATATATATATATATATATATATATATATACATACTGCTGCTCTGGCAGCTTTGGTTTGGGCAAATGAAGCATTAAATTCCCTTAGGGCAGAGACTATCTAATCAGAGATCCTTGCAGTCAAAAAAACCCCAAAAAATAAAAAACCAAAAAAACCCAAAACATATATTTTGCTAATGCAGGAGTACAGATTGCCTCTTGCACTGCCTGTTGGTTCTCTGGCTTGAATCAAAGACTTCATGTAAATATCTCCTCTAGCTCTTCTACCATGCCATTCCTGTTTTTATCAACCTTCTCTCCTTGAATGATACTATCCATTCTTATGACTTTAAACATGACCTATGTGCCCACAGTTCTGGCTTTTACATATATCCGAATGTATATTTAACTTATAAGAAAAAAATCTATATTATACCTTTTGATTGGTGCAAGGTCAAAGTATATGGGTCTATCCTTACTTAGCAACATAGAATATCTCTGGCCAGAGATCATGACAGGTCCTTTTTTTTTTTTTTAATCAAAAGCTTGTTGTGAGAAATTGCATTAATAGAGGTCATTTAGTCTATTTCCTGGCAGTAAAAATTCTGCCTATCCTCCAACAGGCAATGAAATAATTGTGCTTTTGAATGACATTATCTTGGCTTCAGATAGGTTGCTTTTGATGAATTGCATTATGATGTTATGCCAACTTTCAGTACTGACAGGCTTCCAGCCATGTGAAACTAACACTTTATCTACACGGGGGCGTTGTTCATCACACCACTCTTTCCTTTTATCAAACGCCAACCAGGAGACATTTCTTATTCTCTGTATTTTAAAAAAGCCCTTTTTTATCGAACAACTAGTTGTTTTTCTCTTATCGACACTATGATTTTGTAATTGGTCATTTCCTCCTCATTGCTTTGACAACTTGGAAGCTCAAAATCAAATTTACGGTCATGAATAGCATCTAATCTGATCAAATCATATAGATTTCCTGTGTTAATAGTATCATAAACATAATTATTTCCTTGCTAATTCTCCACTTTGTTCTGACTCTCTGATTTGTATATTCTACCCTTTTGTTTAATTTTCTTTTTTTTAAAGATTTTATTTATTTGAGAGAGAGAGTGTGTGGGGAGGGGCAGAAGGAGAGGGAGAGAAGCAGACTCCCTGCTGAGCACGGAGCCTGATGTAGGGCTCCATCTCACAACCCTGAGATCATGACCAGAGCCAAAACCAAGCGTCGGTCGCTTAACCAACTGAGCCACCCAGATGCCTCCCTTTGTTTAGTTTTCTAAGTTGCCCCAAGTATTTTGTAAAATGATAAATACATAGATATATACATATGATATATAGTACTTGCAATAATGCATTGTAGTTACTTTTTTATGTGTGCTGCTTGTGCTAGACTGTGGTCATGGGGAGGACCAGGACTCTATTTTACATTCCCAGTGTCCAGCATAGTGTTTGGATCATACTCATTAGCATTAGTATCTGTTGAACTCTATTAACTCAGTGCCAGGGCACTGATGTAAGTCATTTGAACTCCAGCTCATTTAACTTTTAACAGGGTTTGGCCTCTAGAGAGAGCTCCAGACCTCTCTAACGAACACTCTCCCCTTCCTCCAGATGCCTTAAGAAGTGTAGTTATAAACGATCAAATTATAGGACAGTTTCTAACCCATGATCCTGATCTTCTCTCTCTCTCTCTCATCCGTCTTTTAGGAATCTTGTCCCTTCAGTCCCACAAAATGGCGGTTGGTAGTAGTGATACTCTGATTCTAGGAAGGTGATGTTGCTCTGTTCACAGGATTACTTGGTTCTATTAGCCATCATCAGTGGGAAAGGAGGAGAGATGGACTGACTGAATGGAGCACTTGGTTGCTATGGCAACAGGCTCTTAATATTCCAAACTTTCCTCCCCTTTCCCAGTGTAGGTGCTGAAATTCTCCATGTGAAATAAGCTTTTCCCCATTTCTGTACAGTGGGAGCATGGGTTGTGCCAACAACTCAGAGAATGTGAAATTAGCCTGGAGGAAAAAGAGTCCATCTTCTCTCTACATTTATGGACTCTCATTTTTGCTCACTTAGTAATTTCTAAAATTTTCAAGGGATAATTTTAAGAAAAAAGTTGACAGCAATCAGGGAACCAGCATGTTTTGCCAAATAGCAGTGTTATTCCTGAATGGCTAGAACCTAACTCTCCCTTTAGCTTTATAAGTATACTAAACTTATAGAGTGAATATTTTGTTACCCATGGAATTTTCCTTTCAAGGAAATTTTAGGACCTTTTACAAATTGTTACAAATCTGAACAGAAGATCTGGAATCATGTTTCTTTTAAGAATCTGAGAATACGGACACAGACTTCATGATTTGTGACAACAGTGACATATGACACCACCATAGGAAGAGGGAAATATGAGGGCACAGACCTGCAATTCTAGAGCCTCTCCCTGGCACAACAACAGTAAGAATTTTTAAACGATGACTGGCCTCATCCAGATCAGAATTTCCAGCAGGACACTTTTTGTTTGAAACACTGGAAGGCTATCATGCACAATGTGTATAAAAAGGACCCAAGCAAAGCATGGCTCAGAGTTAAAACTAGCTCACTTCCCTGCAGGGCTCATTACTGAGTCCCCAGGTGGTATAGGAACAGAGCAAGTCTTTGGGCAGAAAACAGTAGTGAATTTTTTTTCTTGTAAACTGATAGAGAGGAAACACTGGGTTCTTGTGAAAAGTTAGATTCTGGGCAGTAAACAGTGCTTGGATGAAGGCTACCTTTCTAAGAATTTAGGTGATGAAATTTCCCTTTTACTCTTTTATTGAGGAGCAAATATATGAACTATGCCTTTCTGTCTTTGAGAGTACACTCCCCCGTCTACCCTGAGATCCTTTTTGATAGACTTAATATATATTTTCCTGGATGGTCCTATATGAAATCCATCCAAAGCCACAAGAAACAAATCATTCTGAGTACCCAAGTTCTTATCCTGAGAGACGCCCTTCCCTGGCACCCACACCCCCAAACACACGTCCCAAGCTGCATTCACACTCAGAAGCAGGAAAAGCAGGGACGATACCTCATGTGTGACTTCACATCCAGCAACTCCAGGGCGGTAACCCGCGGCTCCCCAGCCAGGTTTTGCAAGATCTTCAGCCTTGGCCCACAGTGCTTGTAAAATTCGGTACAAATATTCAGCAGGGACTCCCGAGGTCTTCTGAACTCCTCCCGAGCAATTCGTTCATCCAGTTCCTCTCTGGGAAGGCCTTGCCCTTCCTCCAGTAAGTGAAGATTTTCCCTGGGGAATTATAAAAGGTTAACTGGGGGTCTGAAAAGGTGTGTGTGTGTGTGTGTGTGTGTATGTGAGAGAGGAGAGCATCACACTGATGAAAAATGTACGATTCCTTATATTATGTATCATATACGTTCATGAGGAGAACCTCATCTGAAGGGTAAAGAAAGTGTACCACCCTAGAAGAGATTGCTATCCCAAATTGCAAATGGCTTTATATGAGCCACTTCCTGAGGATTTACCCAGAAACAGTATGTCATGCATTAATTAAATGAAATCTAATGGAACCATAACCCGGCTCAAAAGGCAATCATTACAAGACGTCAGAATTAGTACGAAACCAGGGCTTGTCTCTCTGTACCTGATAAAGTGTAGTTTGGCGCCTTGTTCCTGGTACCTGGGAATCAGAAGAACAGTCTGCATAACGACGAGAGCAAGTACAGGGTCCCGATGGCAGGGCTTCTTAAGGACTGTTTCTTATGAAAAGCCCTTGAAGCTATACATTTTGATAGGCTCACAAATGCACATAGACTAATCCTGAAATATAAAATCTTTATCTTTCCCTTGGCTACCGCACACACATGTTGCAATCATAGCTGCTATGAAAGCTGTCCCATTGGTATACAATTTGTTGAAATACATATTATAAAACACTTACAAAGTCATGGAATGTAGCCAAATGAGGGGACTTCTGAACAACTTTGAAAGTAAAGTGAATCTAAGTTACCGTTTTAATACCATGTGCTCTGTTTCTGGGGATCAGAGGAAGAAATATGGCAGACTTCCTTTCAGTTCTGGAGACTTATTGCTTTATGACTGATCAATAATAGGACTTTAGCAACTCTCTTTTTCTGTGTACCTTTCACCTGGTAGTTGAATCTAGCCCCTGGATATCATTTACAATATATTTATTTTTTCTTAATATGAGAAATTGAGGCATGAGCTAACCATCCACATCAGTTAACTTACAGTTGGGTTTGGTATTTGTTTTACTTGTAATATAAATGAGGAGCAGGGAATTAACTTTATATGAAGAATGATACATTCTTAAAACTGTGCTTCAGAGAGAATGGAAAATTATGACGTTTCTCCTTAAGATCTCCCTACTAACTAACTACTCCATCCTGGGAAAAGAACTTTTTCTCTAACTGATTTGGGGTTTGTCCTCTCTTAAACCTTCCTTGGAGGAAGACGCTAATTAAACTTTTGTATGTGTGTGTGTTCGGGTATTTAGAGGTTAACACAGAAGGAAGCAATGTAAGTATTACTAGTATATCCAGTGTCTGAGTTACCCCAAAACAGGAGGGGGGAGGGGAGAGTAAGTCAAGGACCATGAGAGCATCATTTAAGGACCTAAGTCAAAATTTGGATGAAATGCCTGTGGAAAATCTGCCCAGATGAAAGAAAGTTGACCCCGTATAACTGCCCCGGGAATGAGAAACCACCCCCTGATTATTATTGTTTCCTTTGCTTTTTTCTTGGAGGCGAATGAAACAGCACTGGAATAGTTCAAAGACCACCCAGGCGGCAGAGAACATCTTGCGTGTTCATGCAAACAAACCGACACAAACGCCAACTTATGAAGGTGGGTTGGATTTCTCTCTGACGGTGTCAAAAGAAGCCCTGTAACCCTAAACTCTCACCTTCCTTTCTCTTCCTCGGAGTGTTTCACACTCAATATTGACTGTTTTCAAGATTCCTTTCATTCCCAACAGCTGAGATTCAGGTTGTATGACACTGAGAGACCACAGAAGAATAATGCCCGTGAATTACCTGGTGTTCACCCCGGACGACATGGTGTGATTGGCTGTGGTGGTTCCCTTGTGACCTTGGTCACACCTGCTCATCTGCGGGGCTGTCATGGGCCTGCAACAGGGACAGGAACCGCCACAACAGAACAACAGCAACAGAAGTGGAAACATTTACCAAGTCCTCAAGTTACGGAAGCTCGCATAAGTTTTAAATTACTCACAGAGTCTTAAAAAGAGACTGTTGAGTTGGGCTTTTCTGTCACACTCTTGCCGTCTCTGTTCTGAGAGGCACTTTATTTTTTTATTTATTTTTTATTCTTATGTTAATCCCCATACATCATTAATTTTAGATGCAGTATTCCATGATTCATTGTTTGCGTATAACACCCAGTGCTCCATGCAGAACGTGCCCTCCTCAATACCCACCACCAGGCTAACCCACCCTCCCACCCCCTCCCCTCTAGAACCCTCAGTTTGTTTTTCAGAGTCCATCGTCTCTCATGGTTCGTCTACCCCTCTGACATCCCCCCCTTCATTCTTCCCCTCCTGCTACCTTCTTCTTCTTCTTTTTTTTTTCTTAACATATATTGCATTATTTGTTTCAGAGGTACAGATCTGAGATTCAACAGTCTTGCACAATTCACAGCGCTTACCAGAGCACATACCCTCCCCAGTGTCTATCACCCAGTCACCCCATCCCTCCCACCCCACCCCCCACTCCAGCAACCCTCAGTTTGTTTCCTGCGATTAAGAATTCTGAGAGGCACTTTAAAGGGAACGTTGATTCCCGGGGGGTCTATCAGCATACCATGATTTAAGTTCTTCTACTTCTTAGTTCTGAGTGATAAACAGTGACACTTCAAACCAGACATTTATGAACTCAGACTTCTAAGTCTGTATGATTCAGTGAGAGTTAAGAGCGCATTTTTCAATTTGATAGGTTACTAGGAAGTTAACCGTTCTAGACAATAAGTAAAAGGTATACATACTGTGGTGGCCACCTACGTTGTAATCAACAACAACAATCAAATCGTTGTAATCAACCACCTTATTTTTCTGAAAAACTATCAAAGAATGAAAAGAATCCTTCTAGGCAAAATTATACCTAAGACTACCCAGAGAAGTGAGTAAATTAGTATCTATTATAAGTCAGTAATGTAGGTACTCAGAAATCTATTTGAATCATCTCATTTTATACGTGCAGGGTTTACTTTAAATCCCAAGGAAATCTTTGCCTCTCTGTCAGCCTCTGAAAGCAACGGAAAGGCTGATGCAGCTTTCCAGGGCAAGTGCTTGTATGAACTCTTTCGGGCTTGTTTTTACGACGCTCATTTTCTGTACTCTGGGTGTGGCTGGAAAGTAGCTTCACACTAGACCTTCTCTTCCTGTGCCATTGTTGGGGAAGGCAGAATTTAAAGATGGCCCCAGGACACTGCACTGCCCCTGATATTACCCCAGTGATTATGAACTGTTAAACTGCCAGAGGGAAATTATCTGGGTACAGCCCTTTAAAAAAGCACAGTTTTCCCTTGCTAGGAACAGAGAGATTTGAAGCATGAGAAGGACTCAGGGTGCCATTGTTGGCTGAAAGACAGAAGGAGACACGTGAGAAGAAAGGCAGATACCCTCTAAAGTGGAGAGTGGCCCCTGGCTGACAGAAAGGAAAGGGAACCTCAGACCTAAAGCTGCATGGTGCTGGATTTTGCCAAAGACCTGAATGACCTTGGAAGTGAATTTTTTTCCCTAGAGCCTTCAGATAAGAGCCCAGCTTGACTGCCATCTGAATTTTGACCCTGTGAGACCCTGAGCAGAGAAACCAGTTGAGCCTGCCCAGACTTCTGGCCTATGGAAATATGAGATAACAAATGTTTGGTTTTATGCCTCTGATTTTGTGCTAATACATTACATAACAATAGAAAACTAACATTAACACAGTTGTAATATACTTATTTGTGTGTAACTGAGTTTGTGTGTAACTCTGAAGTGACTCTGAGTAAAGAAATTAGTAGGAGTGTGGAAGTGAAATGGGGTTCTTCTTATCTTCTTGTAAAAACAGCAAAGCCAACTTTATTGTGAATAATCACCAGCTGACCAATGAGGCTATTTCTACCCCTGCCAAGAGAATATTAAATGCACTGGAATATTTAGAGCCACAGAATTTTAAATGTCAGTGCTCCATCCATTCCACTCTTGGTGGAATTTTGGGTAAGTCAGGTTTGGATAAGTTAACTGACCCATCCTGATAAAAGAGAATAGAAAGGAGGAAAGCACTGAGATTGCATAATATGAGGAGAAATAACAAAAGCAGCCCTTGGGAAAAATTGATTGCTCTTCTCTCCTCTAACCGCAGGAAGGGACTAGTGGTATAACCAGAGAGGCACAGAAGGAAGAGTGTAAATGATATTTCTCCTTAGGATGTTCTTCCTCCTAGGACTTTCATGAAACCAACATCAAAGCTTTGGGACTGGGTCCTGTTGGAAGAGGCAATTTGCCATGGCTCCCTGGTCCACTACTTCCCATGTCCTCAGCCAGGTGCATATGGGCCCTTCAACACCTGCAGTCTACCAAAGGCTTTTGGGCTACACTCTGCTTGCCTAGGTTGGCAATGTAGCCCATGATTAGAAACTAAACATACATTGACTTAATGAATCACAGTCTCCCTCCCTCTCTCACTTGCTGGTACATGCTAGAGAAGTCCTTCCCGGATGAAGGGATTTCAGCTAGTTCTCATCGACAGGGCAAGATGGGGCTGGAGAATTTGGTGCCTTTTGGTGGGAGTAGCTCACAGGCAGAATTTCGGCTAAGGATGTGGCCAAATGGGATGGAGGAGCAGAGATACAACCCAGGAAGAAGGCTTCCCCACCTCTGCTCCGGGGAACAATAACTCCTTCTAGCTAATTTTAGATAGGAACAGAGAAAGAAAGCCAATCATCTGCATAGCTTCCTGCCTCCACTTCTTCCCGCTCCTCTCACTCTGTCTGCCCGCCGTCCCCTCCATCCCCATCCGGCCTCTCAATGCCTTCTGCTTCTGCACCCAAGACCTTTGCGACAGGGCTAACTTCTTGGTATTTGTTTAGGGCTGACCTTTGGTGTCAGTGTACCTTTCCATTCCCAAATCCCCAAGCCCCTGTCCCAGCACCATGGAGCCTCGCCCCACAGAGAATCTGTGAATTCTAGCGTTAGAGTAAAATTCTGTCATTTACGTTTGTTATGTAGTTTCTGAAATTACAGCAAAAAAACCACAACTCTTTACAAACAGTAAAATAATGAAAGACAGCTTAGTTGGAATTACAGACATTTCACATCTCATAAAATAACATAAAAGCTAATAAAAATATGGAGCACGTTTTCATATTCACTACGTTGGCCCTTTTACAAAAGATTCGTTCACCACTGGGTTAAAACTGCCCCAGACGCTCAGCAAGCTACATGCAGATGTGTTCATGGTATTATTATCACTGTTATTACTGTTAATTCTTCAGGGTGCTTAGCACTATTTATCCAAACAACCTAGGGGATGTTTGCAATTTTAAGCCACAAAGGGCTGAGTTTGGGCAGGGGTGTGTCGATGAAGACGGGGTTTTAGGGATTTTGGGGCACCATGTTTTTTCTTCCTCTTTTTGGTAGACACATAGCCCGTGAGGCGTGACTATGCCTGGGGTGGGATTACCTGGTGAGGACCTCTACGCTGTACAGAAGGGCCTGCAGGGATGTTGCAAGAGCAGCTGTGGCAGCGATCTCCTCCCGGGCCGCAGGCACGGTCTCCACTTGGGACGTCTGCCTCTTTAGCTTTTGTAGGTAACAGGGGACTAGAGCTTCCAAGACCATCAGCATCTGAAGACTTTAATCAACAGAAAGGAAACCAAGTCACATTTTACATCCTGCTTTGGTTGGCAGTGTCATATTTGGGAGCACGGAGGAATGAACAGCCTCGAGAATGAGGACCGATTTTCCGGGCCCCCTTCCCACCCAACCCAAGTCAAGAGTAAGTAAAGCTGCTGGAAAGATTGAGCGACACCAGTTAATTAACTAATTCACTAATTAATTGAGCACCCAGGAAGAGGTGAGGAAATTCCGCTTGCCTTTCGGGGATATACGGCCTAGTGGGGAGGGGAAAAGGAGCATATCTACAGCTGGTGGGGAGAACTGTGGAATGAGGACTGGTGGGGCTGTGCGCTCCATCTAGAGAAACAGGCATCACAATGATCAATAAAGCTGCCACCCAGGGATGTGCTAAGAGTGATTTTGCAGCTGACACAAATTTTAGACAAGATAAAACCCTTCCCTGCGAGGCCGGCTTCTTAAAGGTTAGGCAATTTTCGAGAAAAGAGTCTGTGGAAACAGCTTCCATGATGCAGGTCTGAAAATGGCTGCTTACTGGAGTGAATAATAAAAAAATCTCAACGACATTTTAACAAGAGCCACATGTCAAATGTAACTACATAGAAACTTTGAAGGTAAAAGTCAGAACAAATACCAGTCAGACTTATAAAGCTACAGTAATTAAGACAGCATAATATTGGTGCAAGTGATGAGGGATAGAAGCAGAAAGATGTTCACCTTTAGCCCAGAAGGCTGACCTATAGCCTGCCTAGGTCCGATAGGGATCAAATACATGCTGGTTGCTACATTCTTAAAGGGTCTCATGACTGCCTACGTATCTCAGCAATAGTTAACATCGAACTGAATGAGAAGTACCAGAGAAATCTTGCAAAAGTAGTTTTATGAGACGTTCAAAGAAGACATTTATGATCTAACACTCCCTTCCCACGCATGAAGAGTATAACCACCAGCTTCGTATAGCAAAAAGTACAGCTCTTTCTGCCCATAGGTCCTGTCCCCGTGCTACTTAAATAAACTTACTAAGTTGCACCATACAACCTCTCAAGCATTCGTTCTCGGGGAAAAAAAAAAAAAATTCTTTCCTGGCTGTTACACTCCACAACCCCACAACACAAGGAGAGACAGACAGACATGTGGAACAAAATAAGGAGTCTGAAGCAAATCCACAGGTACTTGATTTATAACAAGGATGACATTGCAATGCAATGGGAAATGCTAGTCTTTTCCTTAAATGGTACTTGGTCTATTGTCTATTAGCATCTGTATGGGAAAAAGAAATCTTGACCCTTACTTTACACCATACCAAAATTTAATTTCAGATGGATTATCTATCTGAATATGAGGGTAAAAACAATAAAGCATTTGGCAGATAACATAAGGGGATATATTCATATGCTTGGGTTAGCCAAGATTTCTTTTTTTTTTTTTTTTTTTAAGATTTTATTTATTTGACACAGAGAGAGAGATAGCGAGAGCAGAAACACAAGCAGGGGGAGTGGGAGAGGGAGAAGCAGGCTTCCCGCTGGGCACGGAGCCCAATGCAGGGCTCGATCCCAGGACCCTGGGACCATGACCTGAGCGAAAGGCAGACACTTAACAACTGAGCCACCCAGGCGCCCCAGGTTAGCTAAGATTTCTTAAAGGAACACAGAAAGCACTAAATAGTGATACATTGGACTACATTAAAATGAAGAATTCTGTTTCATTAAAAGATAATATTAGGTGAGTAAAATTATAAGTCACAGAGTAAGAGATGTTATTTGAAATGCGTATAACCAGTGGTGTGCTGGAGTGGACATTTAACAGGTCAAGACAGTCTAGGTATGCATCTGTTTCCAACCCCATGTTCAATGACGTCATGCTGGTATCTTGTACTCAGCCATAGCTAGATATTGGCAAATCAGCAATGCTTTGCAACAGGGACTCTTCTCCGCCAGAGAGCTGGTTATTAAACGTTTACCAGCACCCCAGTCCATATAAGCTAAAAGTCCTTACATCAGACACTTTAAACAAATTCTACATATCAAATAAAATAAATACTGATAATCTTATTTAAAAATGGGTAGAAGACTTCAATAGGCACTTTGCACTTTGGAAAACCAGTAGTATCTACTAAAGGAAAACACACACCTATTCCATGACCTAGCACAGCATTTCTACCTACCAAAATACAGACATATGAGCTCACAAAGATGTGTACAAAAACCTTCACTGCAGCATTATTTGTAATAGCTTCAAATTAGATATAACACAGGGCGCCTGGGTGGCTCAGATGGTTAAGCGTCTGCCTTCGGCTCAGGTCATGATCCCAGGGTCCTGGGATCGAGTCCCACATCGGGCTCCCTGCTCCTTGGGAGCCCGCTTCTCCCTCTGCCTCTCTCTCTCTGTCTCTCATGAATAAATAAATAAAAATCTTATAAAAAAATGTTTAAATTTATAAAAAAAAAAAAAAAAATTAGATATAACACAAAAGTCTGTCTACGAGAAATTGATTGTGGCAAATACATTAAATATTACAGATGAATGAAGAACAAACTGTGGTGACTTACAATGATGTAGATGAAGTTCATGAAATAACATTGAATAACAAAAGTAGGACATTAAAAAGTACTTACTATATTATTTCACCTGAATAGAGTTCAGAAACAGGCAAAGATGATTTAGGATAGTGGCTCATCTGATTTTTCTATTTGAGTAGTACTTGTGTAGATGAGCTAAATTTATGAACGTTGGTACAACTATAAAATTACGATTTTTAAAAACCTTTTTGTGTAAATGTTACATTTAAATAAAATACATTTACTTAAAAAATTTAAGTACAATAGGGACTTGGTGTTACCAGTGTTGAAGAGTTATAAGAATTGTACTTGTTCCTTGGGAGAGATCCTGGGGAACAGCTGCTTAAGAGACCCTGATCCTACCCAGAAATTTAAGAACCCCTCTGGCTTAAACAGAACAGAATAGGGACTAGGGAGGATAATTCTTTCTTTAATTTTAATTTAACTTAATTTAACAATATTGGACTTTGGCCTTTAACTCACAGTGACTAGAGAATTTGATTGTGAACTCTAATTCCTTTTGATTTCAGTGTGTTTGGATTTTTGTTTGTTTTTTAAAGATTTTATTTATTTATTTATTTGAGAGAGAGAGAGAGAGAGCGCACAAGCAGGGGGGGCAACAGGCTGAGGGAGAAGCAGGCTCCCCGCTGAGTAAGGAACCTGTTGCGGGGCTCCATCCCAGGGCCCTGGGATCATGACCTGAGGCAAAGGCAGATGCTTAACCTACTGAGCCACCCAGGCGTCTCATGGATTTTAACTTGAGAGAGGATTCCACGTCTTACCAGAAATCTGATAATGGGAAAAATTTTTAGTTAAATCTAGGGGTTTTCTATGTCACTGACATTTTAACATTAGAGGACCTTTATGCATTTTGTTATTGCAGTGTCTTGATGTTACCACTTCATCTCACTGCAGATCCTCGGAGACACCCTACTAACAATGTACCCAGACACACCTGGAATAGAAAATAGGATATGGACTTGGAAAGATTTCAGTGCCCAACACTGATCAATTTTAACAACTGCAATATTATGGGCCACAAACCTTTGTATTTCACTGGCCCATGTATTTGAAAATCTGAGCATCTGTGGGGTTCTCCAGATCCTAATTTCCTTTAAATAAGAGCAAGAACTATATAAAGAACTCTAGTCTTAAGTTCCTCAGGAGACAAGGCATCATAACAAAAAAAGTGATTTCATTTTTTTCATTTCTAACAAGATTTTCTTTATTTGAAATTACATTCTCAAGGGTAAAATTCTATGTGATGGCTATTGGGGAGGGCACATTCTGCATGGAACACTGGGTGTTATGCACAAACAATGAATCATGGAACACTACATCAAAAACTAACAATGTAATGTATGGTGATTAACATAACATAATAATAAAAAACGAATAGATGAAAACACACACACACACAAAAAGAAGGCACGTATTGAATGGAGACCTGGGTGTTATAGGCAAACAATGAATCATGGAACACTACATCAAAAACTAATGATGTAATGTATGGGGATTAACATAACAATAAATTTTTAAAAAAAGATTAAAAAAAAAAAAAGAAAATAGGATAGGGAGTATTTTTATACCCAGAAATAGAATGGGCTTGGAGTTAACGCAGGGTTTCAATCCATTGTTGAGCCTTTTATGGAGCCTTGATATTATAGGACGAGCCCAAGGAAAGTGGGAGAAGGACCATTGTTATAGACTGTAGATTAGCTCTCTCGAGGGACATAGCCACATTTCTGGTTGACCACTGGCATGATATTTAATCCCAGCTGATTAACACAAAAAAAGCTGGGAATCTTGGTGGGGGGGGGTGGATATTTCTTACTCATTCTTCATGTAGAGAGAGTTCAATTAATATGAATCCTGGTCCCTCTTTGTCCCTTTACTCATTCTGTTGTAGGGGAGAGGGAAAGACTAATCTGAGAGGCAAACTGATAAAGATACACTGACAAAATCAACTCCGCTCTTTACTTCTTCCTGCAAGAGCTTGCCAACAGAACAGGATTTCTTTCCTCCACACTGTGGGTTTTCAGGGCAGTCCTGTTTCAAGCTTGATTCTTATACCAAAAATACGATAGCACATAAATTGGGATTTTGTTAATGAACTAGACATTACAAGAAAAGATCAAAGTAGATTGAGAAGTCGAGAGGGGAGAGATTGCCTAATATTGATATAACTGGGGAGGAGGGCCAGAGGGTTGATTAAGCCAGCCTCAGGGAGCATTTAAAGGAATGTAACTCTATTATTTTTAAGGATCTATAACTGCATAACAGGGGGCTATCCCTGATTCATCTGAATTACTGTCTCTGTCTTTAAAAGTTTTCTTTTAATAGCAAGATGAGATTGATTTTCATTTCGCATATCAGTACATAAATCAGACTAGCACCAACGTCCTGGAATTGGGAGGACACTTTCCATGTGAATCCTTCTCATTCCTTACACTTGGCAAAATGACAGGCAAGATTTCTGTTCTTGCTCTATGTGTGACAGGAGTTCTTAGTGCTCCTTGAAAAGCATTCTCTTCGATAGTTTAAATGTCTGCTCTGCAATTTTGTTTACTATTCATTTGTGTTACATGTCAGGACAGTATTTTCTAAACAAGACGAAACATCTTAGCTGCCACACAAATTCCAAATTTTAGGGTGTTTTACATTAATGAAGATTTACTGTATTTTCCAGAACTTGTGCTATGATACGTTTCCTAAATGTAGTTATTGAGAACATCCTTGCCAGAATATTACAGGATGATATGAGCCCACATAACCTTTGTACTCATTCACTTTTATTTCCTTAGCCGCATTTACTTATCACAAGGCCTAGAATAAAGGGCTGCATTACCTTCTGAATGATTCGGGAGCATAGGCTACTACAGTGACGCAGAGCTTAATGGCCTCACTTATAGAGAATGTCAGGTCTTCGTTTCCATAGCAGAAATCTGAAGGGACAGAAGGTCAAGGCACAAAATCAGAGTGGAGTCTGCCAGGGATCAAGGAGACATTATCACTCTTTTTTTTTTTTTTAAAGATTTTATTTATTTATTTGAGAGAGAGAGAGAGAGAGAGAGCACATGAGAGGGAGGAGGGTCAGAAGGAGAAGCAGACTCCCTGCTGAGCAGGGAGCCTGATGCGGGACTCGATCCAGGGACTCCAGGATCATGACCTGAGCCAAAGGCAGTTGCCTAACCAACTGAGCCACCCAGGCGCCCGACATTATCACTCTTAACACTCCAGTTATACTTGATAGCCATTTCTTCATCAGACTTTATTTCTAAACTGTGAACATGATTAATTTCTTCATCTAAAGGGACTGAAAATTCTGTTTCCTCCTTTTGAATAATCAGATGAAAAATAAAAGTGCTTTTCGGGGGGTAGTTTGGGAAAAAAATCTGACCTAATAGAAGATACCCAAGGGCACGCAGGTGTCTAAGACATGAGACTTTATCTTTGAATTCCCTCTAGTTCTACACATTTCATGATCATAAAAGACCATTTTAGAGAGTTACTCACCTAGAATTGCCCAGGAAAACCTAATTTTCTGAACACTGTGGTACTAGAGTAGTGTAGAATGATTAATACAATTTTCATGGGAGGGAATTCCTTACTCTTTAGGGTTTTCTTTTTTTAAAAAAAATTATTTTATTTAATTTTTTAAAAGATTTTGTTTATTTGACAGAGAGAGACACAGTGAGAGAGGGAATATAAACAGGGGGAGTGGGAGAGGGAGAAGCAGGCTTCCCACGGAGCAGGGAGCCTGATGTGGGGTTCGATCCCAGGACACTGAGATCATGACCTGAGCCAAAGGCAGATGCTTAATGACTGAGCCACCCAGGCGCCCCTAGGATTTTCAATAAATTAAAACTTTTTTTTAAAACATCTTATTTATTTGAGAGAGAGAGGGAGGGAGGGGGAGAGAGAGAGAGTGAGAGAGAGAGCATGCACACATGCAGGAGTAGGGGGTGTAGCAGAGGGGGAGGGAGAGGGACAAGCAGACTGCACTGAGCACAGAGCCTGCTGCAGGGCTTGATCCCAGGACCCTGAGATCATGACTTGAGCTGAAACCAAGAGTTGGACACTTAACCAACTAAGCCAACCAGGCAATCCTAGGATTTTTAAGAAATTTAAGAAAAACAGGAGATAGGAAATGTCCTCATTCAATGTATACCACTTTTTCGTTTTTTTTTTTTTTTTTTCTGTTTTGATTTAGGTTAAAATATTTAATATAGAATTATTTTTTAAAAAAAATTACAAAGGGAAAAAGAAGGTCAGGGCAACTTTTGTTTTTACCTAATGACTTAAGAGGCTTCTCAGCTTTGACCAGCTCTAAGATGTCTAATATGTCAGTGGTCTCCCCCTCCAGGGACTGCAGCAGGTCAAACAAGCACTGAGCTGACACACCTTTGCTGGGCCCGTTATTGGCAGCTTCCTGTATGAAGAAAGGCTATTTTAGTTTATTTATTCCCACCTCAGCAGTAATGTGGTTTGATCAGGAATTCAAATCTCACAAACACCACCACTGATAACAATTACATCGATCTGGCATTCAGCTCCCACAATCCTGCATCCAGCAGTGCTGCTATATGATTTTGGAATGGAACACCTGACTTTCAAGGGATCTATTAAATGCTAATCTGGTACAGAGAGGTATTTGTGCAAACTCCTAAAAATACAGCAATATGTAGACTGCCAGAACAATTCATGTAAATGTCTCCTCTGGTCCGCGATGGAAGGACTCAGCATTCCTGAAAGAACTTTCCATAATGTAGGAGTAGAATACTTCAAATACGTCTGGGGAAACAGATGCTTATTTTAACAACTTTTGGCATTTTTCAGGTCTTGTTTGATAATATAACTCCAAAATGGAGATGCTTGCCATCTCAAATCTATTTAAAATGGCCTTGATTCATTAAAACAATAAATCCCTCTTAAATTCCTACTATGTGCCAAATAGAATTCTGTACACTGACGTTATGACAAAACAAAAACAAAACAAAATAGACATACAAACAAAAACAAACCAAATGCAAACAGAGAAACAGATCAAGGTCTTGCTTTAATGGAGCTTAAATTCTATTTTGGGGTATGGTAGAGATACATATTAGTGAATCAAATGTATAACATGTGATATAGTATGGTATAAGGGTTCTGAAGAAAAAGAAAAAGAAAGCAGGGTAAGTGCTAGACAGTGATAGAAAGGAATGATAATCAGGACTCTTCCTTTTTATTAATTGAGTATAAAAACCTGGGGAGTGGGTCTATTAGTATCCTACAGGCAGAGATGAGGGTTGAAGAAAAATGAAGAGAAGTAATTATGACATTTGTATCCCACTGGTTGAAGAAAGAGAGCTGAGATGCTGACTATACAAATGGACAATATAAATGAGCAGGTCATATATAAAAACAGAACTCTGATCCAAAACCTGTGGTAACCCGCCCAGGAAACCAATCCATTGTCCACAGTCACTAGCCCAGGAACCAGCCTGCTGTAAGTCAGGTTAGTAGGAAGTCCGACTACTAGCTCTAGGGGAGACCAAACAATAACCCCTTTAACCATTTGTTCCCTAATGGCCAGGCCTTGATTAAAACCGACAGCTTCCCTGATACTTGTCCCTGCTTCCAACTAGACCAATCAGAGAAAGCCAAATATGTACCCCTAAGCAATTACACCGGATGCCCCACTTCTAGTTAGCCGGCTTACAGCTCCCTCGTACCAACGGCCTCCGATCAGGGCACACCTGAAGCCTTCCCTTTTCTCCACCATAAAAGTTCCTTACTCCTCTGTCTGCCTTTGAGTCTCTGCCGAGACACAGGTGACGGACGGTGGCGAACTCCCTTGCCACTGCCGACTCTAAAAGAGCCTTTGCTTTCCTCATCGGGTTGGTCTACTTACAGGAAACTCCAGGAGAGGGGCCACACTAGCAAACAGCTGGAGCACAAATGGCTTCCGGTGTAGAATGTAGAACTGTTGGCAGGCAAATTCGATGGCTTGACGCAACTGGGGATTGCTTTCATAATCGGAGTACACCTGCGGAAAAATGCCACATATTCAGAACATGCCTTAGCAGCCTGTCAAACTTGTGTTTGCTTTTAAAACTCATAGCAATGGAGGGGCGCCTGGGTGGCTTAGTCGGTTAAGTATCTGACTCTTGACTTGGGCTCAGGTCATACTTGCAGGGTCCTAATATTGAGCCCCATGTCAGACTCTGTGCTGAGCGTGGAGACTGCTTAAGATTCTCTCCCTCTCCCCCACCCCCGCCCCGCCCTCCCCCCTCCTGCCCCTCACAGTCTCTCTCTCTACAAAAACAAAACAAAAACACCTCATAGCCCTGGGAAGCATGGAGAGAGGTGGCTAATTTAATAAACTGGTAGATGGGAGTATAAAACAGTATGATCTCTCTTGTGAGAAATTTGGTAATAAACATGAATATACTTTTTCCCAGGGAGTGTGTCACTAGGAATTTACCTCAAGAAACAAATTGGACAAAGGTACAAAGACGGATATAGAGGAATTCCTACTGCAATTTTGCTTATAATAGTGGAAAATTTTGAACAAGTGAAATTATCCATAAATTGGGGTAGGTTAAGTAGATCATGGTATATGCATACAGCAGAATATTATGCAGTTATTAGAAAGATGCTCTAGCACTCAACGTAGCTACATGAGAAAAAGCCCGTGATATTCTTAGTGTGATGTGAGAAAGGTAGGTAACAAACCTGAACATGTGGTATGATCCAACTTTTGTTTAAAAAAAAAAGTAGGATTAGAGTGCAAGGATTTTCAAGAAGTATAAATAATGGTTATCTAGGAAGGAGGATTATAGGTGATCTTTGTTTTCTTCTTTAAACTTTATCTTCTGAATTTTATAACGAGCATTTATTGTTTTTGGAAATCAGTAAAAAAGTTTATAAAAATAGAGAAAGTTCCAACTATCTAAAAATAAGAGAGGCCTGATATTAAAGAACATTTCTTGCCCCGGTAGGTTGAACAAACTCCACTTTGCACAAGCATGTATTACTTTTATAATTTTTATTAAAACTTCCATAAAAGTAGAGGACTGGGATGAGCCCCTAGGCTCTGTCTGAACTTCACCCATTACTCCTAAACGTAGCCAGATACACATTAGACATGGGTACATGGAAATTGTTCCTGCTGACTTCACCTCCTCCGATCTCAGCATAGCAAATTTAATAGCAACAGAAATCTCGATTCAGACAGAGATCAGAAAATCTCTCAGGAGAAACATCAGCGGAACACCTGCCATACGTTTGAGTAAAGAGAGCAGTGATTCCCAAACTTCTAGGGCATCAGAACCACCCGGGGGTCTTGTAAGAATCCAGATGAACGGGCCCTGACTCCACAGTTTCTGGTTAAGTAGGTCTGGGGTGGGGCCCAAGAATGTGTATTTCTAACAAATTCCCAGGGGATGCTGATGCTGCTTGTCCAGCGACCCCACTTTGAGACCCACTCAAAGAGTGGTTAGAGAAAAGGGGAAAGCCTATCCCAGGTCTGGGAGATCTCAGGAGAGACAGAACGGGTTGGTGTGACCTTCCAGAAAATTCCGGGGAGATTTCATTTGGTGCCTTCTGCTGCCACAAAAGCAGATAGCTTCCATCTTAAAAAGTGGTAGTACAGGTCTTGTTGACCTGCCGCACGGGCAGTTGGTTTTCTGGTGAGGAGGCCCGAGCCACAGCACCTGCAGCATGGTGGGCAGAATCCACTGGTAGCCGCTGAGAGAGAAAAGGTGGTTGAAGTGCACAGCGCTGTTGATGACGGTGGCGGCGTACTGCCTGAGGAGGGCGCTGTCTTCCGGGTGGAGGATCAGAGCCCCGTTAAAGACGTTGAGGAAGAGCATGATTTCATCTCCCCAGGGAAACTCGCTCGGCATGCCCAGGAACATCTCCTCCAGGAGCTGGATCCACAAGCTTTTGTGAAGAGTGTCGAGGCCAAACAGCTCCTTGCCGGCTGTGAGAACACAAAACAGCCGAGACAGAATTAGCCCCACGCCAATCCTGTCTGCGTGGGGGGGCCATCAAACCGGGGGCGGGGGGGCACTGCTGTTTCCCATTTGTTCCAGCTCTGGGACGGGAAGATGTACTGCGGAAATGCTTCCAGCACACATTGCTGCTGCTGGTATCACACTCCCTGGTTCTCAAAGGACTTCCATCATCACCTCCTTGATCCGACTCTGGAGGCCAGACAGGGCTGGTATTTGCAGCATGTTGCACTGAGTAAGCTGCGGCATTGAGGGAAAAAATCAGTTGTTTCAGAAAGGAAATGGGGCAGGGCTGGGACTGGTTCTAGATCTTTGAATTCCTGGACAGACAGACGAGAGCTCTTTCCACTATTTGCTCTGGAACTTCTGGGTGAGGAAGACATTGAACATTGGGAGGCTAATTGTAAATATCTCAAATTAATAATTGAGTCACACAGCAAGGCTTTGAAGCGAGCCTCTTTCTGGTCTCTCTGTCTCTATCTCCCTCTCCATTCAGGTGTTAATTCAGATAGAGTAAAACAAACATACACGGATCTCAAATGGAGAGTTCGGTGAGTTTTGACAAAAATACACGCTCATGTAACCAACGCACCAATCAATACATAGACCATTTTCATTACCTCAGAAAGTTTCCAGGAGATCCATCCCCCGCAACTCAGAGGCAACCACTGTCCTGATTTCTGTAGATGAGTTTTGTTTCCTGAAGTTCATATGAACACCTGTTCTTCACTTAGTCAAGTAACAATACCTACTACTACCTACCCTAACAATACCATACTATACCCTTCAACTGCTTATGGAAAAGAATATGTGCGGTGTGTGTGTGTGTGTGTGTGTGTGTGTGTGTGTGTGTGTGGAATACTACTCAGCCATCAAAAAATGAAATCTTTCCATTTGCAACGACGTGGTGGATGGAACTAGAGGGTATTATGCTAAGCGAAATAAGTCAATCAGAGAAAGACAATTATATTATCTCACTGATATGTGGAATTTAAGAAGCAAAACCGAGGATCGTAGGAGAAGAGAGGAAAAAATAGAACAAGATGAAACCAGAGAGGGAGACAAACCATAAGAGACTCTTAATCATAGGAAACAACCTGAGGCTTGCTGTGGGGGTGGGGGGTGGGAGGATGGGACAACTGGGAGATGGACATTAAGGCAGGCACATGATGTAATGAGCATAGTATTATATAAGACTGATGAATCACTGACCTCTACCTCTGAAACCAATAATACATTATATGTTAATTAATTGAATTTAAATTAAAAAAAAAAACCCCAAAAAATCCTGCTTATGATTAGTTAAGAACAGTGGTCTCAGTTTGCTCCCTGGAATTGCAGCATCAACATCCCTTGGGAACTTGCTAAAATTCAAGTTCCCGGGCTCTATGCCAGAGCCACTGAGTCAGAACCTGGGGAGGGTGGAGCCCAGCAATCTGTGTTTTATCAAGTCCTCCAGGTGATTCTGATGCACTGAGGGCTGAGAAGCACTGCCTTAGAGAACTGTCTGCTGGTTCAGATGCTCTCCAGCCAAGGACCAAACAAGGGCATAGGAAGCCCAAGAAAAGAAATGCTTTTTTTTTTTCTTGATACCTTGTGGATCACTGAAGAGTGAAAATTCAGCGTCAATAGCACTTCGGGGGAATGAGGGTAGTCGGAGGAGGTCTTCCTGGAGCATGGAGACATGGGACTGTTTGTGGGCTGTGGGGATCTTCTGCGTCAGGGAGATGAGAAACAAAACCCGCCCGACTTCCTCCAGCTTCCGAGTGAACACCTAGCCACAAACAAAAGCAGGAGCAGAGGAAACGTAGAATTAGCAACTCTGAGATTAAAAGGAGTGAAGACGTTGAAGTAAAATCTTTCATGGCAAACAGGGCTGATAAAAAATCAAGGGGGGGGGTGGGTGTTGAATTGAGGGAGAAATGGTTTTTTTTCTTTACCACATAGATGGAGCAAACAATGCTTGATTGACTCTCACTTCCTGTATCCGCCTGCTCCCCAGAAGGAAGTGTTTCTTAGGGGTTTGCAGGCTGGAGGAGCATAATGAAAGCATTGTCAGGAATCGTTCCATATGAAATAGAGCCCATTTGTTTGGATATCATAATATGGAAGACCTTTTCCAACAGGAGCCAGTCAGTCAGTTCCAAGTGTCTCTACCATTTCCACAGATACCTTAAGCTGTTCTGGGCTTTTCTCTTAAAAAAGGACTGAAATGGGATCCAGGAAGAACCTATCTTGGGACAAAAGCTGATGGGCCTAAATGGCGCAGACAGGATTCTCTTGGTCCCTTCTCTTTGTTCCTTTCCTGTTGATGATGGGTGGGCAGGGAGTGTGATGAGGAGGTCCATAAGCAGTCCGAAGCTGCTGAGGAAACTCCAGGGCCAGAACCACAGGCTTTCATACTACTATCTCCCTGCAGAACTCAGAGAGAAATCTTAAAATTCCAACTTGGAGTGTACACAGAACGAGGGCTCCATTTTATGCAATTTTTAAAAAATATTTTATTTATTTATTTGACAGAGAGAGACACAGCGAGAGAGGGAACACAAGCAGGGAGAGTGGGAGAGGGAGAAGCAGGCTTCCGGCTGAGCAGGGAGCCCAATGAGGGGCTCAATCCCAGAACCCTGGGACCATGACCTGAGCCGAAGGCAGACGCTTAACGACTAAGCCACCCAGGTGCCCCCATTTTATGCAATTTTTAAAAACATGTTCTTAGACATAAAAAGAACACACTAGTGAAGTGCTATTGTTGATAATGGCTTTAATTCTTTTGCTGCCAAAATCAGGGGCTGGGATAATTGGGGGTAATTATTTCAGAAATTATATACACTTAAGACCTTACAGTTATGTATACTTTAGACCCAAGACCACACACTCTGTAATACTTGCACTATTTTCCTCTTTCAACTGCAATTCAGGTAGTTTATGCTAACTATACTTTTAATTACTTAAGTGGTCTAATTCTATACCATTCTCATTCATTCCATGAAGTTGTTTTTGAATAGTTTGATGCCAAATTAACCTTCTTGCAGAAAACTGTGCAGAAAAACTGAAATGATAAATTATCCTGAAATTCTTTAGACATTTTATTAAAAATTAATGAATATGGGGGTGCCTGGGTGGTTCAGTGGGTTGAGGTCCAATTCTTGGTTTTGGCTCACGTTATGATCTCAGGGTTGTGGGATCAAGTCCCCTGTCGGGTGCACTTGGCGTGGGGTGTGCTTGAGATTCTGTCCCTCTCCCTCCGCCACCATCCTTCCCCTTTGGGCGCATGTAAGTGCACTCTCTCTCTCTCTAATAAATAAAATCTTAAAAAATACAAAATAAAAATAAATAAATGAATGTAACACATAGACCATATTAAAATTGTATCATTATTAGAATTGTGGGGCACCTGGGTGGCTCAGTTGGTTGAGCGACTGCCTTCGGCTCAGGTCATGATCCTGGAATCCCGGGATCAAGTCCCGCATCAGGCTCCCTGCTCGGCGGGGAGTCTGCTTCTCCCTCTAACCCTCTTCCCTCTCATGCTCTCTGTCTCTCATTGTCTCTCTCGCAAATAAATAAATAAAATCTAAAAAAAAAAAAAAAAAAAGAATTGTGGACTATAGGACTCCTGGGTGGCTCAGTTGGTTAGGCAACTGCCTTCGGCTCAGGTCATGGTCCTGGAGTCCTGGGATCGAGTCCCGCATCGGGCTCCCTGCTCGGCAGGGAGTCTGCTTCTCCCTCTGACCCTCCCTCCTCTCATGCTCTCTCTGTCTCATTCTTTCTCTTTCAAATAAATAAATAAAATCTTAAAAAAAAAAAAAGAATTGTGGACTATAGCTATATTTTGCATACAAAATAGTGAATTTCCTTATTCTTTTCTTCAATCATAAATTTAAGTACAACTGCTTGATTCTGTCTCCTGTTTTAAGGGAAGTTAGTAACATGCCTAAGGTCAGGTGACTGATCAGTGGCAGAGCTGGGACTGGGTCCAAGTCTCTGTACCTTAGCTCAGTGCTTTTCCCAGGCATAATACATTGATCCCTTTTATTTTATTTTTCCCAACCAGTGTAAACCTCTGTGGCAACCTTCCAAGAGCTGCATTTGTGTACTTCCAATCCTGTTTTATAAAAATGTGAGAAGAAAACTTGGAAACTAGTAGGTAAATAAATTCGAAGATTTCTAGTGTTTTTTATTTTTTTATAGATTTTATTTATTTATTTGACAGAGAGAGACACAGCGAGAGAGGGAACACGAGCAGGGGGAGTGGGAGAGGGAGAAGCAGACTTCCCGCGGAGCAGGGAGCCCGATGCGGGACTCGATCCCAGGACCCTGGGATCATGACCTGAGCCGAAGGCAGACGCTTAATGACTGAGCCACCCAGGCACCCGATTTCTAGTGTTTAGGCACAACGACTTGTCATAGCATTAATCCAAATGAGTGTTCTTTGATACCTTTACATTATGATCCAATTTATGAAAACTAACACACTATTTTGGGGAACTATTGACCAAGGGCCTACCCATCCACTTTCTCGAGAGAGGATTGTATCAGAATCAGAATCTCGGGGTTGGCAACACATTCACTGATCATCTATCCCAATGACTTGGCAAAACCATATAATAAAATAGAGGTGGTCAGGCACCTGTTTCTGAATGAGCTCCTGTCCTTTCTCTGGATGCATATGTACCAGGTTCAGCTGTGGAGATACTGATCTCCGGAAAGGATAAATATCCCGAACATACGTCTGTGGCAGGATTACACAAAGAGAGAGAGAAAAAAAAAAAGAGTTCAGATGATTATCAAATGATTAAATTTTACTCTAATTTCCTCTTTACCCAAAGGTCAAATGAAAGTTATGTATTTTCTAAGGGTTTTCTCATTTTATGCTCTCGAATTCTATAAAATCCTATGGAAAGTAAACGCCCACCTCAGGAAAGCATCAAACCACGTAGGCTTAGCACCCTTTCCAAACACTAGGGTGCAACATCAGGAGCAAAGGAGCCAAAGGCAATTTAATAAAGGACATTCTGGAGGAAGAAGGTCACTGTAAAGTGACGTCTTGAGGTGCCCTTTGGTCATTAGGTCAGGTCACCATGGTCATGCTCAACATAATAAAAAGAGGAATAACAAGGACATTAAAATTCCAAGTAGACACACATATTTATTATATGGGCAACTTAATTTTTCATCAGGAGGTAATAATAATGAATGCTTTATTTGCCTTATCTCCTTTAATTATTGCAACCTATGATAGATACTATTATCATCCTCTTCATTTTACAGACAAGGAAAATGAAGGGCACAAAGGTACAGTGGCTAGTCCAAAGCTACACTGACAGTAAGGTGGTGTAACCTAAGTGGCCATACTCCTAACCACTGAACAACGATGCCTCCCTGAGTGAGAGCAACATTCAGGAAAGGCATGACAAGTTTCCGACACAACTCAACAGGAGTGCGTCACTGTGCAGTCTCACCTTATTGTAGTGGATAAGATTCCATCGTTTGTCCATGAGAAAATAATGGGTTGACTGAGATTCTGGGATATTAAAAAACTCCAGACACTCCTAGAACAATAAGTATAAATAAATGTTTATGGAGAACATATTATGTGCCAGGTAGTAAGCTGAAAGATACAAATACCAAAACAAGGTAACTTATAAGGATTATAGATCTTATATACTTTTTATATGTATATATATATGGATACATATTGGATTTGAATACACAGTTGCCCAAAGAATGATATAATCCAGACTTGTAATGTAATATAAACCAACTGCTCTCAAAGTGCTAAAAGATGTGCAATTATAAATTCAGACTGCAGAGTGAACTGTGGAGGTACAGTGGCATCTACCGGTCTCAACGTCAGGAAGAAAGCATGTTCGGTAACGCCATTAAAAATAATACAAGCTACAACACATTGAGCCATTATTGTATACTGTATTCTGAGTTCAGTGCCTTCCATGTAGGTAACTTGTATATCCTGCTCTAGTACCCCAGTACTGGTGAAAAAGAATCTGAGCCTGGAGAGGTCCTGTTCAATTTAGGTCACGCTGGTTATGGTGGAACCGGGGTTGGGACTTCCTCTGTTTACCTTCCTGCCATTCAGCCTGAGTAGGAAAATGGAGTGGTTGTTGAAGTTTGCTTCACTGGGCCTTAGTAATTCTCTGGAGACGTCTGGGTAAGGCCCGAAGGAGGCATTTTGTACCGAAATAAGATATACACGTTTGGTACAACTGAATTTTTCAGAGGTCTTTCCTGCTTCCGTCTTGGCCTGGAGCTGTGTTCCAGGAAATCAGTTTACCAAAAGTTTGGAATCCAGATAGATGGGGAATAGCTGTAGTACTTTACCTTAAAAGCCATACAGGCATGTGTAACTATGGATTGGCTTTCTGCCAAGGGTCACAACTGCCATAACCATTAAAGGACTTTCTTGACTCACCCGATTTATTCTAAGATATATATGTTCTGCTTCTCCACCCATTTCCGTCCGTGGAAGTCAGACTGTATACCGTGCAACCAAGTGCCAGAGAAAGGGTCTCTGGCAGGATCAGCAGCTGATGGAGCCTGCCTTAGCTCCCTCCGTGTGCAACCCCAGGGCACCTCCAGAACTACCCCCACGTGATGTCAGGGAGCGCTGAAGCAGGAATCGACAGCACTCCCGGGGGAGCTAGTACGCTTGAGAGTGTCAAGATGCTACTTCAGCTGAAGAAGAAGTGGCATGCATTTACCTACCTCAAAGCAGAGCTATGATGTCGGTAGGTGTGGGGAAAATCATGTGAGGAAATGGGGGAGGTACACGATAGCGGAGCAGATTCTACAAGAGGTAAGTCAATGCATGTATTTGTTTGAAGATAGGAAAATGCCATTTAATTCTAAATGGGATGATCAGTGAAGTGGCCACAGACATTGTGCTTTAAAAATCATTTCTGTTGAAAGCCATTCATACCTTGAGCAGGGCTTCGAACTGAGTGTCTTCATGGACTGGTAACTGGGTTGGGATATCACACTCATTCTGCCCATGAACCACCAAGGTTTTGGTACCTACAGAAGGCAAATACAATCATAAGCTGAAGTTCACTCTAGGAAAGTTTATCTTTAAGGCACAAAATATTAAAATATTATCAATGGGCTGATATTTTTCTTGTTATGATTGTTACTTGTAGTGAGTGATTATGGTAAACTGTGTGTTGCCCTAATATCCCTCTTTTATAGTTAAAATAGATGTTTTAAACTTATTTACTGACTAAATAACAAAAGCTACCATTTATGGAGTTCCCAATACTTTGACATGTATTTCATGTGCATAATATTTAAATCTCACAACAACCCTATGGTATGGGCATTATTATTTTCATTCTACCAATGAGAAAACAATGGAAATGGACTCTTACAAGTAAGAACTTATAAGTAACTTAGTCAAAGACACATTTATTTAACAGAAAAGTCAGAATTCAAACCTTATGTGTTGCAACAAGTAATATATCCCTGTATTTTAAATGAGATGATCATGCAGTAATGGTTGAGAAAATACAAAAAGAGATATTAGCAAAACCATGACAAGTACCTGGAATGCAGTTTAAATTTACATTTTCTGTATTCTACTTGGCTAGGGAGTTAGTACTTATTCTACTTCATTCATTCATTATAAGTGTTTGTGAACATCATGATATACCTTGGCTTTTAATGAGCTGTTTTTAAGCCTATGAATGACAACATGAGTTTCTTTGCTATAATAAAAACTGATCACCTTGTCGGATAACCTGTCGAACATATAAATACACAACTTCCATTTATGGAACGCTTGCTATGAGTCAGGTATGACAGCAAGTATTTTATCTACGTAAATGCATTGATTACTCATGATTGTGCAGTATGAATCACATCCTTGTTTTACCCATGAGTAAAGAAAGCTTGAAAAATGATGTACTTTTTTTTTTAGCTAATACTAACTGTATTAATAAATGGGAGTAACATGACTTTAATGCAGGCCTCTACATTGCATACCCTGTGTTCTCATCTTTATATAATTGTGCCTTTCTCTTTATTTTAATACATGGATCATCTGGTATTTTCTTAGTCACTGCACCAGGATAAAGACTCGGAAGAATTTCTATCTTAAAGAAAAGCAAGCTATCAGGAGTGAAAAGGAACCGTAGCTCAAGTTTACATCACACTTCATGTTCTTTTGTTGTTCTCCTTTCCTCCTGCTTGTCCCTTTTCCAATTTTTCATAAAGCCATCTCTCATAGAGTTTACAAAGATCTGGGGTCCATGCCATGCAAACAGTATCATTCCCCTTGCAGTGCCAAACATTCATTCAGAACGGCTCCCCATTCAGCCGGCCCTGTGTGATAGACTTAAATACATCTTCAACCTTGGCCGCTCTTCAAGGACTGATTCATGTGGATTGGTTCTGATGTCTCCCCTTTCATCTGGCAATCTCTGACTTTTAAAGGGTCTATTGTATTTCTTCAGATTGTATTAAACAAAAATTCTTTGAAGTCCCCAACACCAGGGTCAGGACTCTGAAATTTTTCTCATGAATGAAAGAGGCGGTTGGACTTTAAAAGGGTTATTTATACTCTTAAACAAAGAGAAAAGTTATGTCATCCAACAGCGGTAGTGGGTTACCTGGCATGGAAGCGGTCACCAACAGCTTTACCTCACACTGCTCCTTCTTCATGGTCTGCTTGAGATCCTTGAAGAACAGTCCCTCTACATAACCCACCACCTCCCACAGGAAAGTCAGGGTGGCTGAAATGGCGTCCATCCCCCACTCACAGGGGGTCCGCACGAAGTACATGATTAATCCCACCTAAAAGAACAGGGAGAGGTCACAAAACCACGATAATCCTGGGCAAACATTCTCATTTCCTTGGCTTTTTTTCCTTAATCAAATATTCTTTTGTGCCTTCATATTCTCCGTTTAACGTTTCCTCTAATACTTTTCAATGGCCGTGAGCAAGAGGGTGGAACCGGAAAACCAACCAGAACAGGCTGCCATACATTTTTGCGTTTCACGGAAATGGTGATTTAAGACAAAAGCAGAACACTGTTTTTCCAGGCTTCAAGTCGCTTGGTAGTTCAGGTGCTGAGGCCACCCCAAATTAATCTCTACAAGATGTTTGCTGAAACGGTATTTGCAGATTGGATTATGTCTAGTGGTCTGAACCAATGAACACTGTGCTTGGCTAAATTGGTGACCTTAACAGATTTTTCTTTGTGTCCCCTAAAATCTTGAAAAGCTCTGGGTCCTTTTGCACATATTTAGGTTGACATAAAATGTCTCATCAGGGTGCCTGGGTGGCTTAGTCAGTTAAGCATCTGCCTTCAGCTCAGGTCATGATCCCAGGGTCCTGGGATGGAGCCCCACATCAGGCTCCCTGCTCAGTGGGGAGCCTGCTTCTCCCTCTCCTACTCCCCTTGCTCTCTGTCAAATAAATAAATAAAGTCTTTAAAAAAAATAAAATAAAAGGTCTCATCATAAGGCAATTTTTTTTTGTTAATAGGAGAATATATTAAACATTCTCTACACTGAAATAAAAGGCAGATTGACTGTAATTGGAATGTGTATTTCAACAAATTTTGATGAAAGAGGTTTTAACTACCTTATTCAACAGTGCACAGCAAAATCATAAAGAAGTAACATCAAAGTTTTCCCCGCCCATGGCTTTATTGATTGTTTCTTGAAAAATTTCTTAATCTTAGCAAACTTTCTAGTTGTGTTGAATCAGCCTACAGGGTCACTAACTTAATCTGCTTTGGTGGTTCTGAAGGCTAACCACCCTAATGAGTGTTAAACCTTACCTCTAGGAGAAATCTATCAAAGACAGGAAAAGGTGGTAAGTCCTATGGGTTTGTGTGTGTGTGTGTGTGTGTGTGTGTGTTAGCCGGGGGTGGTGGTGCAAGAAGGTGATTTTACTAAAGCACAGGGACAGAACCCATGTTCAGAAAGTCCTATGGGTTTAAAGTGCCTTGATCCATCAGAAATGAGGCTTCCTTAAAACTCATGCAGTATATCAGATTCTTTCTCTGTCTTATACATCTGTCAATTCATCTGGTGATATCTGGGCTGGTCAGGGTGGGCCTTTCTTGTGGACAGTAGAGGATGATGTTTGAGATGGCAGGCATGCTCACGAAGTGTTAGTGCATATTTGCAAGTTGAGGATTTGGAGATTTATTCCTTAAAACTATCTGAGCACCAAATCCCTTTAAAAGTTTTCACATACCCCAAGATGGGCTCAAACCCCAGGGTGAAGACCACTGGGTCAAAGTTAAACAGTCCCTAACAAAATTAGAAGAGATGGGTCAGTGGTCCCAACATGCCCACTATACATATCCTTAACAGTCATTAGAAAAAAGAGATATATAATATGGGTAATGGTTTAGAAAGGACTCTACCCTTCACTGTTTTGCCATTCTGACTAGAAGACCCCCTTTCTAGTCAGAATGGCATCCATGTACTTGGGATTTGGGGGAAAGATAAGGATTTAGAGAGAAATGCAAAAATAGGAATTTATATTCATGCAAAACAGGGTTATACAGCAAAGCCAAAGTGTTGCCAGCTCTTTTCTCTATTAGCTTGTCAATTACCTAGCTGGGAAGACCTATGTCTGCCGTTAAGGCTTATTTGGAGTTGACAGGGAAGAGTACGGCAGACAGGAAATGAAATGTCCATCGTCTTATCCCAGGGCTGAAGGACAATGGAGAGCAACTGTCCAGATAAGTATCTCTCCTACCCAGGGACCTGAGGGAATGGGCAGACACACTGAAGGGGCATTTGCCTCCAGTCTCTGACAGAAGTTCATCTTGGGGCCTTTCGATACCAACCGGAATGCCACACAAACATGGTAGGGCACATACTTAACCTGAGGAAGGCCCTACATTTGGCTTTGAGAACCTACCTTTGGCTTTTGTGTGGTGTATGCAGGACCAAGAAGTAGCAGAAAGCTTGGCTGGAGAGCTTTCTGGATAGAATTGCCATAGACTGGTGTCACTGAGTATAATGCTCTAGCCAGAGGTCTTCCTAAGCTGGAGCCATATGGGACATGCAACCAGAACCTAGAGGGGTGTTTAGCACCAGCAGGAGATGAGGTGAGGTTGTCTCCCAGCAAGCACCACTGGGAGCCCGAAGACCCCAAGTCATAGCAGCCATGGGCTTTGGTTTCCACCAGCCAGGCATCTAGCAACCGGCCAGATAAAGAACATTGTCTCACAAAGGGAGGAGCCGGAGCAAACGTTGGACAAGAGACAATGCTGAATAAATGTCGGGGTGCTGACAATACTGACTCCAATCTTGGCCGTCCATCTTGTTCATGTCCAGTCAGTGACTTCCCTTGGTGCTGCGTGTCCCAGGCCCCTTGGAGGGGAATGTAGGTCCTGACCAGAATGCTGGAAGGCTTGTTCTGAGCTTCCTTCTGGCACACAGATGCTGCCACTTTAGATAACTACCCTTACACCTCACCACCATGCTTGCTCTATAAAAGCTGTGGATTAAGGTCTGGACTTAGAAAATAGCTGCCTAGCCCTTGGATCGGTGTCTGCCCCATCTTCCCTGTCAGTAAGTTACTCTGAATACAGTTCCGTATGAATGGTATGGAGTGGCTTGCTTCATTGTTCCTTTGCAAAGTGACTTCTCCATCTGGAGGATATTTTGCTGTCCTTCCTCCACCTTCCAACAACAAAGATCTTTTTTCTCTCCAACCCCACATAGTGTTTGGAGATGAAAGAAGTTGGAAGGGAGGAGAATTCCTAGAGACTAAATATTTTTAGCCAAGAGAGACTGAACACTATCCAAAGCTACTATTTATATTTTTTTATCAGTCTGAACTTAAAACTGGATTGGACACTTATTTATATTCTTTTCCTTGTCAACCAGCTGGTGGGCACTCAGGAGAAAAACCAAATCAGTCATAGACAAGAGAAAGGGATTACACAATTTCTCTGCACATAGGAGCTGTAGTGTTAAATTTTTCATTCTGCTACAGAGGCATGTGGATACCTCTTCTCTTTCTCTACCTGCTAGGAGACTGACAACAGTAAGGGAGAAAGAAGAAGTTCTCCCAACACAGACATTCATGCAACCATCTATCTGGATTAAGGTGCAGTTTCAAAGAAGAGGCATTGAGCTGAGAGCCCCCAAACTGCGTATCCATTTAGGGTGTAAGGCGGAGATCCTAAAGAAACTGGTCAATTCTGGAGGGTTCAGGAAGGAGCTGTCTGGACGGTTTAAAGCAAAGATAGTTGCTATGGAAAAATACACTCACAAATACTTTCCATCTAGGGCAATATTTGCCTGTGTGTGTGTATGTGTGTGTATGTGTGTGTGTGTGTATTTTAAAAGAGAGATAGGAAAAGGGAAAAATGACTAAAATGACATATAAGTTTTCTCAACAGAAAACCAAAATTAAGAACTAACATAAGCAAGTTGTATAATGCCATAGGAAGACAGAGATGACACTGACATTGAGTGCCCACCACATGCCAAGTAGTGTGTCAAGAGGGGCTTCCCCATACAAACAATGGTGAATATAGCTGACCATGATCTACCTTCAGTCAGATCATTAATGGGAATTTATTGAAAAAAATTCCCTAGGACCTTTTCCTCATGTTGCTACTTCCTGATTGGAAATGAACATTTATAACTTACTGGAGGCGAAAACTCACCAAGTAGTTGAACAGGATGTGAGACGTCTGAGCAGGAAAGTCTCCAATATTTAAGAGAAGTTTGCGCAGCATGTACATTAACTCATCCTGAAAGAAGAAGAGAATTTCTACATCTCATTCAGTGGCCACGCTGTAGGAAATAAAATTAACTTCTTAAAAAGTGGGGGAGGCTCTTACTTTTCCCTCTTGTTAATTTCCATTATGTTTGGCATTTTAATATAGTATATGTGATACTTATTAAAGAGTATTTAAACCAACTATTATACCTTCTCTTAGGAGCTAAACTATGGAATCACTGAGCAGTAGTTAGACAAGTTTTTTTTTTTTAATAAGAATTTAGACTGTGTCTATTGGTCATAGGCAAGTCATAGGAAAGTGGTACATTTAGTCAACTCTATTTGCTATGACTTCCACGTGTGATGAAAATGTAAGGCAGACCTATCTTGAGAAGCCAGTTAACAAATATAGTTTAATGAACTTCACAGGTCTGCTTCCTAGGTTTTGAGTCAAAGAGATAAAGCTAGGTCGAGAGAGGATAAATAGAGATGTCTGTAATTAACCTTAGCTTTCAGAAACGAAACTTAATTCTTCCAACAAATAGGACCATAACACAGAAATGAACAAATACTTTTTAATCATCAGTGTATTTTGCCATTGCTCAGAAAACTACTTTTATTTCACATACTCTTCTTACAGGTGGCCTGCTACATTAGATTTGAGTAATGGACAGTTTCAACATATTCTAATAATCTTACCTGCATCACAGACTACTAAGCAATCAGAATTCAGGAAATGTACCCATTACTAAGAACACTATACTGAATTTAATCTTTGTCTAAAAGACTGAAAATCTTTCAGTATCTTAGGGTCATCACTATCCTTGTACCAAACACATATGGAGACATCAGTCAATGGACCAATTTGAAAGAAAACAGCAAAGTTTAGTACTGCTCATCATTAACATTACCTAAAGCACTTATTTGCTCTGTGTCAGACATTGATGTTCAATGCATAGTTCTGTGAAGCCCACTGTTTGCTTTTGACAGTGTTCACACACATAGCTACACGGCTATACTCTAAAGAAAGAGGAATTTACTTGTCTATTGCTGATGGTCAGTTTTTCCAGAAAATGTCGAAGAACTGTTGATGGATCTTCAATCAGACAATTCCATAAGACTTGCTGGGCCACAGCACTCACTTTAGAAGAGAGAGGACATTGATCATTTGTTTTAAATAGAGATAAAGTGTTAGATACACTATTCAAACAATTTACTAAGCTTTAATTAGTCTCTCTTTTTTGCCTTAACAAGGTTCTATGAACTCTTTCTGTTGAAAGGTAGATGTTTGTTCTCTTTGCCTCTTATTTCTGAACATTTTCACCTATAAAAAAAAGTAACTAAAAAGTATAGGATAGTCTTGAGATTTTAGAATTGCTTTTGTAAAGAACACATTTGTGATTTACAAGTATATCATTCAGCCTTAAAAGAAGGAAGTCCTGCCATTTGTGATAATGAAGATGGCTTTTGAGGGCATTATGTTAAAGGAAATAAATCAGACAGAAAAAGACAAATATTGTATGATCTCACACGTGGAATCTAAAATAAACCAAACTCATAGACACAGAGGCCAGACTGGTGGTTGCCAGAGGTGGGGGTGGGGTAAATGAGTGAAGGTGGTCCAAAGGTAAAAACTTCCAATTATAAGATAAATAAATATATCCTGGGGCTATAACGTACAGCCTGGTGACTACCCTTAACAATACTGCCTTGCATATTTGAAGGTCGCTAAGAGAGGAGATTTCAAAAGTTCTTATTATAAGAAAACAATTGTTACTACAGGTGATATGGGTGTTAACTAAACTTGTTGTGGTAACATTTCATAATATAAACATATATCAAATTATTATATTGTATGCCTAAAATTAATACAATGTTATATATCAACTGTATCTCAATTTAAAAAGAAAGAATACATTTGTGAATCTTTGTTTTGGAAATTACCCTAATATTAGGAGTGATGAGTATTTATCAAATTAAAATCATATTCCAATGTTGGTTGTATGGAGAAATTTCTAAAGTAATCATTTGGTTTTAGGAAATATGTTTTGGTTTAGAATGCATATGAATTAGAGATGATCTTTTATTGTTCACGAGAATGCTTTAAATAGTATCTCCCTCAGTGAGATAAAGTAGTTAAGCCAGTCCCAATTAGGCTCCCACTTCTAATGAGAATGTCTTAGGAATAAATAATTATTCCTAATGTGAAGAAAGTGCTTCTTCTTTGGGGAGAATGATTGGGCCAAGACTGCCTAGAAGTGCTCAAGCTAGGAAAGCAGGTGGGTAGAAGAGAGCGGTGGATAAGCATTGGAAGATTTTCAGTCTAAAGGGTTTAATTAGTTTAGTTTTCTAAACTAGAAATATAGGATTTAGCATGAATTTTTCATTCAGCCTATATTTTAAACAAAGGATACCAATATTTTGCTTCCGAAAACCAACCATCCAATTAAAAATATGAACTATATAAATAAATAATATTAACAAGAGGTATATAAATATAAGCTTTAGCTTTCATGTGTCTTTATAAATAATTAAAACAGGTGTGGGTTTTTCTTAGGTTGAAATTGATTGCAAAACTATCTTTGTATATTATTTTTATTCTAATTGCTGAAGTAGGGCAATTTAACACTTAAAGCATGAAAAATACAGAAAAGTAAGACTAGTTAGTCCACCAATCACAGAAACAACTCGAAACATTTTGCAGTATGTCCCTTTCATATATGTAAAATATATATTTACATGTATTTTTAAATAATATGCAGAAAATATTCTTTGGTACTCCGTTTTTTACTTAGCAATATATTAAAAACTTTTAACGTTAATATCTTCTAGAATGTTATTTCTAACATACACAGAATGCTGTCATATGGAGGTGCCATGATTAACTAATTGCTTGTTGGACATTTAAACTCTTCTCTAATATTTATTTATTTATTTTTAAGATTCCATTTATTTATTTGACAGAGAGAGACACAGAGAGAGAGGGAACACAAGCAGGAGGAGTGGGAGAGGGAGAAGCAGGCTTCCCGCAGAGCTGGGAGCCCGATGTGGGGCTCGATCCCAGGACCCTGGGATCATGACCTGAGCCGAAGGCGGACGCTTAACAACTGAGCCACCTAGGCACCCCCTAATATTTGTTATTTTAAATAACGTATAATGTGCAGCATCCTATATAGAACCTTATATAGTTCTCATTATTGCCCTAGGAAATGGCTAGAAGTCAAAATCTGTATCAGAGGGCTTTCACACTTTTTAAGGTATTTGACACAAACTGTGAAACTTTGTTCCAGAGTACTTGTATTGAATTCCATACTTCCATCAGCAAAGTGTGAGAATGCTTTTTTCCCTGAATCTTTATCAACTACGGATATTTTCATTTAGAATAATCTTTGCATGGTAGCTGCACTTGTAGTGAGCAGAGCATAACATACGGAGAAGTTGAATCACTGTGTTGTACACCCGAAACTAAGGTAACACTGTATGTCAACTATCTCAAATAAAAAAATAAAATAATAAAATGAAAACATCTTTGCACGTTTTTAGATGAAACGTAAAATTTCATTGTTTTCTTAAACAACAATGTTGTTTACAGGTCTTATTGACTATTGGTCTGTGTATTTATATTCTTTGCCCATTTTTCTATTGGGGTTTAAAAACATCATTATTGAGCTCTAAGGCTTTATAAAATAACAACATTAAAAATACTAACCTGTTGTCTATCACAAACATCACTCGTCTTTACCCCTAGTTTATCATTTCATTTTGCAACTACTCTTTTTATTTTTTTAGAATTTGAAATTAATTTTTTAATTTAATTTTATTATGTTATGTTAGTCACCATACAATACGTCATTAGTTTTTGATGTAGTGTTCCATGATTCATTGTTTGTGTATAACATCCAGTGCTGCATGCAGTACGTGCCCTCCTCAATACCCATCACAGGGCTAACCCATCCCCCCACCCCCCTCCCCTCTAGAACCCTCAGTTTGTTTCTCAGAGTCCACAGTCTCTCATGGTTCATCTCCCCCTCCGATTCCACCCCCTTCATTTTTTCCTTCCTTCTCCTAATGTCCTCCTTGTTATTCCTTATGTTCCACAAATAAGTGAAACCATATGATACTCTCTTTAGGTAGTACGTCTGGAAAGATAATCAAGTGGGACAGATGGCATTGGTGGTGTCAAGGTAATAGCTAAGATTTCTAAGGTGGCCAGAATTCCTATTTGATTTTCATGTGGCCAAATAAATGTTTTTTGGTTCTCTGGTCATCAACAATACTCCTGGATCCAAGTATTTATTTTAAATGCAATTTCTTGGTCATAAAGGTAGTGGGACAAGGGGATGAAGACAGTAATAATGTTACTAGAGTGTACTGTAAATCTATAATTGTAATATGTACATAAAACAACTCAACATGTGACCAATAGTTAATGTCTTCAAGAGCACCCCATTATCCTCCATCAGATAACAGCTTCAGTATTTTATTAGAGTAATTGATGGTTTTACTAGTCAAACTGATACCTGCTACTCCATCTTCCCGCACCTCACCATCTTCCATTAGATGAACGATGGGGAGCACTGCTGCACAGATGCATGCTGGGAACACTGCTTGTGGAGGCTGAGGCACATGGTGGTTCGGTGTGTGTTCGGTGGTGTGTTCCTCATCTGAAGAGAAATACATAATCGGGGTGTTTTTCTCAGTATTGTCATTCTAATGCAACACCATTTCTCAGTTCAAAGCTTTCCTATTTAACGTTCTTTTGGTTATAGATATCTAGGTGTCTCAGCACCATTTGTTGAAAAGACTATTCTTCCCTTATTGGATTTTCATGGTACCCTTTTCAAACATGAAACCAACATGAATATAATGGTTTACTTCTGGTTCTTCAATTCTATTCCATTGATTTCCTGTCAGTACCACACAATATTGATTACTGTTGCTTTGCAGTAAGTTTTGAAACTGGGAAATGTGAGTCTTCCAGCTTTGTTCTTCATTTTCAAGATTATTTTGACTATTCAAGTATGTCGAGCCATCATACTTTTTGGTAGGAATGTAAAATGAATGACACAGTTACTTTTGAAAATAGCTTGGCAGTTTACCCCACCAAACTTGTACGTAACTGTTCATAGTAGTATAATTTAGAATAGCCAAAAGTGGAAACAACCCAAATGTTCACTAACTGGTGAATTAATAAACAATGCAGTATATCCATATAAGGGAACACTATCTGGTAATGAAGAACTGATACATGAAACCACATGGATGAACCTTGAAAATATGCTGAGTGGAAGCATCCAGTCACAAAAGGCCACATACTGTATGACTCCATTTATGTGAAATGTACAGAGTAAGCAAATCCATAGAAATAGAAGATAGATTATTTCTTGCCCCGGGTTGGAGAAAGTGTGGGTGAGGAACAACTTGGTAATGGTATAAGGTCTCTCTTTGGGACGATGAAAATATTCTAAAATATTTATGATTAGAGGTGCTAACCATTGCATAATGGTTGCATAATATTGCATAATAACCAATGCATTGTATACTTCAAAAGGGTGAGTTTTATGGTACATGAATCATACCTCAATAAAATTATATCTGTTATAAAAAATATAAATGAGACTTTGGCCCAATCCCTGTAAGTTGTGATTAATTAGCATTGGTCATTTTTGAAGTTTCCAAGGGTTATACAGCCAAGGGTTGAGGACCACTGGTTTCTGTACAACTTTTTAATGACTTTATAAATCAGGTGATGAAATTTGTATAATCATGAGCAGTGAGTCCCAGACAGTTATTCATGATTAGAGAAAACATATTTTTTAAATTCTTGGAACTGAAGGGTATCATGTCCCCTGCCCCCCGCACTCCAGAATCAGATTTCATTATAGGAGTAGCATGAACTCTGGTCTTCTTTTGATCGTTAAATTATTCCAGAACAGCATCCTCAAGCATCCTACTGGGTCCTGGCCACTCATTGGAATCTCCATCCCAAGTAGATTTTAAAAACTGATGTGTGGGTCCCATTCTTAGGAATCTTGATTTGGTCTTGGGTGTGACCTGGGTATTTTTTTAAACTCCTCACTTGATTGTAATGTGTAGCCAGGGTTGAAAACCTACAGCAATATGATTATTTGCAATGTAATTAAAATGGAGCCGATTTATAAAGGACAATTGCTGGGTAAAAAAAACAAAACTTTTTTTAGGGTACTACTCAATCTAATATTTATTTTTTGAACTTCAAGTCCTGAAACAAGTTACTTAATGAAGACAGTGAAGTGTAATAAGAATACTAACTGGCAAATGTTTCAAAACACACATGAGTCATGAGGAATAAATAACACATTTCTAAGAGGACACACCTTCAGCACTAACAGCTGAACGCACAGACCAGACTGACCCTCGGCGGAAGGAGTAATTCCTGTGGGAAGTGCTGGAGGTACAGGACGGACTCACAGACAGTCGACGGGATGCCAGATTGGTGACTTCTTCTACTGGCAAAGAAAATGGGGAATGTGACCTTTGGTTTTGTAACAAAGTTGTCATCATCACAACTATAGCTGTACTTACATCACCAGTATATACTGTGCTCAAAGCGTAAGGCTTAAGTAATTTAGAGTGTACTTAATGAATGGAGAAAATCTTTTAGAAACACAGCCAGAAAATTCTCACAGATTCCACAAAAGCAGGGCAGAGAATCCCCGAATTAGAATGGTTCGTAAATTATTCCTGATGCCAACCAACAAATTGGATGCATTTGTGAAGGTTGATCGTTAATGGACTAACCCCATTTTTAATGATGAAAGATTGACTGCATTTACTTTAATACACACTCTGGATTTAGCTGTTCTCTGAATCATAATCACTGCTTGGTCCATTATCATACTGGTTCATTCAATGTGAATAACTCCCTCCTCTAGAAACAGGCCAACTCCGAAAATGAAGAACACAACAACTTTCCTCTTTCTTTTGCTAGTGTCAGGAGGTGAGAGAGAGACAGAGGGTACATATAACCTCATGTCACATAAAACCGTACTGTTTATTCCAAAGCTAGTCCTTTCCATTTCCTATAACTTAGCCCCCCAGGAAGTCCCATGTGTAGGGGGCACCTTCTTCTTCTGGCTCTGAGCTGGGCGTGCAGGTGGGCTCGTAGCAAGCCTCCTGGGTGATGGGGATGGCGGTGATGAGGCTGGCTTCTCTACCAAGACGTTTCTTCTCTTCCTCCTGTTGCAAGTTCTTTAGGATGTGCTCTGCTCTCTGATGGGAGCGGGACACAGCTCGGGCTGAAAAGGATTTCTATGGAGACACGAAGACCAATTTATTTTGTAGAAACTGCTCTACAAGGTCGCAGCCATAAACAGTATTGCCATAGAATTACACAAATGTGGCACTTTGTCCTCAGAAAATGGAAGGGCACCCATGATTTAGTTTCATGGCCATTTGTTCATTTTTCTGCCAGGTTTCCAGGTTGTGTGTAACTAAGCTATTCATTTTCATTCAATCAGAATAATTCTTCAAGAATATCTGTAAGTTTTGGGATTTCAACTTTAGAATTTGGGGTGATATCAATGATCCAGTCTTTAAACATTCAAATCAGATAAAGAATTTTAATACTCTATTCCTTTCCACAACTTTTTGAAATGGTTTTAAATAAAGGACATTTATTTCATAGGTTAATAAAAGAGAGAACCACAGAGAGGAGGAGGAATGGGATCTCTCACATAAACCAATTAGTTATATGATTTATTTCATTTTTGTATCTCAAATGTCTACCACACCATAAATACTTAATTATTGTAGATAAATAGAGTGGCACACTGCAAATACATAACAATATTTGTAGAAACAAAGTGAATAGAAATTATGAGAGTTGATAGGGTTACTGAGGTTGAATACAGGATCTTTACATAAGACTAAAGGTTTCCTATGCTGAATGGCACAGTAGCAATTAAGGGCATTAGATGAGCCACATGGCAATTTATTTGCATGCCAGGGGTTAAGCTGATTTATTATATTAAGGTAAGGTAAGAATTGTGGAATGAGAGAAAGAAAACTGGATATAGCATCAGGGGTCTTGATTTCAAATTCCTTGCGAACTTGGGATAGAGAATGTACTTGGCTCAAATGAAACCATTGTCTGTACAGGAGACAAATCAAAGATCCTTATGCCAGTGATTCAGAAGCTGAATTTATGGTATAAACATTTTCACAAGTCAAGAGCTCAAACAGTTCTCCAAAGAAATGCCTAGCAAAAGTGTGATGTGTAAAAATGTTCAACCTAACTTCATATATCCAAGTGACTTTTTAAAGAATCACAATGGCTTTGTTTTTCGCCACTCAAAGTGGCATTAAAAACAATAATACTAGCTAATTTGAATAAACATGGCACACTTTCCTGTTCTATTGTATATGGGTAAAATGGTAAAATCTTCCTGGGGCTATTTTGGGTGGTGTATCAAAAAATCTTTAATATTTATATACCAATTGCCCTAAATTCAATGGGAATTTGTGCAAGAAGATAGTCATGGATTTGGGCCAAAGAACACATCTATGTTCTTTTCCTTTTATTGATTTTCCATATTTTCTACATTATTCTTGTAATTCAGAAAATTCAACAAGTGAAAAAGTCCTATTTTGCACTCATTTTTTGCAAAAGGCACACATTCTTGGTTCTTCTTTATGAATGGACAGTGTTTCTAAATTTAACTGCTTATGAATTATATTACATGCAGCACTGATATATTAGAGTACACAAGATCTGAGGTCTCGGAGTGATATCTGTGATGATACTAATGATCAACAAAATGAAGAATAGACCAAAGTCCCAACAAGGAAATAAGTGCTGCCAACTCAGTTCTTTTTCTTATTCACCCAGGGTCAACCTCATTACCTTTTGGGTAGCTTAGGTATTACAGGTTAGAAGAATATCTTTGTTTTATAATAACTAGACACAAAAGTGCTACCCTTGGCCAAGAAATCAATGGCTAATGCTTTTAATAGTTGTAAAAGGTGGCTGCTACTGTGACCATAGAACAAAACTGTGTTGGCTTGGAGGTCTGCAAATGCTACTGGATATTAGTTCCTTCTAATCTATTCACAAGAACAAAGACCTCTCATGGCTTATTTTCTGTGTTATGACATTCTTCTGACAAGAATGAACAAATTGTCTCATGCACTCATTGTCCTTCTCTCTTACATGGATACCACAGAGCCTGAAGAGATGAGAAAGAAAGTGCCTGTTACTCACAGACTGGTCTTCATTAATGGGGTCCTGGACACTCCCGCTGCACTGAGGGACCCAAGGGGGGTCAAACATTGGGACAGATGGCATTCCAAGCACTGGTGAGGGCAGGGTGAAGTTTATACTGGGAGGCGGGATCTGTTAGTTGATATCAGAAGAATGAGGTAAGATGGAAAATAAGCTAGAATGAGTCTGAAGTATAATTATGAAATCATCTTATAGAGTACATGATGTTACAAAGCACAGGATGAACGTCTCTGGGTCTCAGTTTACTCATTAAAAAAATGAAGGGTTTCAACTATATGATCTCTATTTGTGTTAATTATCCCATTTTCCAAAAAATATCTGTATAAATATAACAAAGTACCTGAAAGATTATACCCCAACCTTTTGTGGGCATACCTCTGGGATGGCTTATAGAAATTTGATTTTCTTGCTCTACCACTCTTTTTTACTTCAATATTTTTTAAAACAAGAATTCATTCGTATATGAGTTAGTTTTACTTATATAATCACAGAGGGGAAAGAAAAAGAAGCATCTCTTAGGCTATACACTGTAGATTTGAGGCTCAAGGATTTAAAGAAGCCTTGGGTGGGTTTGCAAATCTAATTCCTATGGCAGAAATATCCCTCACCTTAAAAATCTGCTGTGCTCCTTCCTCCATCCGGGGCCAGACCTGGTAGCGAAACCTCCAGAGTGTGTGGAACTTGAGAACGGCGTTCAGCCTCTGTACTGTCTCTGGGTGGTGGAACTCGGACATCAACATGTCGGACACAGCCTCAGGGACTTTCACCGCACACAGCAGGAACATGGCAGCTAGAGACAGCCAACAAATCATCAGCTACACATCTTTTAATTTTGCTTGGTCCTGGGGGATGGGGAGAAGCAGGGAGTTGTTTCTGTCTCCTGAAAATGACTCCTGAGCTAAGGGAGCCAGGCCACCAGCACTGGTGAAAGCAAATCTTCTTTCAGTCACTGAAAACCAAACATGATCCTTTGTGCCATCCACAATCTTCCAGTATCTGGTGAAGGCAACGGCAACATGATATTTCCGTAGAATACCTCATTCCAAGCAAAACTTCCTTTGGCTCAGAGTGAAAAGTGAATGTGAGAGGAAGCAAATGAAAAAAGGAAATGATATACTGAAATATCCTTTTTAGGAAATGATAAGAATCATGTCATAGTCATCCTGGGATAGTGCACAAAAATGTCCATTAAAAACTGTCCCAGTTATATTATATTAAAAATAAAATCCACATTGTAGACTGTATTAGAAACCTCCACCCTTCTGAGAGATAGAAGAGATCGAGAAGCCAAAAGAGATTTCATGAATCATAACACCATTGCTGTTTTTTAATTTTGGGAAAAGTCAAATATCAGTAAGAGAAAGGTCAAGTGCCACAATAAGTTACAAAGTTAATGAATAATGGGGCAGAAAAATACACTCTGTAGCATAGATGGATGAGCTAGTGTCAGTCATAAAAACATAATTTAAAATTCTCTTGTACTTTTTCCTGGATCATCAAAACATACTCAGACAATTGTGTTAGGACAGCTGGGGTTGAGTGTCAGCTCTGAAACCTCTCTGCTCTGTGCTCCCGGGAGAGCGTCTCCACCTCTCTCAGCCTCTGTTTCTTTAGGGGCAGAATGTCAATGATGATGATGATGATACCTGTCTCCAAATTTGTTGTTAGAATAAGATAAAATAATGTATGAGAAAGAGCTCTGTGACGTGAAGAGTATTACACGCTTCTAAAGCATGTCTTATTTTCTAGAGGCAATGTGGCGTATGGGAGGGACATCTATGTGTGCAGTCAGAAGACCTGGATTTGGTGTCCCAGCCCCGCTGCTTCTGATCTGTGTGCACTCGCATAAGTCCCTTCAACCCTCTGAGTTGCAGTTTGCTCACATATAAAATGGTTGTTATGGGGATCAAGTAAGAGCACCTGTGTGCTATGGTTCTATAAGAAATGTTAGCTCTTGTGACCATTAGTGTTTGATAAGCCTTTTCTTTATCCGACTAGTTCCTTAAATTTCTACTCTTTCTCCCTTCTTTTCTTTTCTTTAAAGCGTGCTCTGTTCTGTCTCAATTTTTAAATACCACGGTCTCTCTTTACATCATTGCAAGTTGGAGTTTTATCCACCTCATTCCTAGCACCGACGCAGTTTTCTTATAATGCTCACTGATCAGTAGATCCAGTGGTACTTTTTATAGCATTTGTTTCCTTTTCATTTTTAACACTTTCATGACCATCTCCTTGAAGAGCTATCCTTTGCTTGCATGGTTTGAGGTTGAGCTCTTCTACTTTTTTTTTTTAAGATTTTATTTTATTTATTTGAGAGAGAGAGAATGAGAGACAGAGAGCATGAGAGGGAGGAGGGTCAGAGGGAGAAGCAGACTCCCTGCCGAGCAGGGAGCCCGATGCGGGACTCGATCCCGGGACTCCAGGATCATGACCTGAGCCGAAGGCAGTCGCTTAACCAACTGAGCCACCCAGGCGCCCCGAGCTCTTCTACTTTTCTGGTCATTTCCCAGGGTATGCTGCTGGCTGCCTGTCCTCTGAAGGTATGGAAGACCAATGGCTTAGTACCCATCTTTCTGCTCTTTATTCCATAGATTCTTCCCCCAGAAATCCCATCCGTGCTCACTGCTTCAGCTGCCACAAAGATCAGATTTTTTTCCCAAGCTTATCTCTACCTTTGCCCTTTTTTCATTAGCTTTAATGTCATGTCACCAACTTTACATCTCCTAACCATGTAAAACCGAACTGCTTTACTCATTGCTGCCATATTCAATGCATACTGTATATACAACACTACTCTTTTTTCTAGAACCCATGAGTGGTTTTCCACAGTTCAGTGGAAAGTCCATACTCCTATGAGTGTCATTCAAGGGCTGTTACAATCTGAGTCCCACTCACTTGTCTAATACCATGGACTGGGGACCCCTCTACAAAAGCCACCCCAGTCTCAATTCTTCCTCAGGCTTTCCAAATAAGCCCTGTGCATTTCCACACCCCACGTGGCTTTGCATACACCATCCTCTTCCTTCTAGCTTTCCTTAAAGCCCAGTCTACCTGTTCATATCTTCCATGGAAGTTTCCATATGTCTCATATTTGAGGAGCGTGCCTTTCTCTGTACTCTCTCTCTCAGAAACATGTGGTAGAGAAGAAAAATCCAAGCTTTAATGCAAACAGAAATATTTTACAAAGACATTTGTTGCAATGTAGTATAAAAAGCCGTTAATAAACCAAAATTTCCATTAGTAGTCCAGGTTAAATAAATTGTTATGACCATTCAACGAAATATTTGGTAGGCATTAAAAAGAATGAGGTGAATCTTCCAGCTAATGCAAAAAAATGGTCTCCTAGGGAATGCTTCTAACCACTTCTCGTTTGGGGCTGCCTCATTTGAATTGGTTTTTGCTCAAATAAACTCTTCAAATTTTTAGTATACCTCAGTGTATCTTTTAACAGTTCTGGTGTCATGAGAGGGAACTGAAGGAGACCCCGATGGCCCCCAGGAGCAAGGAACAACCAGGTATAGGTACCTATGGAGCCCCTGACATTGCAGACTTTATTTTAACTTCTTCTTTTTTTTTCTGAGAGAGAGAGACAGAGGAGGAGCCGGGTTGAAGCAGAGGGAGAGGGAGAGAGAGTCTTAAGCTGGGTGTGGAGCCCAACCTTGGAGATGGATCTCACGACCCTGAGATCATGATCTGAGCTGACACCAAGAACCAGACACTTAACTGACGAAGCGACCCAGGCGTGCCAGCGTTTCTATTTCCATACTGGGTCTGAAAACTGGCCAGAATTAGCCTGGGTCAAACTGGCTTCTGAGGACTGATTCAGATTTAGAAATTGGGCTGGGTCTGGGGTCAGACTGGTCCAATATGAGGCCTCAGGTAAATAAAATTTTATTTTAAGGCTGAACAAGTAGGTTCACCTTATCAAAGGTAATGACAGTAGCCCCAGTGGATAACTTTTAACTATTTTAGAGAAGCTTATCCATTTATGAAGTGCCCTAGAGAGAAAGCGGTCTCAGCCAGGCACTCACTATACGTGGGGGTAGCTCTGGGTTTTGGGAGGGAAATATCTTCTGCATCATCTCTGCCTCCTCATGTGTCCACGGCATTGTGCAATACTGCCAGAAATATTTACGGTTTGTCCCGGATGAAACCTGACAAGTTATTCAAAAGGATTTATTTTTAAGTAGCTCTATGGTCAGAAGTTGGCCAAATTGGAAACTGATATTCAGAGCCTGATAGGAACTTTTGTTTTTAATGCCTCCTCTCCTAAGGCAAAATGAAGCTATGTGCTCTGAGGGAAAGTAAAACATTCTGAAGCCATTGAGGAAGGATTTACTAAAACATTCCAAGGAAATAGCTGTAAATCTAGAACCTGGGAATCTTTTGATTTCCATCTTAGTTGAAGATCTTCTCTGGGATATAAAGAAGTGATTTGAGGATAATGTAGTTGGATGGCTGGGTAAGCATCTTGACATTTAAATTATATCCCAGTCCTTTGAGGAATTACCAACTGTACCTGTCTAACAAATCGAGTCTTTACAAAAACAGAAATGCAGCCCTAGAAAAAATTCAAAGCCCAACTATCCTTTTTTTACCAATCTCCAAACCCCTATTCATCTGAAAAGGCTTTCAGATATTGTGAAAAATATGGATTTAGGAAACAAAAGCCCTTCTTGAAGAAACTTACATCCTTTCTCTATGCCTTTGAGATGTAAGTGTTGTATCTGGTTTTTCCCTTGAAATGCAAATTCAGGGAGGTAATTCTTTTTTTTTTTTTTTTAAGATTTTATTTATTTATTTGAGAGAGAGAGAATGAGAGAGAGCACATGAGATGGGGGAGGGTCAGAGGGAGAAGCAGACTCCCTGCTGAGCAGGGAGCCCGATGCGGGACTCGATCCTGGGACTCCAGGATCATGACCTGAGCTGAAGGCAGTCGCTTAACCAACTGAGCCACCCAGGTGCCCCTCAGGGAGGTAATTCTTATCAGGAAAGTATATAATGGGCCACTCCTCCTGACCCCAGTGCAGATCATTCTGCCCCTGGGTCCTGTCCCTGTGCTTTAATAAAACCACCTCTTTGCACCAAAGATGTCTCAAGAATTCTTCCTTGGCTGTTGGCTTCAAACCCTAACGTCTTTCCTACATCAATGTGATCTAGAATAATCTTTGATAAATAAAAACTAGTTTAAGTTTGTTGATTTAATTAAAACAATACTATCAAAGTTATCAGCATTATATAATACTCTTATTCTAATAGGTTTACTAAAAGCCAGATGAACTCACGTTATCTCTGTTGTAGAATTTATCAGCAAGAAAGAGAACTTAAAATGATGAACTGTTCTGTCTTAAGAAATTTTCATGGGTCAACATTATTGTTAAGAATTAGTAGATGTAAGATTTACTATGAGGAAGAATATACTTCTAGAAATTGTGAAATGTATTAATAAATTTGCCAATCCACAGAATGCTACTATCATAGTCCACAACTGCTTACTTCTTAGTTATCACTAGGAATAAAGGATTCTAAGGGTTAAGAACCCTAATCAATATATGTAACTAAAACTTAGAAATAATAAGGATGAAAAATAGGTAAGCAAAGTAAAATGACCCCTTTTTCCAGAATGAGGAAGATTAAAAAACGTAGAACAAAATCTGAATGGGTATGAAAAAAATTGTGGAAAATTTGTAGAAAAGGAATCTTGGAAAGTAAATATGACATGTGGTTAAGCTGACTGAAGTTGGAATGGATGTATTTAAGTTTTTAAATAATGAGTTTTAATATTAAAAACACACTGATAAAAAAGTTAGAATTTGGTTTTGTCTCGGCTGAAATACCAAACTTTTCTTGGACTATCGGTCTGCTTTTCATAAAAGATTGTGAAAAGTGTTTTTTGTTTTTTTTTTTTACCTTTTGAGTAATCTACCTGGAAAGCAAAGGTTTTGTGTCATACCAAAATAATTTACTGTGCTTCATGTTGTCTTTATCAGGTCTTTGATCACTTAAGAAAACCCATTTTTTTTTTTTAAGAGAGAGAAAGAGAGAGAGGAAGGGGGGTGAGGAGAGGGATAGAGAGAATCTTAAATAAGCTCTCCACCCAGTGCAGAGCCCCACATGACCCTGAGATCATGACCTGAGCTGAAATCAAGTCAGATACTTAACCCACTGAGCCACCCAGGTTCCCCTATATTTGCCTTTAAAATCTATTTTGGCTTTAGTTAAGTAGATAATTAAGTATTATTTCATAGTGATCTGAGATCCTATTTACTCAAATGTTCAAGCCTTTTGACATTTTGGCAGCTTCCCAAAATCAAATTCTAAATGAAGTCTCTTTGATTTCAAAGTAACTTTGAGTTTTCCCAGAGGGTCCCTAGAAAACCTCAAAGAATTTGTCTCTCACCTTGTAAGAGAGATGTTAAACTAGGTTTATTTGGTATGTTAAATTATGTGGAAGCACTGTCAATAAGAATTGACAATAAACTTCTGAAGTTATAGGTGTATGGAAATATATTACTAATATAGGTATTTCAGAAATCATTCCTATTTTCTAGGAAGTTGTCAATACTCTCATCTAATTATTATCCTAAATTATTGTGTACCAAAGATATAACTATATTTCTTTATCAAATGAACTCTCATCAGATCTTTAATCATGGCTACTTTTTTAAAGGTCTTTTTGTTATTTACAGACAGTTACTGTTTTACTCTGATGCTTTTATGAAAGTGCTTCATCTTCAGAAAGATTCATGGTAATATCATAAAATTGAACTGGTTAAGAATTTCCAGCACTAGGGCGCCTGGGTGGCTCAGTTGGTTAAGCGATTGCCTTCGGCTCAGGTCACAATCCTGGAGTCCCAGGATCGAGTCCCGCATCGGGCTCCCTGCTCAGCGGGGAGTCTGCCTCTCCCTCTGACCCTCTCCCTTCTCATGTGCTCTCTCTCTCTCTCAAATAAATAAATAAATAAAATCTTAAAAAAAAAAAAAAGAATTTCCAGCACTAATGGAAAAAACAATTCAAGTAGAACAAGAATTAATGATATGAGACTGAGTGGACTAATGAGGGTGATTATAATTTTTTAACCCTTTTTCTTTGAAACATTGCTGGTTCCTTAATGTTTTCTTTTTCCAGATTTAAAGGAATGTTTTTTCTCTTTTCTCTTAAGCTATCTATGACTTACAGTAATTTTATAAAGTATATTGCTATAAGTAAAATGGAAACATTTATTTTTTCTCCTTACTGATTCCTCCAGAATTCAGAAATTCATTCAGTATTCTTTTTTTTTAAATTCTTTTTTTTTTAAAGATTTTATTTATTTATTTGAGAGAGAGAATTAGAGAGAGCACATGAGAGGGGGGAGGGCCAGAGGGAGAAGCAGACTCCCTGCCGAGCAGGGAGCCCGATGCAGGACTTGATCCAGGGACTCCAGGATCATGACCTGAGCCGAAGGCAGTCGCTTAACCAACTGAGCCACCCAGGCGCCCCATTCAGTATTCTTATTTTCATGACAACATAATTATTTGCATAAGTTCAATAAGAACCTGTTTTTAAATAACAGGGCGCAACTGGAAACATTGGTTTTATTACCAAGGTTTGACTGGAATGTTGTATTTGAGAAGATGCATAAAATCAGATATGACCAGACAGTTTTAAGGGACTAAGGTTGACTTTATGGTGCCAATAAAAACTCATTGGAAAAATTGGCCTGGTATATTGCTTACAGGATTCCCTGCAGCCTTACCAGGTGGGTAAGGAAGGCCATCTCCTGGCAGGCCCAGGAAACTCAAGATATCCTGAGGACCTCAAGAAGAGAGGAATTTAGCCAAATCTATAGGTATTCCAGGTGAAGCCCAATGGTGAATTCTTCACTTGGCTTCTTCACCTGGAGAGGTTTTTAAAAGGCCAATCTAAGATTCCTTATAAAAAGTTCCAGCAAAACAGATTTGAAAAAAGCCTATAGGATCAATCACTCTTCCTACTGTACTTAGATAAATAATCAGGCCAGGTTTAATGAGACTAGACTTATTTTTGCAAATAAATCAGCCTTCCTGTGATTATCTTTGATAGAAATGAGGGTGAGTGTAGAGAAAAAATTGTGTTTCAATAAAAAATGGTAACACTTGTGGATATCAGATTCTAGTCCGGTTCATCGTTTTTGACGTTTCGTTATTTATCTGTATACCAAACTGGATCTTGAATTCTTCTAGTTTCCTCAAATATCTGGCTACAACTCCCCAAACTAATGTTTCCCACCTTCTGATTTGGAATCACTAAGAACAAAGACTGCCCTTGAAACGTCCTTGGAAGGACGTTTCATACCAGCTCCTCCTTACTACCCAGATGGCAGCCAAACTTCAGGGACTTGAATGAAATCCCTCATTAAAGAGATCCTCTAAACTCCTGAAACTGCACACCAGCTGGAGATCTAAAATTAAAATGGACTAGGGAGGTTCCTCCTCAGATGCAGATGGCATCTTGGGGACAGCTCTCCCAAGATCCCAGAGCAAGATCGTCATCTCCGATATTAAACCTTCATTCCTGTTGCCTTTTGCTGCTTGCTTTTTCTCTGTTAATGAACAGGAGAGACAGTGCTCCTGAACTCTGGCCGCTATGGCTGGATCTCCTGCTAAAGCTGTAGCTGTACAACAAAATCTCTATATTTTCTTGCTAACTTGGTTTTAGAGAATAGAATTGCTTTACTTCTCGGCTGAACACAGAATCTGCTGTGCCATAATAAAATACTCCTTGCTGCACCTGGATCAAAACCTCTGGTATTGTAGCGAATACAAGAAATTAACAAATAAGCCACTTGGCTAGAACAGGTATATTCCTGACCTATTTATACCAAGTGGCTTGGTTCATGGGGACCCTGGCTGAGAAGCATCCTTCAGTCTCTTGGCATTAAATTCCTAATAGTTCTCATTGTAGTCTCCCTGGTGTGTTAACATTCTCTCAATGATCTTAAATGCATGTTTACAACCATCAACCATATATTACATGGTCTCACTGTGCTTGGAGAAGCAGAAAGAAGATGGACAATGAGATGAACAGCAAAAACAATTGTTTTAAGGATCTGACATCATAACCTATGAGTTTCATAATGAGACAAGAGCAACGTAACCCCTATCTGACTGAGTGGCACTAATACCAAATTTTTGGTTGATCTCTCATGTATGAGAGGATGACCGAGAGGGGGTAATTGTTAAATTAATTAAATAAGGAGACCATTAACATGATGTGGCTCTAATCCTGTGGTGACCTATGTAAGGAAATGAAATCTAAGCTTCTAAACGCCTCAAGGTTACAAATCATAATGCTGAGGACAACCAGTCACAAACAGCCAAACTAGGCTTTTAGCTACAGCCAATCAGTAGCTACCTAACTTTGCTTCTGTCCTTTTTCTGTAAAAGCCTCTCCCTGGGCTCCTGTTGGTGGAGTGCTTCTAAAACACTCCTAGTTTGGTGCTGCCTGATTTGGATAGATTTTTCTTCACAAAAACTCTTAAAAAAATCTTCTAGATATAAAGGAAAACTGCAAAGTTCAAAAGACTTTATGGATGTCTTATTTGTGTGAAAAAAGAAACAACATATACGCTGGTACTTTGGTATATATATATATGTGCATAGTGTACCCTAGAAGGATTCCTGAAAAACTTAAAAATTGTCACCAAGAGTGACTGAGAGAAAGTACTTTTAGCTTCATACACTTCTGTATTATTTGAATTTTTACCACATACATTTTGCAATTAAAACAACTCTATATGACTAAAAGAGTATGTAAAGAAGTGGAAAAAGGTGAAGAACGCACATTTTGCACGTACCTTTTACTAGCTATGTGGCTTTGGATAGGTCATCTAAATTTCAACAAATTTGTTTTAATACTGTAATTTGGATATAAAACATCACTTGTGAATGATTTAATAAAGTTCATGATGGCGGTTCACGGTAAATCTGGGAAATCACAACACACAAAAAGAATTTCTCTTTTGTGAAACATAGTGACAATATCGGTTCCGGGGAAAATCATTTTTTTATAATTTGGCAATGCCTTCAGAGAGACATGCTCTCTTGTGCAGACTATGGGGTAAAAAGTAAAGGGTGTGCTTAGCACTTCAGCCTCCCTCCCTATAGTGTCCAGCTCTGTCTAAGGTTCTAGCAATTGTTGTCCATCTGACCTCGGTGTGAAAGGGAATGGATGCATTTCTTTCTTAAATGCTGGCATGAGTGGCGACCAGGGTCATGGGTGATCTTTCTTTACCTGCCGCCCCTGCCATGTGCTCATCCATGCTGAGCAGAAGCTCCCAGGCAGCCGGCTGGATGTCTCCGTACATCTCTTCCGTCAGAATTGGTGCTGCCTTGATTAACAGTGATAAAGGAGCAGGCGACAGGCTCATCACCTGGGAAAAGGTGGAAGGCACGTCTTAAAATCACTGAAGGCATTGACTGCTGGACTCCTCTTGAAACCCAAGTACCACTTCCATTCCCTGCTTTCCTTAAATGACCTTAAAATACTTTCTACAATGATAGCATATTTATTGGCATGGTGTATAATAAACTTTATACCTTATTAGTCGATGTATAACTACAAAAGATATACTAATTTTTAATGCTTTCACCACAAAAACGATTTTGCAGTCGCCTAAGGAATAAACTATAGAATAAGCTCTATGAGAAAAGAAAGACTCCAGCCAGTATATCTTTGTGTTAAAAGTGCTGGTGGACTTTCAAAGCATCCCGTTTTCCTTTCCGTTAGGAGCTGATGTCCACTGAAGACAATGGGCAGCCTCAGATTTGTAAAGGAGTTCCATTCAGAAAGTTAGTTTTCTAAGCCAGTGAACTTGGATGACATTTTCCCTTTGAAATATTGCATATTGTGGTTCTTGCCCTAGATTAGGCCACAAACATCCTATTTAATCCATTATTTCAGATAATTTATTTTTTAAAGATTTTGTTTATTTTAGAGAGAGAGAGCAAGCACAAACGCCAGCAGGGGGAGGGGCAGAGGAAGAGGGAGAGAGAGAGAATCACAAGCAGACTCGCCACCGAGCGCAGAGACTGAGGCAAGGCTTAAGCCCAGGGCCCCGAGATCGTGACCTGAGCCAAAACCAAGAGTCTGATGTTCAACCACTGAGCCACCTAGGTGTCCCCATTATTTCAGATTATTCACGTGATAAATGTAGGTTGTGGACAGTCTAGGTCTTTAACCATTTTAAAAATTTTTCAGAAGAGGCACCTGGGTGGTGCAGTTGGTTAAGTGACAGACTCTTGGTTTCCCTTCAGGTCCTGATCTCATGGTCCTGAGATCAAGCCCCACATGGGGCTCCATGCTCAGTGTGGAGTCTACTAGAGATTCTCTCCCTCTGCCCCTCCTGCTCGTGCTCTCTCTCAAATAAAGAAATAAATCATTAAAGAAAAAAATCTTTCCAGAAAAACAAGCTGTTTTTCACCCCCCACCCCGCCCCAAACCCTGCCCTGGGAATACAATGTAATGGTTTAAACGTTAGGTTGTAATAACAATATAACAATGTGTCACATACTGCATAAGTAGATAAATATACTGTCTCTTTTAATCCATGCAATAATCCTTTGAAATGGGCCTAGTGTTATAATCCCCATTTTATTTATGTATGAGGCAGCTAATAGCAAGAGAAATTAAGCAACTTGCTCAAGGTCCCAGAGCCAGAGCAGCAGCTGTGGGATTTGAACCCAGAAAATCACATTCTAAGAGTGGTGAGCATCGCCACCACATGCCGGTGGGGGATTGGCTTCATGGAGTGGGGTGAGTGGGAGGAGGCACGGTTCCAGCCGAGCTCCCCAAGCCCTGTCTCTGTGGAAGCTGGCTGGCTAACAAGAAGGGATTTTTTTTTGCTTGCACACTTGGTGGCACTCTTCCCCACCAATTAAAGGGGTCTTCAGGCTAACACCGTGCTGAGTGGCTCTGGACATCTCAAGCGTTGTAAACGGGATATCTGGCGCCCCCTCCCGATTACTGCTCCATGAACGTTTCTGATCCAGCGGTCAACACCTGCAGTCTGATGTATTTCAGCATTCCTGAGTCCTTTTTCCCTTCCAGGTTGGCCTCTGAAACTCTCTTCTTCAGAGAAGGCGTCCGTAGGCATGACTTCTCTGAGCACTGCAAAGAACATAAGATAAGTGTTGAAGAGTGTTGCGTTCTCTCAAAAGCCAGCTGGGCTGTTTCCCCCCAAATTCTCCAAACAACCATTTTCATCTAATGGGAGGGACGATGTAAATCTCTTTATAGGCCCACACCTGAAAGTGATAAAAACAGTTAATTTTGGAATGAAAGGGAGCTCAGAGATATTTAGCTACGATGGAAACTGGGGTCCAAAGAAGCGGAATAACTTGACCAAGTCACAAAGCTGGCTGTGAGCAGAATTAAAAAAGGACAGGGCTCTCCTGACTTCTGTTTCAGAGCCAGTTATATTCCATGAAGCTGTTAAAAACACACATCTTTTAAAAAATTAAGTCAGTTAAAACCCACTCTATCTAATAGCCCCCTTTACAGGTTTGGATGTTACACCCTGGCCATTTGGTCATAGAAGAAAGAATGTATTTCCTAAAGGACTGTTAGGAAGTAAAGGTAAAAGACTCATCAAGGAAGTACAAGTTCAGAGCATTTATTATCTAGGCCTGAGTTATAAGGTAAAATGGTTTCTTTAAAAAAAAAAAAACATCAAAACTCATTTAAAAAACAAAAAACAAAACCATACTCGTCTATAGGAGGCAGCAGCTCTTTTTTCAAATTGTCTCCTGAACCAGGGTCCAGAAGAAAACTGACTTCTGCATAAACACAGAGGAGACAGGGTTTCCTTCCTCCAACCCCCTAAATGCCAGGGGATGGTGGGGACAGAGCAGGTGGGAGAATGATCGGTCCTAATGGTGACAGGCTCTCGTTTATTTATACCGAGTCTTGATTGCTCCTCCTTGTGCACTCCGGGCTGTGCAAAGAAGGAATCCATCCTTCTACACAGAATAAATGCTCATTTGTTTTTCCAGTTCCATGTCAATGAAACACTTTCTCCCTCAAAGCTGAGGAAAAAACGGAAATCCTTAAGAATTTTTGAACAGAGCTTCACAGTGTTATAGATGGATAATTGGGAAGAAAAGACAAATCTAAAAGTACATGAATGTTCCAAGAAAGTCTTTCAAAACTCTGACAAAAAGACAGAAGACAATGCATCTGGTGTGTGACTGGTATGGAATGAACTTTTAGAATGAATTTACTTCGAAACAAATGAATCAGAGCTCTTGCTGTGTTTTCTAAAGATAAAAACGTGGAGGCACATACTTGGGAACACATATCATTTGAGGAGATAAATCCTGCATTACATTTTTTTTTCCTGTGGATGTAAAAACAATATACAGCAAGATCCATGCCTGTTTTATAATTGGGAAACTGTTCTAAAATCATATGGCAATCATTTTCCACATAAATGTAGGGGTGTGTTTGACTTCCTTTTTAAAAAGTCAAGTTATTTTAAAAGGGGCAACTCTCTTATTCTACTTATAAAACTATATGTGCAAAGTGCAGAATGTCTGGAAAACACAGAAAAACTTGGAAGAAGAAAACAAAAATCCCTATAATCTTTAACTCAGTGACAGCCATTATTTTGTTCCTTTCAGCCTTTTTTTCATTCTGTGCATCTTAGCACAATGATGAGGATGTCGTTTATGTGGCTCACAATTTTAAACAACTCATTTCGTTAGGATCTTATGATATTTCCCCAGGTTATTAAATATGATTTTCAAAATAGGATTTAAAATATGATTTTCAAATTTTGTTAATATTTCACCCTTTCTCCTCTGGCTGGACATTTTGTCTTTTTCAGGGTTACTTTTGAACAATACCTCTTGGTTAAATTATAGGTTTTTTTAGTCAGGCAGATACTAGCTTAGAAGAAAAAGGGTGAACATTCATGTTTGCCTCTCACACTCTGGGAAATGCAGGATTGTTTAATCCTATTTACTAGCGACAGAAGCTACATGTCAAGCTTCTCAGCTATCAAATATTTAATAGTCTTGCACGCTTCCCTGGGAAGCATCGTGTGTTCTGGTGCCTCATCATCGTTAGGATGCTTGTGTTAGAGGAAAGGGAAGGGAACTGGCAGGTCTTTCACTCTAGGGTGATGGGCTAGTCACTTCTTCTGAGTGACTTGTCAAGGCTTGAAAGGTACGTATCAAAGATGCGTACTTGGGTGATGGGCACTCGGGTAACACTGTGAAAGTCCTCAAGTCCCTCTACTGGTGTGACTCCTAAGTCAGACTGACAAGCCTATCATCATTTGCTTTTTGGCTTTTATAACTCGATGTAAAACTTGGCTAGAAGAGAGCTAGTTGCTGGATAGAGGAGGCTAGTTCTGAAGGCATCTTTTGTTATTAGTGTTTCATGGAAGAGTAAGAAATTTCACTGGACTGTAAGTTGCATACGCTGTTTGGAATTACACATCAAGCTGGGACCTGTAAAGAAACCCAAGACTAGTAATCCAAGACCAAAGGACAGAATGTATCACCAGTAGAAGATGGCATTCATTGTTGAGTCAATCTCCCAGAGGGAGCTATGGTCCATGGCAGGCAGCTACACAGCTCCAAGAGGTGGCAGGGATCCTGGGGCATGCTCGCTGTGGCATGGTGTAGATCTTGGACCACTGACATTTTCTTCTCTGTGTATGTCTTGGACATATATTCACCATATCTGGCTCTGTGACTTCCCTCCTCATTCTGACCACTATTGATTAAATGTGCAATGCAAAACAACCAATCTTCTGACTGGCCAGGGCTTTATCCCATGATGTTTGGATCACAAAGAGGAAGAGTGGAGCCCACCAAATTCCTGTCCTACGGAGTTAAGGGACACAGAGTCTGATTCATATGGTGATGGTTGCTGGGACTGAGCAATGATGATGCAAACTGGAGATTTTTAGGTCACATACAAGATGAACAAATCAGGCCGAGCTGGTCAGGGGGCAGAGATGAGGGAGCAGATGGAGATGCAGAAAGAAGCAGAGAGGAGAAACTATGCCCATTCTGATATGGACAGCAGCTTTGCTTCTCATTTCTTTAGGGCTTGGCTCTTTCCTGGTGGGTCCCTGGTTTCATGAGGTTCTGTTATGTCCTTTGAAGAAACTCTAACTATTTGAACAAGTTTCAGTGGGTTTCTTGCAACAAAAGATTACTGACCAGAGAGGCATAATACTTAATTATTTTAAATAAAAAATTTATTTATTCATTTAATAATTCAAGAGTGTTTCTTAGGACTTAACCAAATGCCAGGAACTGGGCTAACCTTTGGGGATGTGCTGTGGAGCAAAACTCCCTTGATGCTTGCCCTCATGGAGAGTGTATCTTACTAGGAGAGACAGATAATGAACAAGCAAACAAATGAAAAATCATGGTAAGCAGAAAAGGAGACAAATGCCATGAATGAGGATGTACTGGGAAATAATGTGGTACTTAAAATTTAAGAAAACTGAGGGCGCCTGGGTGGCTCTGTTGGTTGAGCGTCTGTCTTTGGCTCAGGTCATGATCTCTGGGTCCTGGGATTGAGCCTCATATAGGGCTCCCTGCTCAGTGGGGAGTCTGCTTCTCTCTCTGCCCCTCCCCCTGGCTTATTCTCTTGTGTGCTCTCTCTCTCTCTCTCTCAAATAAATAAATAAAATCTTAAAAAAAATTAAAAAAAGGAATAAAATTTAAGAAAACTGGAGTCAGTCTACTGAGCTCTCTGGGAAAGAGATCTTCCCGGAAACGTATTTCATGCCAAGAGAAGTCTAATTATTTCCGCAAAGGTAACCTAGACCTTTGGGCCTCACACATCTTTGACATGTGAATTTGAAAGGGGAGACATTCTAGCAGATGAAATCAAGACCTAAGGCCTGGTCTTGGTCTCACAACAGTGTTTTCCATAGCTTTGGAAAAATATTAGTCCTGCAGGAAATCAGCTGGCCTCTTGCCACTTGCGTTGGCTTCACAGAATTTACAGACACTGTGCCCTTTCTTTTTCAGGCATGTATCGCCTTTTACCCTCCTATCGTTTTTGGCTGAAAGGAAAAAAAATGTTTCATCGACTCCTTTTTTTCATCAGCAAACACTAACTGAACATTTACTCTGTTTAGAACATAACATTGGACAAGACACGTATATACGAGGAAAAAATCAAAGAATTCTTTGGTGAAGGTAATACATAGTTTATAAAAACCCCTCAAGCTTGGGGGCGCCTGGGTGGCTCAGTCGTTAAGCGTCTGCCTTCGGCTCAGGTCATGATCCCAGGGTCCCGGGATCGAGCCCCGCATTGGGCTCCCTGCTCCGCGGGAAGCCTGCTTCTCTCTCTCCCACTTACCCTGCTGTGTTCTCTCTCTGGCTGTCTCTCTCTGTCAAATAAATAAATAAAATCTTTAAAAAAAAACACCAAAACCCTCAAGCTTGGAAGTGCACTAAAATAGACTAACAGGATGTACAGTGTGTCTTTGAGCACTGAAATGTACATTGGCAGATTGATCAGAGTTACATGGGTTACAAAATGTACTAGTTGCCACAAATATATTCTGCCATAAAAACCAATTCAAAAGGAAACAGGAATGAAATATCAATTGCTCATAAGGCTCCATTTTAATCAGAATCATTCTGCTTTTATTCTTGATTTATTGCCTACTCTATTTTCATTTTGGCCCTAGAAATGTGGGAATTGTTTATTTATGTGACAGATTCAGCCCAGGAAACGGAAACATCATGAGAGAACAAAAAAGAGCTTGCACAGGAGGCTGGCATTTTGAAAATAAAATGTTTATTGCAGCAGACTCAGTACATTTTTTCAGCTCTTCACCTGCATGACTAATTTAAATATGTTAAGATTAGAGGACATTTAACTCCTGCTTTACTTTCTCTTTGTCTTTCTAAAATGTAAGCATGCCTAAGGTTGGCCAGCCTCTTCTGCTGCTTCCGGCCAATGTCCTTGGTGGGCTAGGGGTAGAGGGCACTCATGAACTAGACAGCCCACTCGGCCGTTCAATATTTACTGTCCCTCTGCTCTAAGAAAGGAACTCTGGTAGGTATCACATAAGAAACAGTGTGCAAGACTGCCAGGTTCCAGTTTATAATTAGGTGGCAGAAGAGAAATAAGGATATAAGGGGCCCCATCTTGCAGGCAGAGTGATCATAAAACTCTCAGCGCTTGCCGCTACTCCAAGGATAAAGACTAAAATCCTTGCCGCCGCCTGGGTGGCCCTACGTGGTCTGGTCTCTATCTGCCCTCGCAGCGTGCTCCACAGTCCCTGCTCCTCCAGCCACGTCCTTCATACTCATTCTGTATTCAGTTAACACCCACGCATCCTTCAGTCAAAACTCATTTGTCACTCTATTGGAGAGGCGGTCTGATTTCCCCCGACAAGTTCAAAGTCTTGTTCATAAGCTGTCTCAGCACAGTGTGTTTCTTTTTCCCAATTTCACAGCAATCTGAGGCATTAATGTCTGTCTCTCCAACTAGGTTGCATGTATCATATGAAGACAGGAGCCATATCTCTTTTGCCCATTATTACACTCAGCACATGGTATGGACCCAGCATGTCCATAGGTTCTTTAAAAATTTGTTGAATATATACAAATGGATGGATGGGTGGATGGATGAATTAATGAATGAAGAATGAGAAAAGCACGAGAAAAAGGCCATTGTAATTTAGAGGATGGAGGGAATGAAAATAACATTAATCATCCACCATAGTATGCCCTGTGGTTAACAGTGGGAAGATCATTGTTTGAGAATAACATAATAAAATAAAATAAAAAATAAAGCTAACCAGATGAAAATTAAAAAAAAAAAAACAACACTGGGAAGATCATAAATGGTTTCAAGGAAGAGGTGGCATTTGAGTTGGATCTTGAAGGATGTTTGGGTTTGGCCATATACAGATTATAGGTGAAGGTATAGTTGGAGCAGTAAGAAATCTCAGAGCATGTGTGGTGAACAATGAACATTAATTTAGATTGGTATATTTTTGCAACTTCCAACATACATGGTTTTCTCCTAAAACTAAGGGAATTTCTATATGAAGGAGAACATACCTAAATAAAAATATATATACATATCTATATACATATATACACACGAATATATATACATATATTTTTTATGACATCATTGACAGTTCATGAAGTTACCCACATTGATCTATTCCCCGATGATTTTCCCTCAGAATATGTGTAGTTTGAAAACCATGAGATACAATAGAGTCTAGTTAAAAAGCTCTGGATTTGATATTCCGTCTTTCTAAATTAAAGTCTAGCTATGTATGTTACAGATGTGAACTGTGACAATCCCACCCTTCTGAGCCTCCACTTTTTCATTTGTAAAGTGGGTAGTACAGTATCTCTTGCACAAGGTTTATAAGAATCAAAAAGCCCTTTGTCAGTGATATATACCTGCATTATAGCCTCACATATATGCTTTGAAAAAAATACTAAAAGATCCTATCCCGGAAGGCAAACGGCACACTTATGAAATGCATGAAATACAGTTTTTTTTTTCTTTCAGATCTCTTGTATTACCCCAAATTTCTTCAATGAACTGTATTATAATTAAAAAAAAATATTCCTTTGTGAGTGCTAAAGCATTACAAATTGCTGCCTGACTCAACTGTAAATTTTTTATTACTGCTCATATTCTCCAGTTGTTTGGTTTGAATTTTATCACCTTCCCCCCCACCCCACCAAACCTGGCTTGCAAACTCCTTAGGGGAAGGATCCTCTAATACTACTTATTTATTTTTTATTTCTCCCAGAATATCTGGTCTCATATTGTGCCAACAGCAGGTGCACAATGAATGCTCACTGAAATGAATAGGTATTATATCAAAATCTCTTTGTAAAACCACTTGTGAGGAGCAGCTGCAGGGCCAGCCAGAAGCACTCGGTCAGGCGTCTTGGCCATTGCGCCTGTTGTGGGGCAGGTGGGTGACCCGGGGCTCCCCTGGCAGGAGCACGGCAGCCCTGGTTCCTGTCTTCAGCTCCTGCCAGCTCAGCTGCTCGGTGAACTTGTCAGGAAAGAGCGGCTGAACGCTTAGAAAGTGGAAGAGTTTCTTAAAGGAGTTTCCTTTTGTCTGATTTGACCTAGATTACTCTATTATTTATCTGTGAACAGTTGGGCCATTTATTACTCATTCCTTAATAGGGAACTGATAAACTATGTCAGTTTCCTATTACCAATGTAATAGGAAACTTCGTGGTGCAAAACACCACAAATGTATTATCTTACGGCTTTCCAGATCAGATCGAAAATGGATTGGCAGGGCTGGGTTGCTTCTGGAGGCTCGAGGGAATCATCCATTTCTTCGTCTTTTCTAGCTTCTAGGCGCTGCCCCATCCCGCGGCTCACGGCCCTGCATCACCCTCTGCTTCTGTGTCCCATCTCCTTCTCTGACTCTGACTCTCTTACCTCCTTTTTCACTTATAAGGACCCGTATGAGGACAATGAACCCACCTGGATAATTCAGGATAATTTCCCCTTATTCCCATAGGCAAACCCCCTCTTGCCACGTTAAGGTAACCTATTCACAGGTTCTAGAAATTAGAATACCGACCTCTTGGGGAGACATTATTCTGTCTACCACCATACCCTACTCATCACCACCACCCCTACAAATTCATATTCATTCCCAGAAATAAAATGAAATCTGGGAAGAGATTCCATGTGTGCTCGTGGACATGAAGACAAAGCACCTGTCTTTCTTTGCTCACCTTCTATCTTTGTTCGAAATCACACGGATCTGTAACCTGGTTTATACACCTGCCATGACCTGAAATTGGCATTTCCAGAGAAAAGATTGCTGCGACATCATCTTCCCTAGCAGAGGCATATTACCCTGTGCCCCTGCACTCACCTCCTTCTGTTTCTTGCCCCGGAGAGCCGCACAGCTACTGCTGTTGCTCTCCCGGAGGGAGTCCACGGTGTCTCCGTAGAGCAGCTTGATGGCTCTGACCAGCCGGGCGCAGGAGCGGCTGTGGTGCAGGTAACAGTGAGGGTGGCAGTAGTCGACGTGGGTGCAGATGAAGCTCTGCTGATTGCACAGCAAGATCATGACCTGGAACACACATATCCCCGAGACTCAACCAGGCAATCAGGGTTGAAACCACAGTGGGTCATTAAGTCCCGCAAGAAAGCAAAGGGTTACAAGGCTTTATGTACTTGGCTTCTTGGCTCTCTCCATTCACACTTGATAGAAAGAGCTTTTTGAGACAAGAAGAGGTTAAGTGGCCTCGAAAAACTCAAACCAATTACTATGGAGTGCATGATTTCCAAATAATTTCAAATAAAGATTCTAAACTTAAACCACATTACTTTTGTAGCTCTTATGTTGTAGAAAGAGCCAGGTAGAAGAGCATCAACTGGTGAGAAATTCTGTGCCAAAGGATTTGGCTGGCCTTTGACTGCCATGGGATGTCGTTAACTCCAGCCTACCCATGTGGAATTGAAAACACTTCTGCATCTTCTACCTTGGCCTATAACCTTCAACTGACCCTGAATCCAACTATAATGCTTCATTTCTTCTCTCTACAAATTAATTTTTCTCCAGCTTTTGAGCCATTCTAGCTCTTGGGGTTTGATCTGGCTCAAATCCTCCCATCACCTAGACTTCCCAAGTGGGATTCAAGAACTCAGTTGTTTTATTTTTTTTTAAATTTTATTATTATTATTTTTAAAGATTTTATTTATTTTGTAGAGAGCAAGCGAGAGAGAAACAGCATGAGAGGGGAGAGGGTCAGAGGGAGAAGCAGGCTCCCCGCTGAGCTGGGAGCCCGATGTGGGACTCGATCCCAGGACCCTGGGATCATGACCTGAGCCGAAGGCAGATGCTTAACCATCTGAGCCACCCAGGCGCCCGAACTCAGTTGTTTTAAAGGATATGGTTCTTTTAAGATAAGGAATGAAAGCCTTTGAGTTTGTAACTTCTGAAGTTGCCTTCCTAAAAAGGCAAGAACTCTCCAACATCCACAAGGCTAGTCAAATATGCATAGAATAATCTTCTGAATGCGTCTGTCCTTCATAAAACCATTTCCCACCCCAACACCTAATCTGTAAGAGACTGTGTACGATATTGGATGGAGAACATAAAGTGAGTCTACATGGACAAAGCCAATCAAACATACTAGGTAGGGCTGCCACACATTTCCTCGGGAATGAGAGGGTCTGCTTACTCTAAGGCGAAGAAAAACAACAATAACAATCAACTCCACACCCCTGTCAAACTCAGATAGCAATATCTCACACTCTTCAAAGTTTAAAAAAAAAATTGGTGTTGTCTGAGCAGAAATCCAGATCTTTCTTGAGCTTCACTGAACATCCCTGCTATTCCTGTACATACTGGTATGAAACAGGGCACATATAAGAACTGTAAGGTTTCCCTTGTTATTCTCAAATCTGGATACTAAAGAGAAACACCAAGAAAGCTTAACAACAACAACCAAAACCAAATAAACACACAAATGACCATATGACTGGACTTTAGTTTAGAAGATTCTGATTTAGTAGAATATCTGGGGTGGAGATGACCTAGAAATCTGTAATTTTAAAATTATGTTCAGGGATGTCTTTTTGGTAGATATATTTTGAAGATGATCCCCAGTGATCCCACTTTCTGGTATTAATGCCTTTGTGAAACCACCTCCTGTTGAGTATGGGCTGGCCTAGTGACTTGCTTCTAACCAAGAGAATGCAGCAAAGGTGAGGAGTTATCACTTCTGTGATTAGACTGCATAAGACACTGACTTTTCTCTTGTTACCAGACTCTCCTTTATCGGCTTTGACAAAGAAAATTGCCATGTTGGAAAGGTTCACAGAGCAAGGAAATGAGGGTGGCCTCTGGCCAATAGCCAGCTAGGAATTGAGGCCCTCAGTCTAACAGTTCTTGAGTAACTGAAATTCTACCAATAATCACATGAGCTTGGAAGCAAATTCTTTCCCAATCAAGCTTTCAGATAAGACCCGAGTCCTGTCCAATACTTTGATTGCCATCTTGTGAGAGAGCCTAAAGCAGAGGACCTAGCTAAACTGTGCCAGGATTCCTGACCCCTAGAAACTGTAAGCTAATAAATGTGTGTTGTTTAACATACACACATCTATATTAATATATATATATTTGAATATATATATTTGGATGCATAAGATTGCATTCAACAAAGGCAGTCAGGACCTGAAAGACAAGATGTGGAGAGAAAGGGCGTTGACTGCAGTAAGCACAGTGTGAGCAAATGCCACATTTCTTCTTCAGGCATAAGTGGCCAAGGAGGCAGGCAAAGCTTTAGGCAATTTCATGAGAACTGGAAGATAAAAATTGGAGTTCAGAATTGCCAATGGGAAGAATTGAATGGACAGTAGAAAAGGGAGGTTTGGAGAAATGAGACTTGGCACTTGCCTTCTAGGCGTTTGTTGACTGAGTAGCCAAGAAGCCAAGCAGAAACCAGCTGACAAGCAGAATGGAGATTTTGGCAGTTTCACTGTGATGGGGAAGCAAAATTGGAGTTTCTGACCCATCAAGACTGAGGGCATACCCCAGACTTTCACTGGGAACCTTGGAATGCTTCATACCAGGAGGGCTGTGTTGGGAGGGGGGTGGGGTGTGGGGGTGGGAGGTGGATAGCAATACTACAGATCAAGTCAGCTTTGTCTTTCATAGGACTGAGGAGATCTTTACTGTCTGCCAAAGTATAAGGTGAGTCTTCTCTGGAGGGAGATAGCATCATTGGGAGCCTCTATAATTCTATAGTTGTTTTTTTTTTAAATTAATAGACTTTGTTTTAGAGCAGTTTTAGGTTTACAGCAAAATTGAGCAGAGTGTACAGAGAGCTCCCAAACACCTCCTGCCTCCACACATGCACAGTGACCTTCATTATCAACATCTCCCACCAGGGATATGGTGGTTACTGTTAGGGGAGAGTAGTGACTGGTAGACAGCGTGTATAGGGCTTCTAAGGTATGATAATGTTCTTGACCTGCTGGTGGTTACACAGATTGTCACTTTGTGCAAATTTATTGAGCTGTACACGTAGGTTTTCTATGCTTTTCAAGATGTAGGTTGGACTTCACTAAAGAGTTCATTTTAAAAATAGCTGCCTCAGAGAATCTCAAAATTAGGTTCTGGGGATTAGCCAGTTGTGAAGACACAGAACTGTAAACTCTGAGGAGCGTTATGTACCAGCCAACCCTTATCTGACCCTACCAGGAAGCCAGATGACAATCAGAAGAGATGGTACCGAACATACCTAAGATCAATAACAGCGCAGGCAGTACCCTGCTAGTTGCGGATCTGACGTTGTGCTTCCTTAACTTTCTCATTCTTTCCTCATGCCCGGCCCGAACCTTGAACTCTAATCCATGCCCAAAGTTTCCCTGAAATCCCCTCCTGCCCATGATTTCTGAAGAGCCCTTTGAAGTGTAACCTTTGTCATCTTAGGATCTCCATGTTCTGGTTTACAATTAGATGTGTACAGACACAAGACTGACACCATGATCTTGCTCTTGGCATTTGTGGTAACCTGTAGAAAGCTGACGGTAGTGCTTCGTCTGTGGTACCTAGGCTGTCTTGGTCACCAAACTGATCTGGTCCCTCAGGGTCTGCCCTGACTTATGTTGACCCACAAGCCAGCCATAACAAAGAAACTCTGGTTTTCGTTAAGCTTAAACTGAATACGATCCCACAGAATACCAATCTTAGTGAGAATTCAGAGGTTCAGCTGAAATAGAAGCCTATGGTTTTTCTTAGAGGCTAAATTAGATTGATGGTTTTCATATACTCTTTTGTCCTTACTCCATTGATCTTTCTCAATGCCAAAAGAAATTGATCTCAGGTCTCTTTCTGAGATTCCTACTTACATGCAGCCATGACATGCTCCTGTGGTAATTTTCCTCTGTGCCAGCAGTACTCATTCCCTCTGGCTCGATGCTGGGCTCACTTGCACTCCAAGGACTCCCTTCTTCAAAAGAAAAATGCCAAGAAAGGTTATATTGTTCGGTCTCCCTGGAGAGCATGTTAGTATGGTAGAGTTGTCCATGCTTTTGAATCCTAGGGCAGACTACCACGGCCCAGTGGGTTAACAGGGCATAGCACTGACTTTAGTGGAGGAATGTTAACAAGAGCTGTTCCCTTCACCACCAGCTGAACAGGCAATTGCAAAGACATTTACGATCTCTGTTATTTTGAGACATGGGAGCAGAGAAGAAACAGAGTCAAGTCCTTGAATTGCTGAGATGAGCAAGTTATTGATTGAGTGTGCTCAAATCCACTCCAGACTGCCCAGACCTTGCAGGTGTAGTTAAGTAGGGACACCAAGCAACCTGCAGTGGCCATAAGCATGCTGCTGCCTCCTCTGCTGATGTGACTACGGCTAGTGTCACGCTCTCCGCACCCCCTCACTTTGCTGTCAGACTGATCTCAAAAATGATGGTGCCTCAAAAAAACAAAAAACAAAAAACAACAAACAACAAAACAAAACAAAACAAAACAAACAAACAAGAAAAATCCAACCAAAAAACCTAAGGGAATTTATAAGCAATTGTAGTCAATCATGGACAATCCTTGACAATCTCTTTGTCTAAACTCTTCTCTGCAGAAAAGCCTGCAGACATCTCTCTCAGGAATTCACTACATTATCTACCACACAAGAAAGCTTTGCCCTCAAATCTAAAAGCTTTCCTGGGTCATGTCTGTGACAAAACCATGCCCCTGGGCTGCCTATTTTGATTCAACTGTTCAGGCTGAACTAACCAATTCAAATAATTAATTGAAATATTTTCTCCCCAAACTAATTGATGACATTCTTACAACTTCAAGCCTGTAACAAAGGAAGTCACAGGGGTTTTTTTCCCTATTGTCTCCTTAAAAAATAAGCTGAATCTTAACTAATGCATAAATTAGTTATTTTCAAAAGTGAGGGAGGGTCGGTGTAGAAATACTTCCTATTTTAACCTCTCTTTGATTAGATATACTCAGCTTCTATTTCAGTAGACTTGATTGATAATTTATCCACATTTACTGACTGACTTCTGAAACAACTTGCCTAGAAAGGAGATCTTTCTATTTTGCTCCTCATACAGGGCCTGAGTGGCAAAGAAAATATACTTTAACTTTTACCTGATAGCTAAATTCTAAGCAGCTGGTGAGTCCTATCTGCATACTTGCTTACTCTTTTTCTTGCTACTAAGATGACCATCAGGCTCATTGGACTAACACATTTTGGGATTCAAGAGTCTCTTTGGATCCTACAGGGACAACCTTCACCTCTAATGCTTTGATTGTATACAGAGCTCATGCTCAGATACTTAACATACTTTATAATCATCCCTTAATCCATCTTTAGAGCATCCCTTCAGAGTAGGCGAGGAGGAAATAGAATTATTCCCACTAAATAGTTGGAGAAAACAAACCCCTGAGACATTAACTGACGTCCCTGAAGGTCACGGCCAGGTCTCAAAATCTCTCCACTCTGAGAGTTTTCTTCTTCTGACTGTGAAATAGAGACTTTAAAACACAGAGGACGTTTAGGTAGCTGCCCCCATGGGAATTTCTACATTTTGCCCTGCTCTAAAGGGCGGTGTGGTTTTCAGACTGAATGTGAGGTCTAGCCTGTGGCTCTGTTCTCCATCTCCTGATGTGTAAGAAAAATGGGCTTCAGTTGTTTCAGGATTCAGGCCCTGTCTTCCTGCCCCCCACGTCCCTGCGCACCCCACTCCTCTATGTTACCTAGGTCAGTGACAGTGTCCCTGCTCTGGGACAGCTGCAGCTCTTCAGCCTCGGACTCTGAGTCCTGCCGTGGTAACTTGCTGCTCTTTAAGCTGCCGACCTGGCGAATGCTGGACAAGGAACCCCCCTTCTTCACCTGGAAACTGCGGGTTCCTTTAATCTGGAGCAGGCGGGAACCTCCTATCCTGATCTTCCTGCTGGGAACTGTATTGAAAGAATAAAATAGGGCTTTTTCCCCCTTAGTTTTCCCCAGCCAGTGTTAGATCCAAGCTCTCCCCAACTTGTCCCTGAACAGCCTCCTCTCTGTTGGCCGGGATGAGCAGCATGTCTGGACAAGGAGCTTCTCCCCAGCCCCCCAGTGGGGCAGCTTTGTTAAGCAGGCAGGAGGCTGGGTCCACCAGGAAGGGCTGGTGCAGCTTCTTTCTTGCACACATAGCTCATCAGTGCTGGGAACAACCTGCTCTCTCTCTGGCCCAGGGTTCACAAGCATGAGTGTGCCCTCATAGCACCGTGATCTCGGACTCTTAGTACATTCACATAACATCATTGCTTGATTCAACAGAACCACAAACCATTTGTTTTTGTCTTTCTTTTGAAATGGGACTTGCAGAGTTATGTGAGTTATGCAAACCCCTTCACGTAACCCCTTCCTTTTGGAATACCTCATTAAGAAATAAAAACAAGAGGCGCTTCTCTCTCCAACAGTCAGCAGCGGGTTCCGCTCAGCTCCTCAGCAATGGCACTAAAGGATCTGTTTTCACTGGTGTGCTTTGGGTGAACATGAGTGTGAAATAGTTCCATTTTCAATGCACCTAGTGATGTCATAGCATCCTTCTTTCAGGCAAAAGGCTGGGTGGGATGTGAGTCCAAATGGTGCAACACCCTGAGCCAACCTTACAGTCTATATGTACCATGAAGAACATGCATTATTCATCTTTAGTGTTCTGGAAAAAACAGTCATCAGTGAGGAAAATAAAAGGGTAAAAGAAACACGTTTAAACTTGAAACCTACTTTTTTTTCTTTTCTTTTCTTTTCTTTTTTTTTTTTTACCAAAAGCATCTTTATTTCCCATAGTCATTATCAAGAAGGGGCCATTATTTTTGTAAGATTTTCTTCTTACAGGAACAAGATTTCTTATGAATTACTTAAGGCATGGATATTAATATTTTTAAAAGTTCCAATCAGGAAGATTGCATTTTAGTCTTGCGTTGCTCACTCACAGGAAAGTGAGTATGTGACCATGAGAAATGGTATAGCACTACAAGATGGTAATTAAACGTATACTTTCAATGCCATATAAAGGAGCCCAGAAGAATTCCTGTTGAGTAATGTGCAATGCTTAATCTCCGATTTAATCTTGTGATTGAAAAAGATTAAAATCATCACCACTGAGCTGGCAAAGGCCTCCCCGAACACATCTGGACAGAATTTTACATCTGGATAGAAATTCTTGCAACCCAGCCAGCCAAATTCCACAAAGACTATTGACTATCATGCTCCATTTTAATTATAGCACAAAATTCATCTGCTGCATTTTTCAGTATTATTTTTAGGTTTAATTGAGGCTTTAATGACCCACCTGAAATACATCTGAAATAGAATATTATCATTTTTTAATGACTACTAATACAATTTCATGTCAAGATAGATTGGGAAGTAGAAAAAAAGTTTAGAGAGGTTTTTTTTTCTTTTTTTTTTCTTTTTTTTTTTTTTTACACAGAGGCACTCTCTCGCATTCTTTGCCTGATTTCATGATACCTTTTACCATACAAATTTGGGAAAGTAACCCCAAAGTAATGTGACCTGAAAGAAATTCAATTTTGAGAACCTATTCTACTGCCAAAGATAATTGGAAATATCCTGTAGTGCTAAAAATCAGTGTTTAAGAATTATGGCATTGATTATTTACAAAGGACATAGCAGTTAGAATTCAGATTTGATTTTGTACCTGAAAACCATTAGTTGAGCTCATACAGCGTTGAGTGTCAGCCTTTACCTCCAATGACAACATGAATACGAAAGTGAAACAAATACATCTAAATTGGATAAAACATCTTTTTCCCTTTTCTCTCACCTCACCCATTGTCTCCATTAGCAGGTCCTGCTAGCTCCACGCTTCGAAATTTCCTAGGATTTTGAAAGCCCCATTATTTATTCCCTGGACTAATGTAACTGCCTCAATGCACTTGCTTACTCCCACTCCCACAGCTTGACTCATCTTTTCAATACATAAAGCATAAATACACATATCACTTTTCTGGTCAAAACCTGCCAACGACACTCAGACACACTTACACAGAATTAAATTTCTAACCATATCTACAGATCCTATTTATTTGCCCTTTGCCTACCTATCTGACCCCATTTCCTGCTGATCTTCCAAGTCATTCTGTAACCACCACGTTGGTCTCTTTGCCCTTTTTGAATGTTCCACATTCATTCCTGCATCAGAGCCGACTTCTCACTGTTTTGTCTGCTTGGAAGACTCCTCCCTCAGCATTCTGCATGCCTGGCTCCCTCACATCATCTAGGTCTCTGCTCACTGCCACTTATGGGGTCCTTCTCTCCCCATCCAGGTCACTACCAATTCTCTGACCTTCATTTGTTTTGCTTCATATCATTTGTTTTTACTTGAAAGTCTAGTCTTTGATGTTATTCACTATCATGAACTATTAGCTAATAAAAACTAAAATATATGTGGGAAATATTTCTTCCTGTTCATTGCTGTATTCTGGGAACCTGGCCTGGCATATAGCAGGTGCTCAATAGATGATTGTTGAATAATCAGACACATCTTGGTGTCTGTATTTTGGAAGACCAGTCTTAGTTTGTTTTTGGAATGTGGGTAAAATGATGTGGCAGACCTTGCTTGGGGATTTTAGGCAGATATTTTTAGTTTAAGAATTATTTCACATTTGTTTTCCTTGGTAGAATCTGAATTGTCCTCAGGTTGTTTATTCCAAGAACAACAATTTTAGCTTTTATACAAACAGATGGTATAAAATTTTAAATAAAATTTTAATAATCTAATTTAGCAGAGTCCCCCTGGCTTTAGCAGCTGGTATCAACTTATCAAAGGATTAAGGAATATTGAGGAATCTTCCAGATTTTGGCTACCAGTAAAGGACATTTTATGAATATGTTCTCACTTTATTTATATTTTCAGCTTTCTGTTCATTTATTAACCAACTTTCATATATTAGCATAGGTGTTCTACAAGGTGAAAAAATACTAAGCATTTGTGTTTTTGAACATCAAAGGAAATTTACATAAATGATAATCATGAAATTAAAGTGTTCTAAACACTTGATCTGATGTTTTATTGTTTTAAATGGTGTAGGATTTACTCTGTGTCAAGTTTAACCATGTCTGTATTAGGAATTTTTACTTCAGCTACTTTAAGCAATAATTAGCATAACAACTTTGAATAGGCAAAAAAATAAATAAATAAATCCCCTTGGGATATATTTAAAAATGCAAGTTTTTCATCATGTGCAGTTAACATTATCTGAAAAAGTAATAGTTGTAAAAATATTGACTTGACACTTCTTCATGCTCAGAAATTGCTAAGACTTGGCTAATAAATTCTTGTTTCGCCATGAATTCAATACAATAGAATGATTATTTGCATTTTAAAATGTCATGACAACAATCTGACATTAAAATATTAAAAAACTTTTCCAGTGTACCTCCATTCCTTAGAAGATTTTAAAGATTTTATCTTTTCTCTATCTAGGGCTATTCCTTCCTGGAATCATTCATTCCTTCAGTTATCCAACATTAACTGAGTCATTTTCTATAGGATACCAGAAAATACATAAATGCATAAAGTCATCTTTGACTCTTTTAACAAAGGTACTGATGTTCTTTTAATCAAAATTCATTAGAAAAATATTGAAGGGCAGTGGAATTTAAGAACTAGCAAAATCAGATAGAGATGTTAACAGTTTAAGGAGCCCTCGAAAGCAACTTAAAACTTGGTAATCTTTAGCTTATCTTTAGAATTTTCCACATGGGTTCTAGTCTATAGGCTCATGATATAAACAAATAATTATTTATTCTATACGAATTATGTACCAGGTACTGTGTTTATGCTTGGCTTGCATTGTCTCATTGAAAGCTTTCAATATCACAATGCCGTAGTTGTCATTAACCTAATTTGAAAGAGGAGAAAACTGTGGCTTAGAAGGTAAGCAACTTGGACAAGGTCATACAACTGGTTGTTGTATCTTACCATTTTAAGATGTAGTTTTTTTCACATTTTAACACATCTGAAATTGAGATTTGTCTTACAATTGATGCCATCTTAGGATAACTAGTGCCAGGGAGCAGTTGTGACACATTTGTTATTGCTTCTGTCCATGTGAGCATCTAAAGCACCAGCAACAAAATGTACAGGATGGTGCCAGTATCTTTTAGCTCCGAGGAGCCAAACGGTAGTTGGGTGAGGGAGTGTGCGAGGTGCTAAGTCAGATGCGTTTGGCAACGTTCTCGAAGCAGGCGGTGAGTACGAGGATAGGCTAGCTTCATATAGGTGCATGCTGGCTTACGTACCTAGCACCAACAGCTTTCCTTCTTTTACAGATTCATTTAAGACATGACGTAGTACTAACAGTCTAACGACACAGAGGACATTATCCTAGAGAAAAAAACATGGACACTGACAATGCTGAGTTGAAAAGTGATTAAGAAATTTGAACCCAGAATTGAAGATCGTTTAGAAAAACTTTAACCAGTTTCTTCTATTTATACGTTCCCCCCCCCCTTTTTTTTTGGCTGTACAAGAATGATATGTATCGATAATAAAAATCTGCATCTAATTAAGTCTGAAAGTCCTCTTTCAGTAAGAATGAAACACAGACTAGATGATAAGAAAGTATTGCATATGGGCTGAATGGGGAGTATTTTTTCTTTCTTACTGGCACACGAAATACTGGTTCATCTGACACGTAATCAATGGCATCAGTGGGATGTGGAGAATTGCTGAGCTGGAATTACATCCTGAAACTTCTCAGACTGTCGCATCCAGCTCCTAACTAGCATGGCTTCCTACCTCGTTAAGTGGACACAGTACTGTACATAGACAACAGTTTTGGACTTCTTTGGGTGTACAATTCTGTGGTGTGGACCCCAGGCCAAATATCCTATGAGAAACACTGAAACATGAAAAGAATTCTTGCTTTTCAATACCTTTCTTCTCCTCGGCCCCTGCATCTGATTTGAGGGTGTGGCTACTACTGTGGAGGGAATCTTTGGAGTCTTCATTTTCATCCAGGACCCCAGCAAAGCTGATCTTCCTCTCATATCTGTGCCGGTCCAACTCAGGATCCAAACGAAGTCTGCAGCTCTCCAGGTCCTGCAATGTCAGCGAGAAGGAGTACGTGAATGCTGGCATTTCCTCAGCACTGCATTGGTCTTGTGGCAAACCTCCCTCCATTTTGAATTGCACCCAACTGAATTTGCACAGAGCCAAATTCCTCTTTCTCTAATGCCAATTTCAGATTGTGTCCATTAAAGATGTTTCTTGAATGAAACAAAATCTTCCCTAACTCATAGTTTTTCCCTTTTTCTTACGTTTTATCTTTGAAAAGAGCACACCTTGTTTCAAATCTAGAATTATCTTCCTCACCTTTTAACTCTTTGTTAACAATTTAAACTGCATCTTTGGCATTTATCTGTTTATTAAATGATCATGCATTGAATATGACTGAGAGACAGAATAGGAACTTAGAAATCAGACTTGGAGGCAGAATAATGCCGCCTTCCCAAAGAGGTCCATGCTCTCACCCTAGGAATAGGTAAATATGTTACCTTACATTGCAATAGGGATTGTGTGCATGTGGATTTAGTTTAAAGACCCAGAGATGGGAAATTATGCTGGATTAGCTAAGTGGGCTCAGCCTAATCACACAAATCCTTAAAAGCAGAAAGCTTTTCCGCGTTGAAGATGGAAAAAAGGACCATGAGCCAAGGAATGTGGGTTACCCAAGAAGATGGAAAAAAGGCAAGGCAACAGAGTCTTCTCTAGTGTCCCAGAAAGGAGTACAGCTTTCTTGACACCTTGACTCTAGCCCAGTGAAACTCTTGTCAGACTCCTGATTTCTAGAATTGTAAGATACTATGTTTTTGCTGTTTTAAACAGCTAAATTTCTGCAGAAATAGAAAATGAATAAAGAGGTGATGTTGGAATTTTGTAGTGAGGATTTAAAGGTAGCTTAGCAAACAAGTGGAGAAAGGCAGTTCAGACTTAAGAAGTTCCATATGTGAGGTGCAGAGGCTCAAAATACGATCAGGCATTGGAAGAATTTCTCACTCCCTTCCAGAAATACAAGAGGGGTTCCATGGATTGTCTGCTTATGAACAGCGTGAGCCCATACCCTAATGTAAGCCTTGGGAGGGAAAGTTGGAATTTGGTCGATGAAATTGAAAACTGACCTATTCTGTGAATGCAGATTTGTCCAATCAGAAGATCATATTTAACTGTTAATCTGTAAAACACTTTTGGAGGACCTGATAAAGGAAAAATATATAAAATGCTAATTTTATTTCTATAGAGCATTTTTTTTCTAAATATGACGTAAGTCCTCAGATTCATATAGATATGGAAAACAAAAATATTTTTAAAAGCCCATTTTGTACCAAGATTGAAATTTTATGCTTTTAATTGTTATTAATAAATGAAACTTTTTTAAAAGAAAGATTTATTTATTGGATATAGAGAGAGAGAACACGAGCAGGAGGGGCAGAGGGAGAGGGAGAGAGAATCCCAAGCAGGTTCTGCACTTAGTGCAGTGATGAGGGGCTCCATCTTACAACCCTAAGACCATGACCTAAGCCCAAACCAGGAGTCCAACACTTAACCAACGGTGCCACCTGGGCGCCCCTAATAAATGAAACTTTAGACTCTACATGATGTTTCTTCTTTTCCTTTTAATTAAGAACAGAAGTCATACTTTGGTACCTAGAAAATTAGATCACATCTCAAAAAATAAAGGAACTACATGGAATGTATTTAGCACTTCAAAAAATATTCTAGGAATACAATTGTTTCCCTGAAATTAATCCCTTTTAGAAAATAATAGAAAACCTAATATACTTTGTATTTTGTTAGCCAAACTTAATCACATAAATTTCTTACTTGGGATAAAAAGTAACATAACAACTCTGATTCTCAAAAGTCGTTATCTCTTCCAATGTCTTCTTTTAGACATTTGTCAAAATCCCAGCTTTCAAAGCTATATTCAAATGTGACCTCTTCCAGAAAGGTTCTTCAGGTTTTTCCAGCCCCTTCTTTGGCCAAACATGGCCCTTCTGCCTCCTTCTCAGGGTCGCTCTTATATCTCACACCAGGAAATAATTTTTTATGTGTTGGTTCTCCTGTTTCAGTATATTTATCTATGTATCACCCACACTCCTCTAACTATCACACCACCTTTTGTTCATAGTCTTACTTCCAATAAATATTCATCAGTTAGTCTTGGTATATGTAAATTTTGTTTTGCTTCTGATTTTTTAACTTTAGGAACATTTGGAATCCAGCAGTATATTTTTTTATAACCTGATTTGTTAAATTCCATCAGCATATTTGGTACAGCCCCTAGCACAATCTTGCACCAAAGCATCCAATATGTTGCTCTCTCTAATGAATGAATGTAGACAACAGACTTCCTTACAGTTTTTTTTTTCTTTATTATTGTGGACTCATCTATCCATTGGATAGGAATTTCTTGTTTTAATTTATGTTGTTTGGCCATTGGTTATTGGTTTCACTAATTCAGTTGGTAAACATGTGAATAGACCAGCAGTTTTACAAACAAAATTATCTCTCTTATTTCTTTATTGTTTTCAAGTTTGGAAGTTAATATTTAGAAAAAGATTTGATTATTATGTTATTTTAGATTATAAATCTTGTAAAAATGCTTTTTCTTTTTTTAAGACATTATTTATTAGTATGGTTTATGAAAACATTGAATAAATATGTTACCAGAAGCTCTTTTTTTAAAAAAAAGCACATTATTTAAGTTGCATCTAGGGATCTGGGAAAAAAATTGTTAAGTTGATAAAAATATTTTTTTTATCAACTTTTAAAACCTTTTGATATCATTTTGCCTTTTCTTTTACCTCCATCCCCCAACCAACCCAGTGAGTGGCCTCCTGGGATTTCCTAACTCTATCCAAGAAACAACCGTGGTTAAACTAATTAACTTTTTTTTTTAAAGATTGTATTTATTTATTTGACAGAGAGATACACAGCGAGAAAGGGAACACAAGCAGGGGGAGTGGGAGAGGGAGAAGCAGGCTTCCCGCTGAGCAGGGAGCCCAATGCTGGGCTCGATCCCAGGACTCTGGGATCATGACCTGAGCCAAAGGCAGATGCTTAACCGACTGAGCCACCCAGGTACCCGAAACTAATTAACTTTTAAATTATTGTACTTTCGATTCTTTTGCTTTCTCTTCCACGTTTTGGATATAACTAGGACTTTTTCAAACAGAAATTTCACCTGAAAATCTCATCCATTTTGGAAAGGGCCTTATGGCAATTTCTGTCGAAAAGACTTTTTCTCTCATAGAAAGTTTATGTTCCTGATTTTCTTCCATCCTCAAGCCACAGATTCTAGAATGTCTGTAGCTTCTAATATGATTGATTTACTACCTTATACTTTTATTATTTTGTACGTTAGGTAGTTATTATTTTTACTTATTAAAAATGTTACTGAACTAAAAAAAAATTTGTTTTCAAGATCTATAGATAATCTTGCAGGAAGTGTTTTGTTAAAACCATAATAGTTCATATTGATGGTATTTATGCTTAAACTGTTAGACTCACTGTTTAGTACAATTTCTTAAAGAACAATTGCAGCATTTACAGTTTCTGTGTTGGTAAAACAGTTTTATTAAACTCACTGTTTGTTTATAGGAGGTTGGAATATAACTTAAGGTATATGTTTTTTTTTTCCCCATTAAGCAAAGTTAGATTAAAAATGAGAAAAAGCTTCCCATTTATTTTATAAAGGTCATATCCCAACATAATGCATACCTACACTGGACAATAAAAATCCCAGTGTAATGAATGAAGGATCTCTAAGGCCTTGTTAAAGGTGATGCCGTTGTGAACACTTTCCTCTCCTTGACTGAATGACTGAAAGCTCTGTTTTAGCTTAATTTCTTGCTGTTTTCCACTAGACTGCGAGTTGGTTCTATAGCAATTTTTAAAAGTTTTGATTGTTTTTTTAAAATGAAATTTACTGTAATAATAAAGGATAATTAAACTCTAGCTTTATGGAATTGAAAAGGAGAACAAAACTTTAAGACTTTTATTTTTTTAAGTCACAATGTATCAGAACGGTGATCAAATAAAAATCTGAAAAAATGAAAAGTAGATGTGCCACCATGCTTTTATGAAGGCTTCAGTATAATTAGAATGTTGACAAAATAGCACTGATAGAGGTCTTACAGATCAGATATTTCATCCCACTTGATTTTAAACAAATATGTTGGCCTTGATTTGATTTTATAGAGTAGTCTCAATAAAAAAGTAAAGGTGACATTCAGAAAATTAAAGGCCCAGATTAATAGGAAAATGGAATAAGAGCAGTAGGAGGAACCTCCCTTTCTGACAGCAAATAATGTAGTTTCACAGTCCAAATACCAGTATGTTTCTCTTGAAAACATACATTTTACCCACAAATGTTTCCAACTTGAAAATATCCATTTTACGTTTTAGAGAGTGAGAGAACAGGTCTTCCAGACGTTGGAAAACCAGAGGTAGAGGCAGTGCTCAGGGATAATGCACTGATTCTTGTGTTTCCCCGCAGGGATTGGGGTATGACCTTGTTCATGCCCAGTCTGGTTAAAAAAGCAGGAGAGCTGGTGGACTGTAAAACTGGCGAAAATAGAGGCGCATAGATTGCATAACAATTTTTCTGGTAGAGTAGTCTAAGTCCTGTGTAAATGGAAAATAAAAAGAATTTGGTTTCTCAGCTCTGGCTGGATGGTGCCTGTAATGAAAGAACCACTGGAAACTTGGTGCCTATTAGAGGACTATGGGCCAAGGAAAATCAGCTCTGAAGTGTGCCCATCCCACACACTCTGTGAAGACGCCTGGTCCTTGCAGAGCGTTGGTATACTCTGCTAAACAAATCAGGCCTTGATGGTGCAGGAGTATGCGTGCGTGGTCGTGTGCATGCGTGCGTGGTCTTCTTCTGCCTATTTGCATCCATACGAAGTACGGCAGGAATAAAAATATATGTTTCGAGATGTTTACATGCTAAATTCTTAAGCAAGTCTTTTTGCCCATAACTTAAATGAGAGAATTCATTGGAAGCACATTTCTATATGGATTTATGAGCTGTTAAATTTTTATGACAAAAAAATTCTGTCAGTAATTTCTAAAATATGCTGCTGGTAAAACTCCTCATAGTTTGCAGAGTAAAGGAACCTAAGGGCTTATGAGAGAAGATTCACAAGGAAGTAAGCATTGCTAAGAGAGTCACTCAAAATAGAGACCAAAGGATACTGAGGAAGTAGGGCCTATGTATGTCTCCTGTTTCACTTCTCAGAACACCATGAAGTTTTTACTTTTGTCAATTGCCACTTGTCGACTGCAATTCCACCGCCTTCTGGAACACATCCTTCTACTTTGGATTAAAATAGAGATCATGTAACACCTGTTAGCTAAATAGCCAAGCCTGTATTAGATAGTTTAAACTCTGCCAGCACCGATCATAATTCTTTTCAAACAAGTTATATAATCTGATGGTTTTCACCTTTACAAGCCTGCTCACAACTCCAATTTGTAGCACAATTTCCATTTCCATGGACTCTGTGGCTCCCAGATGGCAACCCCGAAGCTCTCTTCTTGGTCAAAAGGCTCTTAGACATTCCTAGCATGACTGACAGTGATCAATCCAATGTTTTACCCATGGTGCTATCTTCAGTAATTTCCAGGTCAACTTCAGAGTTAGTATTGTTTGTAATAGAAAAAAGAGATTTTATATATGAAGATCCCTTGGTTGAATTTTCTAAGTTATATGATACATTTGGCCATTGGGCATTTGAGGAAACTGCGGATACTCAAAACCTAGCCACATGTCTGGCCTTTCTGAGTAGCCAGATTATTACCACCCATGCTTTACTTACCACCAGAGGCTCAGTGCGTGGTCTGGGCAGGCAAGAGAAGGTTTCTCGCAGGAAGGTAGTGATCTCCAGGAGAAGTTGGCATGCTGCCATCTTCAAGGCAAAGGGGCAGCCACATTTAGAGGGGTTCACAGTACCTACAGAATGAAAGAGTTCCTTCATAAAGAAACAAACCAATAAAAAATACAGAGAGGCACGGTTTGATGGACAAAGCTACACATGTCCAAAATGAAATTGTATATGAGAATGTTACCTATTCACGTTCAATTGACCTAGTCCCTTGAGCATAATCTGTGCATTACTTGTACCCCTCTCTTCCTCCATTTTGTAACTCAATAGTGAGTTCCTTAGTATTAAAATATCAGTCAGGAAGGACTAAATTATTTTCCTTAAGGCTCATAGAGTAAAAAAACACAGCCCACTAAGCTAGAAAGCCTTTTAACAAAGACAGAAATGGAAAGCAGTCTTGCAAGATTTCACACTGCTAATTTAATCAGATGTAGACTATGTACAGGGCGGTGAACTAGTTTTGGCACTGCAAAACTCTTGCCAGCTCGTTTTATGAGAGACATCTATCTTGAGGGCAGTGATGTTGCTTCCACTAGCCCAGAAGTGTTTCTGCAACATAAACAAGGCATACTTGATCACTTCTTTCATACACTTTATACAAGTTAGCCTATCATATTAAAGCATAGTTACGCTAGAAGTAGGCAAATGCTCTCCTTTGCTCTGAAGAATACCAGCCTTTGAATGAGTAAAATGCTGCCTCCATCATAGACCCAGATTTTGCTCTAAAGTCAGATAATAACAGATAATGGCCAAGGTGACACCAGAGACTTTTAAAATTCTGAGGGTTTGTTCTCAGATATATGTCATCACTAATCCTGCCGAAAATTTATCAGTGTTCAGAAAAGAAGGCCAAAGCAATGTTGAGTTCTGCCTCTCATAAGAGAAAGAAAATACTTATCTATTTCGAATCAAGGCATCAAGCAATCACAATATCATTACATATCAACATTCCTAAACATATTTCTAAAATATTTCCTGTGTATTAGGCTTTCTTAATTGAATAGGATATATATATATATATCTCAGGGCTTATACTGAGAGTGGGTGGAAATTATGTTCTTTCTGAAGATACCTGATTATCACTTCCTCATGAAAACCATTATTTTTTCTCCAGAGATAATATGTGGATAGGGACATTGCCTCTTATTAAGAACTGAAGAGACAAACTCCTCTAGAATTTCTAGACTGATACTTTCTTGAGGCATAATTATATTTTAAATGCAAGATGAGTTATGTACTGACAAGAAAGTGGAAATAAACCAGACATTCCAATCTTATATTCAATGGAGACTACATAACTCTAGAAATTGTCTGGATGTACAATAGTTTTTAAATAATAATCTAACACTAAATATTCAGTATAAACTTGTGGATCTGTCCTGAGGTTATCATCCAGATTCTTCTTGTTAATCCTGTAAACACTGAACTTGGTCTTAGTCCAGGCACTCTGTAACTATCATCTGAAATAGTCTGTCAAAATGAACAAGAATTGAGTCCTACATGCTCTCATCAAAAAGCCTAAGTACCAGGCATAACATACGGTAAAAGATACTTATGTGGTCTCATGGAGATTAAAGTTCATTTTGGCCTGTGAGGATGCATCCATCTAATGTTGCTTTAGCTCCTCTCTGTTCTGAAGGACCCCTAGGAGATCCAGGGCAGTTGGGGATGGCTTCTGATAGGCCTTCACTAGGTTCTGTGTTTGCTGGATAGTCCTCAAGTGGTCCTAAGGGTTAGACCCAATTCCGTTCCCCATTCTACAATTCAGAAGCATTCTAGGATAGTCTAGACTCTTGTGAACTTGAGGGAATCTTTGGAGGCCAATGTTCACTGGTAGGCTGAAAGACTGATGTCAGAATTTGGTGTTTTGTCAACAGCTAAGTCAGGAAAATTGGCTCCGATGTGATAAAAGCTGAGAAAGGGTAAAAAGATGAAAAAAGATTGCAAAAAAAAAATCCTTGGTATAAAAGTGGAAAAAAAAGGCAATAAGTTTTCTTTGATTGTTATTTAATTATGTACACTGTTACACCCTAGTCATCCTTTTACATTTCATGGCTAGAAAGATGAAGTAGGCTTGGCATCACTTAACTAAGAACAGTCTTTAACATAATCAGGGAATTTGAATTTCAAATCACTAGGGAAAGTCAAGAGGACGAGGCCTCACTGTCTTCATCAGATAATGTTACTAATTCCATTACCATTTAGGAATTGTATGGCCCATAAAAGGCAGTGATAGACATACACAACAAGCTTGTATGGTGTAGAACACATGTGTGCACAAAAAGGTGTTTAAGAGGAATGTACAGGAATCTCTTTGTCTCTACTCTTCTATGGTGGAACTCGCTTCTAATTTTAACAAATAAGTACAGTATAGCAGACATTCACAGTCTAACCATCTCAATTAATATTTCAAATTCATGTTAAATACATGTTAGTAATTATTCTAAGGAATCCACTACTTTAATGATCTGGGAAGCATTTCATGTTCAATTCTATTTGGTCTATTTTTTTTTAATCTCCAAGAGCAACAACAAAATGTAAAACCTGGTTAAACCTCTACTGGGTCAGTAATTTACTGCTATATTTTCTCAGAAAAGCCTAAAACTAATTTTTGTATAATAGTAAGAGTCATAGACTACAAGGCAACGGATGCTCCATATTGCCTGCAACTCCTTGTCTCTGTCTACAGTCTTCTCTTTCTGGTTCTCGCCCTCTCTTTGTGTGGCTTTATGCACATGCGTTACATCCATGCACAGGGAATAGGGGAAAAGGTGCAGTGGGGAGACATGAGAAGGTGGTAAGAATGTGAAAGAGGAAAGAGAAATATTAAGTGCTCCTAAAGCAGAGATTCTTACAAGCAGGGGTTCTTGTAGTAAAGGGAGTCTCCTTACTGTCATCTAAAAAGTCTTCTTCCTCATCCTCCTTTCTCAGTCTTCTCTTGGTCTCCTCATCATAAATGAGACCCAGCAGGTTGGCGGGGCTCTCACTTTCCCCGTGGCACAGCTCATTCAATCGGACTCCAATCGCCTACCATGGGGAGAAAAAGAGCGAAACAGCACAAAGTATGTCAGACTGTAAAATAGGCTCTCACATTATAGAGGTCATAAGCAACTGTTAATGGGAAGGTATGTATAAACTACTAGGGCACATGAAACCAAGAGACTGATACCGAAACGTACAGCAGAAGCCTCCTCTATGCGCATGGTGGTGTTGCCACCACGTTTCCCTATGTGGAAACCCAGAGGTGGATGGCATTGACACTATCTCCAAGGTCATTTGAAGACTTGTAGGAACAAAACAATACCTATGTGTTCTCATACAAATTTTTTTTCTGAAAATATTTCCACTTACTTGAAGGTCATTTATTTTATAGGTCTCCTATAAGGGAGTATGCAATTGTTTTTAATGGAGGATTTTGTTGTAGTAAAAAAAAACAAGAATTCACAGTTCCTGCAAGTGCTTCTGATTATGCTATTTTATGAGAATGTCACTGCCATGCTAATGAGTTGGAGGTTGGCATGAATTCTAGTACAGCAGTTTTATTTATATCTGCCATTATGTACAAAATTAATGGCTTTTTTTATAGACTTTGTCCCTCACTCCATGATACCCTATGAACTAGTAAGAAATACTAACTATTCTTTTGATAGAGTATCCAACATCAACATAGAACTAATACCTGCTGTCTGTTCTGAATCATCATGCACTATTGTCTGATTTACCAAAAGGAATTTTCCATAAAGATACAAAATATGCCACCTCTTTCTAATTCTTTTTATTTTCCAATTATATACTGTGTGCAAGACAAGAAGAGACACGTGCTTAGGAAGGAGAGTCAAAAGCTAAAATGAGCACTGAACTTGGGGTTTGACAGCTTGGTTTCTCTGTGCATTCCAGCTAATTTTATTCTTCCTTCCTGTATTACTTCTTTCAAATATTTAGAGAAGTTGCTGGATTCTGGGCATGCATGAAATTAGACTTTCTACTAGAAACTGACAAGGATATATCTTCAAATAAAAACACAAGTTGTTTGAATGTCTTGGCTATCTGGAAGCAAAAAGGTCTCCTTAAAATCTGGAATTAAGAGACAAGTAACAAAAACTCTATCAATGAGAAAAAAATGTAAAAAAGGTATCACAACTTCCTAAAAGTTCAGTCACTACCCTGAGAAGTTTTAAGCAAATGAAACAAAACATAAAAACAAAAACTACTACCTCAATAAAAAGCCTTGTCCTGATGCTACTATTTTGGAGATCTTCTCTAAAGAAGAAGACATGCAATTATGAGTCTGGAGTGGAGCCAACAAACTTAATAGTGAGATTCAAAGGGGAAAAAAAAATCTGCATTGATCATTCCAGGATGTTGACACTAAGCAATTTACGTTAAATCCACAGTTCATAAAGCTTAAAGGGTTTGCTCAGAAAATGAACTTGTCTGGGGTTATACTAAATGTCTAAATAATAATTTAGAGCTCTATGTCTCTTCTAAGGCTTAACAAATGCCTCGAGGATAGGTTAGTTCTTTTCTTCTTCATCAAATATTTATTAAGTGAGGTTATTTGTTAGGTATTAAATAAAACAGAGTTGAATAAATTGTTACAGTATGTCAGTATCTTTGCTTCATGTGCCATAGTAGATTTTAAACCTTCATTTAGAAGGATCACTGTTTGGCAACTGGGAAGATTAGAGAGGTTGACAGTCTTGCTCAAGGTGGCTAAGCAAGCTGTGGTCTGGGGTTCAAATACAGGGTGTCTGTTTTTTTTGCTCTTCCCCTCAAGGAGCTTACAGGCTCCTGGGGAGGCAACAACACATCAGAATAACACATTAAATGTCAAAAGAGACAAAAAGCACTTTAAATAGTTCAGAAGATGGACAGATTCGATTCAGTCAGAGAGTCATAGAGTGTCTCTTTGCTGTAGATTTTGAAGGACTGGTGTTTTGGCTAATGGGGAAGGGGAGGAGCGGATACTCCAGATGGAGAGTTCCAAAAGATCCATCAAGGAAGTGCACTGATGTGTTCAGAGACTGACAAGTAAACCACATGGTTGAAGCACGCTTTTGTGAGAGGAAATCATGTGCAGGAAGGCTGGCAAGGTAGACTGGGACTAGATCCCATAGTTCTTGAAGCCGAACTTCATTTTGTATTCTAAAGAAGGATGAAGGGTAATGTGTGAGTGGGGGAAAACCCTTACTCATTCGAGAGACTCTGTGGTAACTGCGTAGAAATGCACGAACCATGTATCCTTTCAAAAATGAATGTAATAACTTATTATCATTGAATACCTCTTAGACAGAAAGGATTGAGATAAATGGTCTTTTAGCTATATTAGCTCATTTGATTTCATCATCCATAATCTTGGTATGGTTTGAATACTAAGAGAGAGCAGTGATGCCAGACTAATAAGCAATTTGGGTTTTATCCCAAGGGAAAAGGAGGGCCACTGAAGCATTCTAAGTGGGTAAGAAACACCATCTGATTTGCATTTTAGCCTAATCACTGTGAGAGCAGCTTGGAGAATGAATTAGAGGGGGCAAGTCTGGAAGCCAGGAGATAAGGATGAATGTTCTGCTTTTAAATGGGCTCTGCCATATGGAGATCATTTTATTGACAGTGTGTAGGATGGGTCAGATGAGGGGAGACTGTGGGAAGAAGACCAAATAGGAAACTATCTTAGTCATCCAGATGAGAAGGAATGAAGATGTGACCTAACAGGACCTTGGTGGCATGGAAGAGGTGGCATCAGTAAGGGAAAGGAAGTTGGAATATGTTCAAAGGCTGCCATCTTAGATAATGGTGGTACCATTCATAAAAATAGAGAGTTCAGGAAGGTTTGCAGATGGAGGTGTATTTATATGGGAAGAAGAGTTTTACTTTGGTCAGATTGTGTTTCAGGGTATTAAGTGAATGCCTCTGGAGTGCATTTGGCAATGTTGGCCTCGAATCTGAATGGTGCTATGGATAGAGAAGTCTGTGCCACTCGCATACAGGTTACAGTTGAAAACATAGGAATAAATGTAGTCCTGGGGGAGGTTATGCAGAAAAAAAATTATAACAAATTCTGGGAATGTGTACATTTATAAAGGGGGAGGAGACAGAGGACCAAGGAAGGAGACAGAGGAGATAATGTCTAACTTCATAAATTTATTGGGAAGATTAAATGAATTAAAGTTTATTTTCCCCTAAGATGTTTTGTTCAGTGCCTGGTACATAACAGACACTTAATAAATTGTCTCCCAAACAAACACAAACATGACCTTCTTCACTTCACTCAAGCACCCCAAGTTTTATGTAAGAAAATCAAAAGCTCACGTCTCCCCATTGGTAGAAGAGCTTGGCAGCATTCCACTGCAGCTTCTGGTTCCGTTTGTTGCCCACGATGGGGGAGCGGCCCCTTGAAAGGCCTTTCTTGGTGATATTCACGTGATGCCCTTTCATCCACTCTGGCCAGTTGCCACGGTTACAGCGGTGAACAAACCGGGCACATTCCAGGAACAGAGCTGCTCTGGCTACCACAGGAGCTTCCTGAGGATGGTTGTCAAGGAAAGAATGATGTGGGATTAATGAACAATAGGCTGACCTTCACGGGAATTACTATGTACTCTTAGTTCTTTTACTCTCCATATCTTGATTTAGGTTAGCCATATTTCCCAAGGTAGTATTATCATGGTTGATGGTAGTGGGAATTCTGGAAAATGAATCCTTGAAGACAAATTGGGATACTGAAGAATTAGACATTTTAAGTAGATTTCTGTGTTTAGTTTTCCTCTTTTGAAGAATCTCAAGTAATTTCATGACTCTATTTTTGCATAGTTAAGAGGCACCTGGGATTTGAATGTGAGAGAGAGATAATTTTCAAAGGAATTTTTCAACATGAACCTTTTGTTAAACCTAAAATTTTAACCTGAAGCAAACAAATATTCAATTTCTAGAACCAGTCTTATGTTAATCAAGGGAGTCAAGAGTGATTTTGTTCCAACAATAATCTGTTATTTATGACCATCCACATGCTCCAAAGAAGTACTGTTTCTGTTTCGATTGTTTCTGCACATTTTGGCTAGTAAGAAAAGGAAGTGCTTATTAGGTTTTGTTGAGTTAGTCTTTTTTCTCCTGACTTTGTCATGAATAACAGATCAAATTCTGCTTAAATAGGCATGGTCTCAATTGAAAATGTTCGACAAAGAGGAAATGATTTAATTGATAAATGAAAAACAGAGCATTTCTTCAGAAAAATAAAAATTTGGTTCCATCCTGTCATGTCAAGATGTATTTGAAAAAAAATAAAAGAAGAAACAACTTTAAGTTGATACCCAGAAACTAGTAAGTATATGCTACCTACTGAAATCTTTACAAGCTAAATAAATAAATAAATAAGGGAAGGAGCATGAAGTTTCCCTAGAAGGTCAACAGGTCACAAAGAAATACACACATCAACAATTAATGTGTATTTTAACTTGTGCCAGTTTAAAAAAAATACATCACAATATTAGGCATCACCTCAGAGTTACCTAATAACCATAAGTTGATTAGTAACCACAGGTTTTCAAATTGAAACACTTTCCATCATTTCAAACCATAATGTTCTTAAGAATGCCTTGATCCACGATGTTAAAATAGGGGCTAATATATGAAGAATATCAATTACATGCCAATTAGTTTTTATGAGTTGTAATTCTTAATTATAATAACAAACCTCTGGTCTAGAAAGAATATCTTCATTTCAATGTTTTTAAAATGAGGTATAATTTTTCTACCATCATACAGCTGGGAAGAGGTGACCACAGGATTCAATACCAGGTCTCTCTAATGCCCAAATCTATGTCAGTTCCTTTTCAGTATCTGCACTGTCTTAATTTATGTACATCTAAATCTTGGCAAAAGATGATCAATAGAAGGCATGTAGAAAGTCATTGTTTAAAAATGGGACATTAATGTCATGTAATGTTATTCTCTAAAACAGATATATGATCCCATCATTTTCCTATTTAAAATTTATTATAGGCTCCATCCACCTCAACAATAACATGAATAAAGAAACTCAACCTTTGTTATCTGGTTCATCTCCCTTTCTATTCCTCTATCAAGTACTTTATGATCTAACTACATCAAACTGGTTACAGTCACCCAAATATGACATCTTACACATTTTCGTATGTTGTTTCCATCATTTGCGGAGCTGTTAAGCCCCTTTTCCATCTGGCAAATTCCCACTTTTAAGAATAAAATACCTCCTCCAAGAAGCCTTCCTTAATTTCTTTCCTCTTAGGCAGAGTTGATTACTTCATACTTTGAGTACCACAGTATCTCAAGCACATTTAATGATTCAAGTGAGTTAGCCCTTTAAGCATTTTCTCATTGTCCACAACTTAGAAGAAGCCATCAAGAATTCCAAAAAGAAATATATTTATGTAGGAACTTAATTTCACAAAGCATATGATGTATTGCTACTACGTACAAAGTTAACCTATGTGAAAAGGCAGAATACAAGATGAACACTAATGGTGAGAACCTATCATTAATAAAAAATGGACACTAATGATGAGAATCTATCATCCACTGCATTGGTGCTAAGATTTGGTAGCAGGTCACGGGAATAGAAAGACTTGAGATTGCAGAGGGTCAAATGACTTTCTGCATCAAACCTATCAATATTGTGGTACCATAACATACAGATTAAATATCTACACTCTTCTTGTATTAAATATTTATTTAATTAAACATCTCAGATATGCTAATCTGTGTCTGGAAAAGGCTTGAACATCTGTCTCTGAAAACATATGGCAGTCTGGAGGGCAAGGTGAGAAACGTGAATTTATTCTTAGCCCATCACATTTTGACACATTCCCAATATAAAGCAATGGGATTAATTGCTTAATGGCAGGATTACTGCTGAGGTAGCGTTATGTCATAGACCCTGGCTCCTACCGGATTACCAAGGGCAAAATTTAACCCACTCAAATGTATGGGGCAGAGGATCTTTTTATTGCCATTAACTTTAGATGACACTGAGAATCAGGTTAACAATAGATGAATGAGAAATCCAAATTGTGCTTTGTGAGTTTTCCCATGTAGATTGGCTTGCCTTCTTCAGAAAAAAATGGTTTTATTTGCTTAAGAAGCTCAGGGCATTTTGAATGAAGCAATTATGATTTTCTGCTCTCAAAAACGAGTTATAATAAAACTCTGATATTACACCAGTTATCAGCCCTAGGAAATCCTAAAGTTTGAAAATGGAATTGAGATCAATATGAAAATAATTCCCATTAACTAGGCAGCACAATCTTAAAGGGAGAGGTGATTATTATCTGATGAATTTGATCCATTGTAAAATTGTAAATTGTAAAACCAGGTAACTTTTGGAAATGTCGCTCTCTGCATTAAGGGATGAGGACATAGAGTAACTCAAATATTGCCTTTTCATTATAATCCTCATGAACCTAGTAGATGAAAACAGGCTTGAAACCCTATAGTCAAGATGGCACTGAATACTAGCACTTTCTGGGGGTTTTATAGTATATATTACTGTACAGACAATTGAGGGAGTTGTTGAGGACTCTACAAAGCTAAGGACTCTACTGTGCATATTGGTAGAAGATACTTAGCAGTAAGTACTGACATCACACTGTGTATGAAAGAGCATTTGAGGCATTCTAGTGTAGATGTGGCTATGGGGAATTTTTTCCCTTATAAATTCCTTTCAAAGTGTAGTTTAGAAAGTATTGATTTTTAGGGGCAGGGTTATTGAATACCTTGGACAACAGATTCCTCCTGGACATAAAGAAGAGTCAATTTTTCCTCTTTTGATGGAGCTTACCTCTTATAGCTCAGCACAATCTGAAGCAGCAGCAAAAAATGGAGACATGACAGAACGGATAAGGATGGATTCACATCACAGAGAAAAACAGCACAAATGGAGAAAAATGAATCAGAAGAACACTGCATGGATGAAAAGGACCACAGAGTATCAGAGCATAGTCAAAAGTGAACATCTAAACAAAATTTGATACCACTGGTATACCACAGAGAATTTTTACTGGTGGTCCTGAAAGAAAAGTAGGCATATGTAAATTTCTTTCTTATTTGCATGTCTGTTATATCACCTTTCTATGTTCCATAATGCCACGAGTGGCTTCAATTCAATTATGGTATAACTTCGCAGTTTCAGACAAGCAAGAATCAATTTTAACTGGGAAGATTAGATTGACCTGAAATATTAGATTAAATCATATGGAATTTGTAAGCCTGAAGGTCAAAAATAGTTGAATACTAACAGTTTCAGGTGGTTTGCTCTTATATAAGATATTCTCTGCAATGACTACAGAGCTGTCCAGTTAAAGTTACAAAATGTTCTAAGAATGTCATTACGCAGCATGGTTTTCTCTAACATTCTGCAATGAGAAAACTTCAAGTGTTGGCTACCTTTCCTTGACTTCCTTTGTCACTTTTCCCTGCATTTTATCAGATCATTATGTATATTGAATGCTTCCTTTATGAAAGTGAAGGAGAGAATTGGAACACTAATTCAAACAGCTGTGCTTTATCTTGCCTGGGGACTTAGAAAATATTGTTACCTAGATACGATGGTTAATTGAAGGTTATAGTTGCAATACATACCTATCCCTGAAGGACTATATCTAAACTTATTATGTGAGAAGAAGTCCCGATTCTGAAAACTCATATAAAAACACTGTACAGGAATTAACTGTTTTAAAAGACTGAATATTTTATGTTGGCCCCTGGGGAATTACATAATATTTTTATTGCCTTGCAATAAAATATAAAGCTCTTGCTAGTGCAAGATACCTACTTATTTAAAACCAGTGGGACTAGGTAGTTATTGTGGGTCTTAGTGTGCATTGGAAGCTCGTTTGCTAGAAGGCATGTGCTTGTGAGTCAGTATTTATTACTTAGTCTGTATTGAATTCTCTGCCTGGCTGAGATCATTAAGTAATGGACCAGCTGCCTCTGCCCTTGCTCATTTCCACAGTAGCTGCGGGCAACTGAAATCATTCAGTTGTCAGGCTAGAGGTAGGCATTATTTTTTAGTACATGGTCTAGATGGCTTGCCATTTTAACAGTTACTCAGATCACACTAATATTTTGGGTAAGTATTATAAAAACCAAATGAAGTCCTCTGCTTCTGACAATATGATGGATTAGGTGTAAAAACAAACTTACTTTGGTTTAGACATCTAAATATACTGGATAAAATATCCCCTAATTTCTTCATCTTGTTTTTGCTTTTGTTTCTAACATGAGATAATAGACTATTGGATAGTAGAAACTACAAGAAAGTGTAATTCTGGGTGGAGAAGAGAGACAGGTGCGAGCTAGCATAGGAATAATTACCCTGAGGGTTTCTATCGCCTATGGAGAGGTGTTGGGTTTTCAATGGGCCATGAGTTAAATGTTTGGGCCCAAGCAGAGCAGGAGGTCAGTTCATTTACCTCTATGTAAAGTCCAGATCCCAGGTGGGAGTCACCTTCAGTGGATGAATAGGAAAAAGATCTACCCCACAGAAGTAG